ACAAAGATAACGCATTGTTAGAAGAGAAAAAAAAAGAACATTGTAAACCTTCATGGTGAAAGAAGATTGATGGTCGATGTACATGACGGATGTGGTGCTCATGAGCCCAAGCAAATCCTCTTTTGTTTCTAATCAGTATACATTTCTTCGTCAATATCACGAAGATGATAATGAATGGACGTGTCGCTTGCGATATATTTCGATTCTATATAAACAAGGCTCGAGAGGTACTTAGAGCAAATTAGCGCGATGTCCTTTCCGAATTAGTCGCGATCGGTTTACGTCGACGATTCGTCTTCGATTGAGATGTAGTCTGCTTGTACAGACGCGGTCCCTGCTTTGTTTTTTCGGGGAAAAGTGTTTATTTTCAAATAATTACAACATAATTATGTTTACAACATTATATGTAAGGTATTCTAATCTAGCCGATATATCTCATGCTGTTATCTAGAGTTGTTATAAGCATTTGAATAAATCATTGGTTATGCATACTTATGAAATAGGTGTACTCCTTGTTAATGTGTGAAAAGCAGGAGGTGCTATCAACTTTACATGAACAACTAGAGCTATACACTTGATTTTTAAATAATGTTTCATCATCATCAATGTCTTGACTGGGAAGATAATTCATGTTCAAATCTGACTTTAATTTCATCTAAAATGTCTCTTACTTACTGATATGTCATTAGATGTATTTTTCAATTCAAAGATAGGTCAAATGAATTTATACTAAACCCTTGCGATGATTAAAAAAAAAGAAAGAAAAACGGTATTCTCAATCAAACAAACGATTAAAAAAAAATAACCACTAAGGTTAAGCGTGTATCATAAATGCCTATACTGACTGATGGCAAATTATTTTGATATGCAAAGTAATGCATGACACGGAGACACTGACACCACACAATATTGCATTGCCGTTTTCATGTTGTGTTTCATACTTTCTTCTAAACTTCCCATGAGGTCTCCTCAAGGGAAGACTAAGACTAATTTCTGTCAGACGATGACAAAACACGTCACGTCATATCACATCGTAGCCGATCAATCTCGCATAGCTTGTGTGTCAACTAATTTCATTATTCCGGAAAAGCCACGGTAAATAAATTTCTCGAAATGGGGGATTTCTTCTTTTGAGGGGGAGGCGAGAAAATTGAGTCAATGATAACAACTTCCCCTTGCAATGTTTGTTGTGAGAGATTTGCTCGGGGATCCGGCGTGACGGCTCGATCGCAAATGCTGGCCCGACGACGACGGCGCAAGTGTCAAAACGCTCTCCGTCAACACCGCGAGCAATGATGTCAGATTTTGATGCGTAGTCTCTACCTCCAGCCTGTTGGTCGATGGGGTTCGAAGACATTATGGGAGAAAGAAACGAACGCCTTAAGAATCTATTGAGTATCGCTTCCAAAATTGTATACAAGATAAATTGATGTTAGATCTATATTCTACTGGGTATGTCTATACAGAAGACATCGAATTAGCGTTGTGATGATTTCCACTTATATTTTTAATTTTGATTATCTTGTTGTCTCCTTCTTTATCTCTACGTGGGTCTTCTTGCTAGGTGGTAGGAGTTTGATAATCATATAGCAGAAGGGAGAGAGATATGGGGGCTAATAGAAACAGGAGAGCGGAGGGAGGAAGAGAGAGAGAGAGAGAGAGAGAGAGGAGTGAGATAGAGGCGGGATAGGAAAGGGATCTGCCTGGGGGGGGGGGGGGAGGGCTCAGTTAAAGACGAATTGTGTTGAAATAATGAACAGGTTGGAGCCTTATCCCCCAAAACATACAAAGTAAAACAAATCCCTTTCAATCAGCCCTTGATGTTTTAAATTCGAATACAAATTCCTATCGACATTATACAGGAGAACATTTGTCAAAGTACTTAGCCATATATATTGTCATTTGTTTCGATGTTCATTTTTCTCCTCCAAGAATGTAAAAATGAATTCCTCCTCTTCGCCTTTCTCACAGCTGTTCTCTAGCCCCTTGTCGGTGGTGTTCAGTTGTAAAGTGATGTTCGTTGGCTGTACGGTGCTTTTGGGCGGCACGTGCCGCTTGTAATGGGGCGGTTCTACTTGATGTCTAAGGGGGCATGTCTGTTCAATGAAGAAAACCTAAGTGCGCGCATTTCAATACCCATCGCACCATCCGACCCTACAAGCAGATAAAGCGTACGCTCTTACACCAATTTAACAGCGCTTTAATCGGGGAACAATTCCCCGAAGCTAGCGGACGTGCACACACAGGAAATAATATCGTAATACCACAATATTGACTAAGCTGAAGCGCCATATATACATGTCCGTCGCTTTGTGCTCTCTCGAATTCCGGGGGGAGAAATTCACTAGTTTTGGTAGAAGCATGCCTAAAGGTCCCGTCTATACCATCCTTTGGTAGGGGTTAAAGTGGTGTGTAATTGCGTTAGACGCGCTGGAATAAATCCCACCCATTATCGGGGCACTTTCGAGTGCAAATTATCATCATATCATTTTAAACGTACCTAGTGTAGCTTACCCCACTTTCAAAGGCTCCATCAGCCCGTGTTAATGGGGAAAGACAAACACGTAAAGCGCCACCTATTCAGTTTGTTGCAGACCGTGAGCTAATGCGGGGATGAATAGCCACCGATCTAGCCTCATATTAGTCTATTTGCTCACCGTTAGGATTAAAATCATTTACTGAAAAACGCTGACGAGTTATTGAAAGTATGGTTCTGTTTTAATTCCATATTTAGGACGTCAACGGCGAGGTCAGCTTGATTTTTAATGGATGTTAGTCAGGAGATATAATTATATACCGCAAAATAGTAGCTCGGTATTGTAATGAATTTCTTGATCATGATGGTGCGAGTACAGTATAATTTCCCATATTATATCATTTTATATTATATCATACTATATTACATTATATTATATTGTATAATTCTTATGCTACATTTATTACATAACATTACATTATATCATATTATATTATATCATAATCATATACGTGTATATATAAATTCTCAATATGCTAATGTGCAAGTTAATGCGAAGTATTATTATATTTTATATTTACGTACATATTGTCAAATGTAATAGAATCAAAATGATCTCTTTCTCTTGTTTTCGAATCATTGTCTATCTCATAAGAATATCATATTCAGTCTCTAATTCTGTCGACATGTTGAAAACACCCTAGTCTAAAAAAATATATCCAGGATAACATTTGATTAGACTAGGGTGTTGTGAACATGTCATATGTGTGGCGATATTATATTTGCTGTTTATCAAAACTGATTATAAATATGATACATCGTCTATTCAGAGCTAGACGGGGCTAGAGTCATCGTGGTCGAGTGGATATGTTACCGGACTGTGGATCACACGGTCCGTGGTTCAAGTCCCGCCGCGGCACTAATGTCCTTTGGCAAGGCATTGATCTACATTTGCCACTCTCTACCCAGGTGGTTAAAATGGGTACCCGGTAGGATGCGAAAGTTAATGTGGTTGGATTAGCAAATGGCGCTTGTAAAATGGCGACTGGCTGGAATATTCCCCAGGGAGTTTACAAATGTGCGTACATTGTGTTGCGGGGTAAGCCTGAATCCGATGACCGGGGTAATAATATGTTCCGCGCCTAGAAACAAAGTATTAGGCGCATTATAACTGTGAGCTATTATTATTATTATTATTATTATTGTACAGTCTATGTTGAAGCACACAAGTCAAGGCCCTTCTGGCTCCGAAGAGACGATACTATATTTTTGATCAATAAAATCCTGTTCAGTGATTGGTCAACATAGCATCATGTGATCAAACATAACATTACTATCATGTTACCGACAAGCAAAAATGTGATATTAGGTGTTGTATAAACCATAACGTCATCCACAGTGCACTATACCATGGATGACGTCATAGAAAAAAATTATTATTATTGTTATGAATGTTGGTTTGAACAATATAAAACAAATATATCATGCACTAATTCAAGCCACTAGTGAAATTGTGGATTCCTCGGCGACAGGAAAAGCTATTCCTTCCACCTCGATCCATAATTTCAACTAGAGCCTCTCAGTGCATGGTATATTTGTTAACTATACAAAACTGTTTTGTTTATGTCGGACATGGATTTGAATTACCCAGTAGAACACACACAGGATAAAAGCAAATAACTCGAAAAATCTGAATTGCAAATATTGGTAATTTTTATTCATTCACGCAGCACGCGTCATTTAAAGGTACTATGTCCCATTTGCAGGCCAAAAAAATGAAAAAGTTAAATTCCAACTGCATTTGAAAGATAATACTAATTTAGAACTTCCCTAAAAAAGGTGGGGCTTGAAAATGTCTTCAAGTGGGAAAATAATGACTATTAGTTGTCAAATCGACTTTAGGGCTATAGAGCCCAAAAGTAATAGTCTTGATTTTTAGACAATTGGTCATACGTTTTATGCTGCGCAAAGATTCAATCAGTTTAATCTTGGCCATCACAAGAAGTGGGTTATTGATGTAGACAAATGCTCATTTACCCTTTACAACTCTTTTCATGTAGACCTATGTTATTACCAAAGAAGAAAAAAGGCCAGTCAGTCACTCAATAGTGTCTGACAGTGAAGTCTAGCAAGTAAACGGGTTTCCTTGCATAATTTGAATATGAGGACACTGCTAACGTTTAAATTTTCACAGATAGGACATACATGACATATTCATAATTCCTGCAAAGTTCTACAGAATTTGAGGTTGGCTGCAAAAGGGACATAGTACCTTTAAGCTCCAATTTCCCTTTAAAAAATATTTATATCGTGTTTCTTAAAGTAGCACGTTACAGCAATTGCGATAAAGATATATAATAATGTAGGCCCTTCGAAATAGGTCATTACATAATTATAAAGATGTAGGTGTTTTTGTTTTCAGCGCCATAATAAAATATACATTACAACAAAATTCAGCACTCCATTGCCTGAATCGCCCAAAAGTAATCGTTTACATCATAATAGAAGATGCATTGAATCGCGATGTAATATTTAAATGCGTATTAAAGAAAAATCATTAAAAAAACCTACAAAAACTAATATCATCGTTTGATATTCTAAATAAATGCGCATACAATGTAAACAAATTGTTGTACACTTCTGTTATTATGTTCGGGAAGACATTTTGCTGTTTTGCGCAGCTTGAAATTGTTCGTATACATGCAAGTTCATATTTTTAATTTAATACAATCATTAAATTCTGTAAATCGGAAGTGGGAATAAAAGAAAGAGTGATCTTACATTTCGACTTATATTTCATTAAATGCATGTTTAAAATTGAATTTTTCATTTTTGCTTAACACAACTGTTAACGAATGATCTAAATGTGTATTATTGTATTAATACCATGTTCATATCTAATTTCTTAAAAACCACTGTTGTCAACACACATAGACTATCGTTCACTTCATTTAAACCAGAATAACAATCATATTATCCCCTCTCCTATAACAATAGTACACTTGTGTAAGTCACTTCCAATTCTCAGTTTCACCAGTGAAATGGGGCAATAACCTTTTAAAGAATTTGCAGTGTCTTCGTTGGAATATGCCCTGACTCCATATGACCTTAAAATAGAAGCTCTCACGCCACTAGCATGGCTAGTTTGCCATATATGGAGGGCTTACGTCGAATGCATAATTATTGAAGTTAACTGCCAAAACTTCATCTTAGATATAAAACTAACACAACTATGAACATAGGATTAAAAATTCCAAATGAAATTTTCAGAATTAAATTTGTAACAAAAGACAGATGTCAAAAAGATCTTAAAACTATCTCAAAACGGGTTCATCCTTTTCCCCGGAAAAAAAAAACATTATAAAGAATTTCAATTAAAAAACTACTTGAGCCAGTTTAGGCTTTTGCAAGAAACATCAGGTGATTAGAATTTAGTGCTTGAAAGTAAAAGGCAAACCTCAGACAAAATACTGGCAAGCATTCATTAAAACAATTGCAATTTCATTTTCTCAACATAGATGGTGCTTTACGTAGCACCTTTAATTAATACTCGAACCAATTAATACGCCGCCAATCACCTAATCTAAAAATGCATACAAAAACATAGAAAGACGAATAACTTGGGTCTCTGTACTCAAATTTCATACCATAAATGAATTTACATGTACATGAACACAACAATAATGAAACTGCTCATAATAAGTACACCCATCAAAAATGAATTAAAGTATCTCTTTTGTTCCTTCATTGTCACCGATATAATTTGTTCAGCATATTTTGGGGTTGCAATCAAATCGAAATTACTGTTTGCACAAATTGTTTTTTTCTTTTGTTCTTTCAACTTCAATAGATTTCAAGAAGACTGATATACAATTTGACATGTATTCAATCGGTCTTGACATTTGCTCTAATAGGCCAATAGGAAGATCTTCATAATTTGTCACATATGTTCTTGGTATGTACATCAGAATTGCATAATAAATTGTATAAAACTTACATGAAAAATATACAAACTTCAAATTACTCTTTTACATACATGAATAGAAATATCTAAAATCAATCAAAAAAATAGCTTTAAAAAAAGGCGTCAAGTGCGGTACCACTTCATTCTTTAACTTCAAGTCAACTAAATGCTGCATAATCAAGTTTAAAATAACAGTTTCAAGGTCAATTACTCAAGGTGATATATATATTGATGCATAACAACTCACTATTTTTAACTTGGAAATAGAAATGATCATGCTAAACTATTTCCAGTCAAACAAAGCTAGAGTAAAACTGCATGACTTATTTGACTTTAATATATATATATATATATACTCCTCTCAAATATGAAACAATTGTAATTGATTGCCCGCATCAGTTACAAATGCACGTTTTTCAATTTTGACAACGAGTATACATGTATATTCTCTTGAAGTCACTCCGGCCATCACTCAGTTCGGCTCATTGCTAGGGTTACTTGTATTATTCATTGCCATGCTGACCATATATTGTTCGAGTTCGGCGCTTGAAATACTATAGTCATCGCCTTCCGCCATGCTTTGCTCAATTCGAGTTGGAGAATAATCAGGATCGTCCTCAAAATAACCAGAGTTCTGCGCCCCTTCGAGACTGTAGGAGCGACTATGCCGGGTGCCTGAGCCCCCAGGCACGGCCCTCTGGGGTGTGCTTGTGGTAACTTGCCCGTTCGGGACGTTTCCATTCTCCCGGTAGCTATGGTGTTGGTAATGAATCGCCCGCGATCCCGCGCGTGCCGCTGTAGAATCGCCCTGGCGAGGAATTGGCGACGCGCCGTCAGCCGCGGCGAGCGCTCGTGACGCTTGTAGACGTTTCATGCGCGGCGTGACCGCTGCGTATACTGGTGGCGGCGAAATGCTTTCATCGTGCACCCGCGCGCGTCCGTTCTGTCGCGTCGTTGGTCGGGCGACCATTGGCGTGATGAGGGCGCCATTCTTCATTTCCCAGTTTTCGCGGTCGGAGAGTTTTGGCGACTTCGAGCGACGCATGCAGAAGAGACCCGTGATCAGGACGCTGATCACGAGAAGGATGACGATCGCGAGGACGATGATGACGATCAACCATGTCTCCATTTGAACGCCACCCGTTACTGGTGCTTGCGTGGCACCAAGAATACCTGTGAAATATAGAAGCAAAGTGATAACTTTTAATAAGCGTCTTTTAATATCCAACTTTGCGGGAATTAAACTGTGAAGTAGTTGATTGATTGATTGATTGTATCACTTTAAAACTCCATATTTTAATGTGCTACTCTAAATACTATCAATTTATATTCTAAAGGTCAGAAACGTGGGCGCGTACTTCAGAAGTCGAACTGATTTGAAAAGTATGATCTAATTATCAAGAGGGAATATATTGTGATAGAAAATAATAAGTAACGTTAACAAATTGAAGCAATTGATTTCTCAAACATTTTGGAAAATGTATATAATTAAGAATGCTCTAATTAATCATTGTAATAAAAGAAATGTGCAAATTTTCAATGACGTCTACTTGACATATTGGTACAAAGAATAACATTGACAATGGATATACCATTCATATACCCCTTTCATCAACCATTAGAAATCATTCATTTATATTTTTCCCTCAATGTTTAAATTGATGGATATCCTTTTTTTTTACTTACGATTTTCGCATTGCTGGCCAGTGTAATTGGCCGAGCAGATACATCTGTATATGGCGACGTAATTCTCGCATGTACCTCCATTTTGACAGGGGTTGCTTGCACATTCGTCAATCTCTGTTCAGGAAAATTTTGAAAGAAGACAATATTGTTAACGTTTGAAAGAAGCTTAGTAAATAAGTTGACTCGATAAAGAACTTGATAAAGCGTGAAGGGAACAGGAATGTGAACATTACTTTGAAACAACAACTGCGATATGTCTCCGAGTTTGGGCAAAGCCGATCAAATGCAATGATTCTGATAACCGACTGTGTGTCGACCAATGTGTAACTAGCTATTTGTTCAGTGCATAGACAAAATAAACAAGAAACATGTAATCTTCTTGGATCATATAAAGTCTTTTCAACACATTGCCTCGTTGTGAGGGTACAGCTCTGGACACCGGGCACAAATAATCCATCTGACACTGAAATAACATTATATTCGTGTTTTCGATACAAAGATCATTTAATCGTTTGTTTTTTTACTGAAATTTGATTTATTTATTTAAACAACCTCATTTTGCAAATGCTATTTTGTAACTTTCACAGTTATTCACAAAACGAATACACTGATTTGTATTCACATTATACCTATAATAGAGAATAAGGAGGAAGAGAAGGAGAAAAACAAGAAGAATAACGAGAAGAAGTAAAAGAAGAAGAAAAAGGAAAAGAAGAAAAAGTAGAAGAAAAAGAAGTTGAAATAGAAAATGAAAAAGAAGCGGAAGAAGAAGGTGAAGAAGAAGAAGAGGAACAAGGAGAAGAAAAAAAATAAGAAAAAAAGAAGACGAATAAGAGTAAGGAGAAGAAGAAAAATAAGAAGAAAAAGAGGAGGAAGAAGAAGAAAACGAAGAAGAACAAAAAGAAGAAGAACAAAAAAAAAAGAAGAAGAAAAAGAAGAAGAAGAGGAAGAAGGAGAAGAAGAAAAAGAAGACAAAGAAGAGGAAGAAGGCGAAGAAGAATCAAAATAAGGAGGAGACAAATAAGAAGGAGGAGACTCAGAAGAAGCAGGAGGAGAATCAGAAGAAGAAAAGAAAAGGAAAGAAATACATTGAAGAAGAGCTCTCACCGGTCTGGCACATAACACCTGTGTATCCCACAGCACAAAGACACTCAGGATCCCCCAACTCCCTCGTGTTACATATACCTCCATGATAACATCCACTCTGTGTGCAGTCAGCTATACATCATCAACAAACAATTGAGCAAATTAGCAGAGAGAAGGGGAAAAAACGTGAATGAATGTGAAAAAGCACTTTAAAACGATGCAACAACTTCAAAAAAATAAATAAATAAATAAACGTAAGGACAAATTGTATACCCTAATTTATAGCGTGAAGAACCATACTCGAACCCCCTCCCCTCCCCCCAAAAGTTTGAATTCGTGTCATGAGTAAAAACAGAAAAAGAAAGTGCCATGAAGGTATTATCACTCCAATAAAACATTTTAGCTACGGCAAAATACAAAGATTTATCCCATTTGCTTTTAACAAAACGATAACAAACGAAAAAAACACAAGGTAAATGTTTCTTAACTAAAAACTAAAATCACTACAACGAAATAACACAAAGCTAAAGTGTTAAAGTCTATTTCAATACCAAGTGCTTAGATTAAAAAAATGACGTGGACAAGTGTACAGAACTATAACACAGTGTGCAATACGCCCTAGAAATAGTATGCGCTTCTGCAAATTGAAAACTGCATGAAACAGCGTAGCCCTAAAAATGCCCTTATTGTTATGTTCAAACAGAAAGGAACAATTGCTTACCATATTCACAATTTTCTCCGACAAATCCTTCTGGACAGTCGCATCTGTACGTGTCGGCATTAACCACAGTACATGTGCCTCCATTAACGCAAGGATCCGCATAACATGAATCTACAACATTGAAAATAAAAAAATGAAGGCCTTATTTAAAGTGAAGAAACAAAGTATTATTCTTTAAACAACGGGTTGTTTCATCTCACCTTTTTAAATAAAAAAAGAGGTTTGTTTGTTTAACATGACTGCCAAGAAAGCATGTGCATGTTTGTAAGTAAGCAACCAGGGGACCAACGGCTTTAAGTCATCCCCGAGGGACTTGGTATTATGAGGATTAATGCCTTACCAAAGATCATAGCGCATCCATTTGGTTTCCAACCAGTTTAAGAGACCACTGAACAATCGCGCCTCAATGTACATAGAGATATAGCTAGGGCCTATACAAAATGCAGTCTACAGTGTTATAGGTCAGACCATTTTGTTACGCGTACGATTGGCAAGGGTTTGTACCTGGCTCGCCAACTACTTAGTAACTCCGTCTCCTGGACATTGCCTTTAGTTGATCACAGATACAGATTAGTAAAAATCTTGGTAAAACTACATGTATATAGATTATAACCAAACTCCAGTGTACTTTTTTGGTCACGTGTTATGGAATGGTTAGGCACAATAGGACATATTGTATTCACACACTTCAAAGTCAAAATTTCAACAAAACAGACTTTCATCGAAGTGCAGGAGAAATTTGCAAAATATTATTTCATCAGCGTACTAAGAATCAATATAAAGATGGACCCTATAATCAATAAAATAAAAAAAGCTGCATATTTAACATTTTTGATTGTTCATAATACAATTCTCCCTATTGCAAAAGCGCGTGGCATAACGTGGTGAATACATGCGCCATCTATTGGCAGTGTAAAAACAATAGCGGTTAAACACTACTTTTGACGCTATAGTGGAAAGACAATAGTATCATTATTATTGCCTACTGACGTCTTCATGTCATGATTCTATCTTTCTTTTGATGAATCCTTATAGATTGCAGGGATGCTCATGGAAGATTCATCAAATATACCCACATAATAGTTGCCGTTACTCACATATTCATACAAATAACATTTAAACTTGACGGGAGAAACAAATAAGAAGATCGAAAACATTGAGTGCAGGCTCTGTGATTTCAATTACAATTCCATGAGTAAAAAGCAAAATTCGTGATTAAAAGTGATGTAAAAATAATATTCACATAAGTGACTCATCATGGCAATCACAACATAAAAACACACTGCCATAAGTACAAACATACTGGTCCGTTTCAACAACTTTTTGTGCACTGCCTGGTGTTACCGTTAATCTCTTCAAAAAGGGCAGAAATCATACTTGATTCTTGCAAACATCAAACATGGGAACAGCTATATGTCTTACCTCGTGAGGTTTGTCTGGCTCTCATAGTCCGACATTCGCAAATTTCTTATAAGAAAAATTGATATTTTTTTATAAGAAATTTTGTTTCTTCGTTTTTTTCACAATCAACATCGAAAATTATGAAATAAATGGGCAACTGCTCTGCGTCAGCCACCATAGATTTCTGAGTGTTTATTCAAGATGGTTTCCCTTGGGTAAAAACGATCGATTCACCCGACCTCTGCTTCGCATAAAAACAGGAAATTTTTCTCATACCCAGTTTTAATAATCTCTTCATTTGACCTAACATAATTCAAATAAAGAAACTGTTGAGAGTAAAAGTGCTGTGCTCTTGTATCAATTGATCCTGCTTTAAATTAACTCATATCCCTTGATACAGATTTTCTGGCAATTTGCAAAAACATACTTTTAGCATATTTGTTTATAACAAACGTATTTTTGAAATACTGATTCGAAAGCCTTCTTTCAAATCTTCCAAAACTAAAATGATTTATTCATTCATCCATAATATCCTATGAACTTAGGTTTACATTACTTAAATTGTAAGACATGAACATGAATATGGACAGGAATTCATGGGAAAAAGACTAACCTAGATTATTCATCGCTGTAAACACCAAGGAAAATCCAGACGCCTCGTCTTCGGCATCGCTGACGAAAACCAACGTCACTGCGTTACTCGATGACACAAACGTGGTGTTGGTAAGGCTTGCTTCCGGTCCGGTCAGGTGAAGAAGCAGTGTAGCGCCCTCTGGGGTCGCCCGCCTCCTTCTCACTGTCTGCCCGTTGGTGTCGTAGACGTCCAGGTAGTCGTTGGGAGCTACCAGATCGAAGGAGGAAATGACGCCCTGGATGAGCTCACCTTCGCTGGCAGTGACGGTCCAGGTGACTTGGAGGTTTGATGGATAGGAAGCGGGGTAGTTGGGAGACTTCACGACTTGAGGATTGTCCGAAGCTACGTTCATGTCTGTACCCCATGGCGTGTCTGGTAATCAGATAGTATGATGATTTACTTTTAGTATCAACTAGACATTGACAAGCATAGAACATGTGTATTGGAATATACGGGGAATTTTGATGGTAAAGCAAATCATACCGTCGATGGGATGCATATCTGTTAGAGAGTGCACCCTAATAGATGCAAAACAATAAGAACGAAATCATATAGCTCCGTTTAGTCTCATTTCACAACGCCCCCTATCGTCAGAGTCAGCAGCTTAACATGTTAGCCTATGGAATTTTACCCTAAAACATCGTTAAAAATTCGTTTTTTGTTTAAACGAAAAGCACATCCACCCCGACGTATGTTATCTCTAGCTCTTTCATTGGAACCCTCATGTCCCATTGACTTTTGAAAGTTTACCCACCGTAATTTGATAAAACTAGGTTGCAAGCTCGTCATTGCCTATAATACACATGTGAAACAAGTCGAACTTTGGACTCAGTTTGCCAAGCGATTTTAAGATTATAGGTCAAGCATACGAAGGATAAGAAGCATGAATTATCATAGATCACTTCTGCTCGGTTCATTATGTCCTTTTCATCCTAGCCCCCACCGTCATTTTTCCATTTAGTAAAAGCAAACATTTTGCCGAGGTAAGCAAAAACATGAATATTCATGACCGGTCAGACAATACAGCCTTTTAGTACGTAACGTATAGTGAATGGGAATGGGCGATGATCCGTCCAGGAAGTAGAGGTCAGTGATTTGTGCTGGCAATCTGGATCTAAGTATGTGCAAGCTTTGCAGAGATAGGTTGAAACATGATAAAATGCGTCCAATACTTGATGAGAATGTTACTATGTTCAGTCGATTCATTAAATTTGCAATAAGTTAAAACAAATTGTATGATGCCATCATCTTGTCTATTAACATTGAATGTATCACTTTAATATGTACAAATAAATGTAAGAGTGCGTTTGAGAAATCACTATGGTGAACGAGAAGGCTGACCTAATTGACAGTTAGCACCATGATAGTCGATGGGACAGAAACAGTAGTATGCTGATCCAACTTCGTTACATGTTCCTCCATTGAGGCAGGGAGCAGCGGCAACACAGTCGTACAGATCTGGGTAATATAAGATTCAAACAGTTGTTGTCAAAGAGTTTTTAAAAAAATGCACAAACATATATTTTCTAAATGGTTTCCTCTGATATAAGGTCTGACAATGATGAAAAAAGAGAATATATAATGTTGTGGATATAAAATAAAAAGGTTAAGTGTACATGATTGTTTACCACGTGGAAAACCTCCAAACGAAATTATATTGCACTGTGATCCCATTAATTATGTTATCATATCTGTGCAATTATTTTATTCATTTGGACGCCTAAATCAACAACCTAAAACAAGCTTTCTACAGGTGCTTCATTTTACTGCTACTCATTTTCACAGTTTGTTTTAGTAAGAGCTTAACATAATGCTCAAGATTTGTATCTTTTGAACTGTCATGTATATATTTGTTCAGTACTTTTAATGGAAATAAAGTAAATTGGATTGAATTAAGTTCACATTGTCCTGAATGAATTGTTCAACTATTTGTTTGTACTCACTGCAGGTATCTCCCTTCCATCCAGTAGTACATGTACATTGGGCTCCGTTTACACCAACAGAACAGGACCCGCCATTCAAGCAGGGATTTGGTTCACACTCACCTGTTTGTAAGACAAAAAGAAAATTGAACGATTCATGTTATCATATACACATGGATCATAAGCCTAACTACATTTCGCTTTTGCATATCTAACGAATGCATAATTATGCATGCAAACTGGGCCTTGTCTTACAAAGAGTTGCGATTGATCAAAATCAATAGCAAGCTCTCTAATCAATATCATGTTTGCAGTCTCCTATCTCGTATGTACATAGTCGCGATTTGATATCAATCGCAAATAAGTTGCGATTAATATCAACTCTTTGTAAGACGGGGCCCATGTATACAGTCATTATGTAAGAATTCGTTTATTATAACGATGATAATGAGTGCAAAAATATGATCGCTCAGCTGCTATTTAAATACCGGTACTTTACTTCTAATAAACTCCCTCGCTGTTTGAGTATAATGGAAACACAACCAGAGTTGTTAAGAATTTTTCTGCTAGGATATAAGATTATAAGCACTACCACTAAATTACTGAAAACGCTTGGACACCATAATGTCCAATGCCTTTAGCAAGCAAGCATATTTTGTGTTGGAATTATCTTAAAATGTATTCCTTAATCATTTTAGAGTAGATTTTACAGGCAGATCTTACTTAGTTCACAGTTAGGTCCACTATATCCAGCAGGACACTGGCATGTGTAGGCATCGCCGAATCCTGGTGTACACTGCCCGTTGTTGAGGCAGAGGTTTGGCGTGCATGGGTTCATGTCGTCTATAATGGGCGCACATTGAGGAGAGAGAAAGACGAACAGAGCAAAAGAGAGAGAATTAAATAAGATAACGCTATTACATTAGACATATAAGAGCATGAAATATTGCATTATCCAAATCTATGAACAGTTATATTCAGTTTACACCACATAATACTTTTCATTTTCTTTGATCTTAGTGCATCATTGCGGGTCCATAAAGAGAGTGTTCGAATCGCAAACCGTGATATGTATTTCACCTGCGAAAATTCTACAATATACGAATGTGATAAACATCTCTTACATCCCATTCATGACAAGATTTTTTTAAGCGATGATCTAGTCAGTGTTTCCTTTTGTCTTCATATTGGCTACTCATAACCTTGTGTACCTTTAACTAAACAAAACCCGGAGAAAATCCTGAAGCAATTCCAAATAAAATGGATCTTTGAAATCAATAAAGTTGTGCATTTCAGGTAACAGTGCTAATATTTCAATGAGAACCACTGCATAAAACGCCCTTGCACTGCCCAACAAACAATTTATGAATTAAAAAAAGTCCCTTACCAAAATCACAATTGACCCCAATATAACCTTCAGGGCATTCACAGCTGTAGGAGGTCACACTAAGAATCGTGCAAGGTGCTCCATTTCGACACGGATCCGGATCACAAGGGTCAATGTCTGTGTAGCATTAAAACAAAAGCAATTACTGCAAACGAACTCATGTGATAGAAGGTGATCAATCAATTTTGCATTCATAAGAGGAGGGTTGAGTGAACGTAAAGTTAAGACATTCTTTTGGTGAGTTTTTTAATTTCTCCTTCTTTTTATTCCCATGTGGAAAAATATTTTAGGAATTTTAGATGTAAAGGATTGTTCCTGAAATGCTAAAAGTTAAAATCAATAAACAAATCTGGATGCTCCATGTTTGTGCAGAACATTCAAGTTTTATCATGAACGCACAATTACTAAAGTATCAAATGTCCACCCCTACGGGCAATTTCCAGCATCATCGTATCTGAGAAATGTGTCTAAAATGTAATGGATAGCATGACTAACAGTAAGCGAATATTCTATTCAAGAGATAAAGAGTGTGACTGAATGTAGGAGGCAGTTCATATGTATGTGCTTCCATAAACACGTGCTAAGAAATCAAACAAAAATTAAAAGACAAACTTCTTTTTCTTCACACAAAGTGCAAACCCTATTTTCTTCTTTTTCCAAAGAAATGTTTTATTCAATCATTCTTGAGCAAAAACAAAACAATAGATTTGAACGCAGTGCAAACATATCAGTTTGATCGAAGGTGTTAATAACGTCCAATATCGGGAAGGCTCGTGCAGAAATCCAACAAATCGTCCTTGTTTTCACGAAGTGACGGTAGTGAGGAAAATCGTAACGCAAAGTGAATGCAATTTTTTGTCACTACTGTCACTTCGTGAAAACAGCGACGAAATGGAGAAAATTGTCCCAAAGACTTAGCTTACAAAAGCAAAATTTAACGTACCTTGCTCACACCTTGTACCTGAATACCCATCTATGCACTGGCAGGTATACTCCAAAGCAGAATTCACCAAACATGCTGCCCCATTAAGACACGGGTTACTGGCACATGGTAATCCTACAAAACGAAAAGAATAGAATACGGGGTATGAAAACTACAGTCTACTTAGTGAAAGTAAAAATGAATAAATAACTATGCTAGTGACCATAACACGGACGCGAAATATTGTAGTATAAAGGACATTCTATGAATACCATATACAAATGAAATGTGCGAGTGTGCCCTTATTTTTGAAAAAAAGAGTGCAATATGTTCTTAAAGAGGTGGTGACTCATAAAGGGACCCCGTCCTATCCGACGGATGGTGCGTTTTCCATTGTAATATTGCCTGTGTTTATGAAACCGGGGAGGGGTACATGGACACACAATGAACCCTACATTAATCCACTTGGGCTGGATTGTAACCTACGGGTTTTAGGTTCGACAGGGGGATATTCTACCAAATGAGCAATTGGCCTTTAGGTAAAACTGTCCCACATATCTCTATCATTCCCATGTTTTCAAAAGAAAATTGACAAATTATGAAGTTGAACTAACAGTCTATACGCAACAAGATTTATTTTATTTCATGATAGATGAAGGCACGTCCAACTTATCTAAATAATAGTATCTTGTTTTCATCGTACCATTCTTTGTGAAACGTATATACCATAAGTTTGAACATTTACTTATAGTGTTTTATGCTTTTAAATGACTCGGTAACATTGCCTCATATTCTGAAACAAATTCCTGGATTTATCTCATACTGCAATCATATTTATGAACCTTTTGGTCAGTCAGGAACATGACTTTAACAAGCCTGTCTGATTATCAAGACTTTTATGATTAGAAATCGAAATCTCATTTTTCGTTTTCCTAATGGTTTTTATAACACTACAGTCCATTGGAGAAAATGAGTATGGTAAAACCGGTCACTCAAAGATTTTTACTTTTTTGAGGCACTTCATGATCATTTTGAAGCACAATTTTTGTAGGGCTTCAATATTACACCACATCACAGACATTGATAACACATGAGGCCATGCATCTCAGATTAAATCTTGTTAAACGATGCCTTTAAGAAAAATCGAATAAAGATTGTATTTTGAGAACAAACAAATTATGCTTTCCCAGAGAACAAGCATTTGCTTCCTATCCTCCAATCTTACCTATCTCGCAGTTGAACCCGAGGTAACCCGATGGACAGGTGCATTCGTACGCACCCCCTGCCAGCACGCTACAGGTACCTCCATTACGGCAGGGATCAGAGACCAAACATGGGTTGATCACTGGGGAGAAAACAAGAGTTGAAGGGAATAATGGATAAAGTCAGCAAACTATGGGGGGAAGAGGGGGGGGGGGGGGGGTGGAGGGGCGGATAGAATCTCCCTCAACTTCCGAATCGGCTTTACATTTATAGGTATCTGCCCGTAGCCAAGTATATTTATCTAGTAATGGTATTTACGTTTGTTTGTATTTTATTTATTCTCTGCTGTTGTTTTGCAAACAAGATGATTTTAGAGGTCATAGTTTTCCCCTTCCTCGTTCACTATTATGGTTATTGTGGAAATAAGTATGGGTCAATGCTAATTGTACTGGATACTATACCGGAAAAGTGCAGCAAATCCTTTATCCTTATGCGATACATTTATCTACATCTCTAGAGTCGGATAAAGTAAATGGGTACTAAATAGAGATATAATTTCCCGAATACATATTAAGGAGCTAAAATGGCCTATGACATATACATGTATCATTACAGTTATCGTCAAATACTACTGTTTATGGCAATCGATGGGTTAAACGAGATTCGTAATTTTGAGCCTACCAACAGAACAACCGTTTTATTAATTGTATATTTGTTCATACAAATTGGATAAAATACATACATTGCAAGCAATTAGTTCCGGCGAAGCCCGCTGCACACACACAACGGAAAGTATTGGCTTGGTTAATGCAGGTAGCTGCATTGTAGCACGGGGATGACCAACAGGGATTATCTGGACGAATAAAGAATAAGAAAACGGCTTCATGTCTTCAGGAAGAAAATCAAATTCAAATAACATTCACCACAAAAGGACTTGGAATTGTGAGGTACGATAATTGCTCTTGTTTTTTAATGGTCCTCTTCGTGTTTTTTCTGTTGGGAGTGGAAATGGTTATATATCTCATTTTAAGTGTTTATGTTGTGCATTTCAAAATTTATGCAATCAATCAGCAGTTTAAACCTTTTTTCTTCCCTTGAATCATATAAATAGCAGCATTATGCATATACAATACCAAACAGACTTGCGTAAAAGTATTGTACTAATAAGTATGTCACGAATTAATATCAATGTATATCGAGGGTAGCATCCATATTTATGATGAGTATTCTATCGGCTTCATTTCCCTTCAAGGAAAGCTGTATTCAATTTTGTTTTACAAATGTAAAATGATAAATAAAACAAATACATATGTTGACAATCCCCCCCCCAAAAAAAAAAAAGCACACCAAAAACATAGTGATATTATTTCCATTTGAGTCCGACAAACTGATTTATGGATTCCTGATGCCAAATTAAAGTGTACTCCTTAAACGAGAAAAGGAACCCAAATCTTTGACAAGGCAATTACAAAATAACCGCCATGTTTGCATCTTGCTTATAAATATTCAACTTACATGTTTCACAGTTGTTTCCGGTATGATCACTAGGGCAATCACAGCTGTATTGATCGTCGACTGTTAAACATGCACCACCATTTTGACATGGGGACGACCAACATGGTGCAGCTAGAAATTAGAAATGTAAAAATGACACATGATTCATGATGAAAATTATTTGTTTTAAGTCGTGGTGCATTATACAATTGTATGGTTGATTACCAAATCTAAAACTACCAATAATAACATAAACGTTGAGAGGGACAATGCACGTCACCCGAGGTAGCTCTGCGGCAAACAACGTGAAAAAGACCTAACAAATTTAAACGACGATAGGAGTACAATTTTAAGCAAGCTTTATTAAGGGATGAATAACCACATAGACGGTTTATCTTTACCACGGTCAGAAGACATAACGTCAAACTGTAAGAGACATGTAAATGGTCAGGAGTTAGAGACATGAGTGGAAATACGGTTTGATATCAAGGTTTGTACGAAAACAGGGGGGAAGGGGGAAGGGGAACTTCTGCTGTTGCTTTTACCTTCCTTTCGTGTAAACATTCTGTACTTAATTGAGTACTATCTATTTCCGAAATGTTGTTTAAACTGACATTTGAATATTGATTAGCAGCATTGAACCCTTGCAAGTATAAGTGCTGCCCAGTTCGAAATTTCAATTGATACCAGTTAAAACCAGTAAGGATATCTAACTGGTATCTACTGGTTTGAACTGGTCTCAACTGGTACCAGTTGCCATTAACTCTCATGCAACAGTCAACAGAATGATGACCTTTACCTTGTGAGCAGGTACTTCCGGTCCAGCCGTTGGGACATGTACACTGGAAGGTGCCACCATTGTTGAAGCAGGCGCCACCATTGACGCAGGGCGATGAGCCACAAGGGTTATCTGTCATTAAACAAAACCAAGATTAAAATGATTCAACGTCATAATCACACATGAGTAACCCAACTTTCATTACTAGCCAGGCCATACTGGAAGAGGTTGGTATGAAATATAAAATAAAGTTTCAGACAACAGTTCTTTTGGATAGATAAAGTTTTGGTTATCCTTGATGGAAATTGTTAATCCATGACTTTTCAATTACCTCTTTGTTTCATTCATTTCGACCCCATCCCCTTTATAATAGTTATGAAGCTATTGTATTGCAAGATATTCTAGGGCCTATACTCTGATAATGGTGTCTACCTTTCTAAAGCACTCCTAATTTTAGACACTATGAATATTTTTTTATTACCAAAACAGCTCTTATAATTATGAAGGATTTTTGTATAGAAATAACAATATAATAGTGAAAAGGGTATCTCATTTTCCGTCGATTTCGCCCCAATGATAAGTGAACACTGTGATGTTGAAAAGAATCACAGGACGAAGGTATGATAAGTGACTGAATTTGTTGACTTTATATACTTACATGTAGAGCACGTCGATCCCATCCACACGGACGGACAGCTACACACATAGTTAAAGCCGCTTACAAGACATGTAGCTCCATTTCGACATGGCGATGTGTAGCAAGGATTGGCTATACAGAAAGAGAACATAAACAGGTAAATGAAAAAACAAGTAAAAATTATGATCGGATGATTTTATCGGTACTGAAAAGAGTAAGTTTAAATGTAAAAGAGGTGATATATTTGGCATAAAAGCATATTTCTAATTAAACGCTATAATTGGCTTTCAATACCTGTATCTTTAAGAAAAAAGTCTCCAAGAGTAAAACAATATTTTGATTCATTAACAGAAAACTTAAGGGGGAGACAGGCTTGCCATATATAAAAAAAAAACTTTTTTCCTATCTTTTGGTAAAGACCTAATCATATTCATGGGATTATCACTTCCATGACTTTATTTTGACAAAACAGTGGACACCATTTAAAATTGATAAGGAAATTCTGCTTTTTCCTCAAATGGAACATTTAGGGAAAATCCTTAAGAAAAATCATAATGCTGGACAAATTCAATGAGCATATACCTCCCCCTTCACTTTAATATTAATAGGTAGTATACAGTCAAACGTGTCTATTGAGGCCACTCGGAGGAAGCAGAGACAGCAGCGAATGTAGACGGTGACCTTTCTAGACAGGTTCCACAATACACATCTCTTTCTCAACAGAGACAAAATCCATGACCACTATAGACAGGTTGGACTGTATTTGAAAGTGTAAGCCACACTTACCAATTTCGCAAGTTGGTCCAATGAAGGCATCAGTACACTCGCATGTATAGCCAGATCCAGATGAAGAACATGGTGCTCCATTCTTACACGGGTTGGTCGCACAGGCAGTAACTGTAAGGGTAACATTCAAAGAGCACTTGTAATATAGTCATTTTCTTCTCTTCTCTCAAAAGCCGTTCTCATTATGACTTGGTGCGATGATTAATGTAGATATATCTTTCATTTCCTAATAAGACACATACCTGATAATTATATGCACAATAATCATATAGTAAACACTTTGCCAGTTATAAAATGTTTCTGCAATCTCTAGCCCCTCCCCCTAAAAAAATGAACAAGCAATACCGTCTGTTTTTTATGCTACTGATAGCTATCCATGATCTAGCTTTAGCCCTGCTTTGGACATATTGATCATGGCGCATTAACATTTCATATATAACAAACTCTTGATTGTCAACCCTAAGAATGCCAAGAGTTCAAAGAATGGCAAGTAAAGAGACATGCAAACTTTTAACATTGATGGACTCACTTGTGACAGATTATGAAGGGGCACATGAGGCATGCATGCATTTTGATTTTGGGTCAAATTTTCAGGCTGACATGCATTTATATATTTTTTTTTTTTTATGCATTCCTCTCCAATAAATATTGGGCTAAAAAATACACATTCGTGTATGCTAGATCGGGCAACCACTGTTGTTTCCTTTGAAATCATAGATACCAAGCCTAGATTCACCAAATTTAGGCCCAGGAATACAAATTACACTATGAACATGACGGACAAAGAAAGAGGACAAAATATACAGTTCCTCAGGTAGACAAAGGAACATCCCTTCCCTGCTATTATATAAAAATGTGTAGAACAGGTGTCACATGCATATTCACCTGTTCTACACATTTTTACATGATAGTAGCAGTGAAGGAATGTTCTTTTGTCTACCACAGCAATTGTTGAGGGTAGAATGAGGAACTGTATATTTTGTCCTCTTTCTTTGTCCGTCATGTTCATAGTGTTTAGATCCATTCACTTACCTTGTTCACAGTTCACCCCTATATATCCATCTTGACAGACACACGTGTAGTCGGTCACTTGGTTTACACAGGGTGCTCCATTGAGACAAGGATCCGGAGAGCATGCATCATTTGCTGGTAAAAAAAAGGGCATGAGAATGAATTGAACAGGACTGATCTTTAGTACATCACGAGTCAAAACACAATCTTGAGAAGGAGACACTAGAATCATAAAAACATACAGGTAACAGCTGAAATCATTCATGCCCTTACCAAGATTTTATAATTTGTACGTATTTGACACAATTGACTTGTCTCGATTTATGTTTTGTGAAAATGTAACATATTTTGTATTCCTGAGTTTACTTACGAGAAACTCAAAACACATCAAATTTATAAGGGTAACGAATAATTTAATTTTTATTGTAATGAGAAGATTAGGAGAGAAAGACAATGAATTCAACTAGGAAACGTTATCATTTCGTTTAGAAATCGTCATTAAAGGGAATATATTAAGTAGAGAGGCAGTACCGAACAGGAAATGTCAGCTCATAGTATTGCATAACGTTGAAATTAGTCTCAAAACCCTAATTATCATACTATTAAGACCGACATAAGAACAATAACAGACCGATCAAACATTACTTTAGCTAGAAGCGGTCTAGGGAATGTTTAAAAAAAAATGAAGATCGATTTAAAGTTGGACTTAAATATGGCAGCCGTTCATGCCACTATTTGCTCTCACCATTTACTGGCATTGGTCTCTCAAGGGACGTACAAATCGTGGTCACAAATCTACAGTTTTTGTTGGTGTAAATTCATTATTGAAGGAAAAATTATTATCTAAAGATCATAATGGTGAGAGCAAAATGTGGCATGAAGGGTCTGCGATAGTTAATTCCAACTTAAAGTCGATCTTAGTCTTTGTGAAACACTCCCCCGGAGTCGGTTTTGGGGTGTGACTGAATTATTACTGGTCAAGAGTAAACTAGATATTTGGAAAGCTTGGAAACCTGTAGTTTCTCGGTATATACATCTAAAAAATCATCTAAAGATATATTTCGATGAGATTTTCTTACCAATTTGACATTCTTGTCCGCTGTATCCATCTGGGCAATTACAGAAATAACCCACTTGAAGTGAGAGGCACTCTCCCCTGACACAGGGATTACTGAGACAGGCTCCTGGCGCTGAAAGAAAACATGAACAAATAATGATAAATCTGGGCCCTGTTTGATAATTTCTTTTTTTTATCAATAACAAGTATCATATTTCTGTATCAAATTATCTCACAGCCTATCAGGTGCAATGATTTTAGTAGCTGATAACAGTCATTGTAATTTGTTATTGATGTCACGTTTCACTAAAACAAATTATATAGCGTTTAATACCGTCTCTAAGCACTTTAAAAATATTATTATTACCCCGGTCATCGCATACGGTGTGCACAAAGGCTTTCATTTGCATACAACTCATGAATATTCATAAGCATTTCCTACTTACGTAGCTGACAGCTGGATCCTGAATAGCCTCCAATACAGTTACACTGGTAGGCGCCTGACCCGAGGTCACTACACATTCCACCGTTCATACATGGGCTGTTTGCACACGGATCAACTGTTGAAATGAAATGATATGACATGAGATAAAAATATCTCATCTTCATCATCATCATCATCATCATTATCATCATCATCATCATCATCATCATCATCATCATCATCTTTCTGAGTCATCACACAACTAATATTCCAATACCTAGCAATAGTAAGAGTGACGTCATTGGTCTCTGTCAGGTCCCTCCCAGTGCATGTATCAGCCAGCGGTTCTAGGACACCTACCCCCTGGACATCCACCCCCGGATAACCACCCCCAGTCAACTACCCCGTAGGACAACTACCCACTAGGGCAACCACCCTCTAGGATGACTACCCTCGGGACATCTACCCCCAAACAACTACCCTCTACGACAACTACCCCCCAGACAACTACGATTGGCCAAATGCAAATCACTTTACCAACAATATTTTACGAATCGCTTCTCTATTCGCGAAAATGGTCGTATCATGAAGTTACTGAATACTTTAACCGTCTCAATCATGAACCTCCAACATTTGTATATTATGTATACTGAAGATTATTCAGCTCGTAGAGGAAAATTAAAGTAAAGACCATTCCCAAACAGGATATTTCTCTTCATGTATTTTGTGACACATACACACCATTCATCTGCAAGAATCTTCAAGAGTGAGGGAGGCAGAGTAAACAGAAGAAAGAGACAAAGAATAAAAATAATAATGAGAAGAAAATAAAGAAAAAATCGGATCGTCGTCAAAGGTTTGCAGTTATTATCAGGATTTGTGAAAAAATAAAAACACATGATGTACTCACTTTGTTCGCAATTCTGGCCTTTAAAACCAAAATTACACTGACAGGTATAAGTTGAACCCAATACTGTACAAAGACCGTTGTTCAGACATGGCTCAGACGAACAGGGAGCTAAAAATGCAGAAAAGGATATTAGATTTAGTAAGTGAATGTTGCAGCACTACAACTGATATGGCAAAGACTTACATAGAGATGAAATCTTCCAGTTCTTTTCCATTACCCTTGTGTGATCAAGGAAGTTGATCTGGACTTCTATTTATTTCTTTAATTAGCATAAGCATGAAACAGTAGAGCGAATGTAGAACATGAATTGATACATACGTTTGACAAAGAAAGGTACTGTACCTTTCTTTGTCAATGAAAACAATATTCTAATATTTAGATAAGTTGGACGTGCCAGAATAAAATTAACCTATCTTGTTGCGCATATATTGTTTGTTCAACTTCATACAACATAACGACATTAAAAGATGAACAATTTCTACCCGGGATGCAAACAAAAATGAAATGATTAAATCTAAACTTACTTAATTCACAGAACTCCCCAGTGAAGCCCGCGGGGCAGCTACAGACATATCTATTACTCGTATCGAAAGGAAAGCATGTTCCTCCGTTCCCGCAAGGATTGCTATCACATGGATCCAATTCTGAAAAAAGGATATACAAATTAAAACATTTTAGCTACTAATGGTTTTTAGCATTTATTATATTTAAAACATCTCATAAGCTTAATGCGAAATATAATATTGGAACTGCCTTCTGATGGAATCTGGCTTTCTTCTGTCCTGAAGTAGACATATAAATTTGTCGTTTGTTATAGTTAAACGTAATTTTCAGAAGGCTGTGTTGGCTAAGAATCTATGTAGAGTTCTTGCTTAGAAATTGCACTATGAGAGATTGAATGTGGTGGTGGTTATTTTACCTGACTGCTAAGAAAGCAAAAATGCTTGTAAGTAAGCAACCAGACGGCCGACGGCTTTAGGTCCTCTCCGAGGGACCTGGTAATGAGGACTACAGGTAATACCTTACCAAACCCGGGTCACCGGATCACGAGACCACTGCTCTACCGACTGAGCTATAGCTTGAACTAAATTACAAAGTCGTCATCAATGCAGCATAAACGGCTTGAATTGGTCACTTACAGTTTGGGGAAAGACTTTTTTTTAAATATTAAACAAACAAGGGTTCCTTGCTTTAGGGATGATATGAATAACTTTAATATCTGAGCCCTAAAACATGAAATATGCTGCCCCATACGGTGGAGGGGGTGACCCCTGTGAACTAACCTGTCTCGCAGTAGACGCCAACAAATCTGTCATTTGGACAAATGCAAACGAATGAGCCTCCTCCCTGAGTTTCCACGCACTGGGCATTGTTCAGACATGGATTACTATTACATGGCACAGCTGTTGGAAGAAGAAAGACAATGAAGAAATCTTTAGTATTGATAATTGAAGATTAGGAAAGAAATGTTCAGCCGAATAGGTAGAAATAAATGTAGTAGTAGTCGAAACTAATACCACGTGATACTGTTAAAGTACAATTTGTTGCTTTGTTTCATCAGATCCTTTTCCAGTACGATACTGAAAACCTATTTCTATGTTGAAAATGTAACTGGATCATTTGTAATATTTGAATACCTATTGCAGTTTTATTCATTATTAATGACCCCACGAAAAAAAAAAATGTTTTCGTTAATACGGCCATAATTGACTATCCACGGTATTTATTTCCATGTATTCTTTTGAATTTGGATGAATAAAAAGAATTGAAATCTACATCATGTTTTATCAATTGCATATTCCTGATTACTGAAACAAACAGACGAAGTACCAAATTAAAAATTTGCTAAATACAAAAGTGAATGGCTATCTATGAGTTCTTTTAAGAAGATGTTGTTATGAAGGTGAGCGGGTTCCTTCTATAAAACACATTAAATTCGTTGTATTACTTGATGAATGGAGACATGTGCAACTGATGTAACAATGTTTGTTTTACCACTTTGTTACTTTGTACGTTAAAATCTATTGTTTTGTTCTTGCTCAAGAAAGATTAAATACAACAACGAAAAAATTGGGAAAACAGTTTAAAATCACACTGACCTTGTTCGCAATTGGTTCCTTCATAGCTACTAGGGCAGTTGCAAACGTACTGGAAGCCAGTGTTAGCCCTGAAACAGGCTCCCCCATTCGCACACGGTGAGCTGCCGCACGGATCCAACTCTGAAATTATGGGATATCAAAAATATGAATAAACAGACACTGAGTATCCTAATTCTACGATAATGGAATCTAATCAGATCTGGAATTTCCTAGAGATGTAAAATCTAGTTACCAGATTTAACGGTATAGTCAGACAGAAATACTGCAAAATATGGCATTTCTGAGTGTTAAGTTTCAACATATGTTGACATTTTTATGCATATACTTGTGAGGAACAAGGCACATCGTAGCGCACATACATGCTTTGATTCGTCATCAACATAATAATATTATGTAACTACATATTATGTAGTTACTCGAGTTCATCCTTAGATTGATTTACGAGAAAGTATTTACTTTAAGTGGACAGTTTTTGTACTCCATGCAAGATGGGTTGATCACCCACCCCTTTCTCTCTCCCTCTCCCCTTCTTCTCTTCCTCCTCTTCTTCATTTTTGGGGTCTTCTTCTTCTTCTTCTTTTTACGATTCAAATTAAACCTTTATTTGGTGGACCATCAGAAAAAGAAAACAAACTTGCAACATTGATTCCTAAATACTAGAATCTGTTATCCACCTAGAAGAATTGAAGAGCATATATACTTTAAAAGATGCATGTTAATACCGACAAAAATTGCCTACGATAAGATACCTGTTTCACAGCGGGTCCCTGAAAATCCTTCCCTGCAGACACAGGTATAAGCATAGGTGGATTGACTATCCGAACAGATTCCCTGGTTCTGGCATGGGATGCTCGCACAAGCATTCAATCCTGTTGCGAAAAAATGGATTTCTCAATTTAATCATATGGATACAGACGTAATACTTTGTAACTTTGATCAATACTCTGTAACAAAGGAATTTAGAGGCGCTTGTGTTATGTGAATTCAATGTCAAAGTGAGTGGCTAAAGATGCAATTTATATATATATATATATATTTTTTTTTTTTTTTTGGGGGGGGGGGCGCTTAGAGAACTATACTTAGCTTAATGCGTATATTCCATCAACTGAAAGCTTTTTTTTAAATTGTAGAATACAACGATTTCAAGAAATTTATCACAGTGGAGCTAACAGTAAAATAAAACAGACTCAAGCAAAGATTTTTAGACATCGGAACCAGGTAATAAAAATTGTGAAGGCCTATCAAAATTAAATTTGTAAGAGAACCTCGATCAATATATATTTCCAGTTGGTTTTATAAAAGTGAATTATTTTACTTTAATTAGCCCGTGCAGTATGTCGAGAAAATCGTGATGTGCATTTAGAATACAAACATCATGCAGAATAAGCATATATTGTTTTCATACGAACGAGACATATTTATTTTATGATGACGGTTCATCTTTATTTCTTTCAGATCTGGGCCCCGTATTACAAAAAATTGATATCAAGCATTTGTATTTGTTTGGAAAGTTTGTATATGTTATGATTTGATTTCTTAATAAGCGCATAAATAAAAAGAATTGATACCAATTGCCAATTATTCGCGATTGATATCAATCGCAGCTATGTAAATAAGAGATAGGAGATTGCAAACTTGCGATTGATTGGAGGAATTTTTGTAAGACGGGGCCCAGTACTCACGTGTTTCGCAGTTAGTGCCTGCATAGCCCAAGGCACATTGGCAGAAGTAGCTATAATCGTTTGGTGAGCGGTAGCAGGTTCCACCAGACTGACACGGTATGCTATCACACGGATCAAGCTCTGAAAATTATTAAAAAGAAATAGTATGTCAACTTTTTAAAAATCAATCCATAAAACAGGCATTTGGAATATCACACATAGATATGCAGTTGTTTTTCTAAAATTGATATAGATGAAATATGCTCCTGTGCTAGAGTTATCATTTGATAAAATATCACTTTTTTCATAACTGAAGACAACTATTAAGAAAGAAAATAAAAAATGAGAATTGTGGAGCGCCAGGAGTGTCATGTTTGACAGACATTAACGCAATACAATAACCCACTATCCGTATTATTATTTTGAGACTGCAGAAAAGGCTAGGGTCCCTGAATGGTCCATTATGTGGATATGTTGATAACATAAGTATATGCTCCTGTGCTGGAGTTGTCATTTGAAAAATCATCTTTTTTCCATGAAAGCTCAAGAAAATTGTTAATAAAGGAATAATGAGATACGACACGAGGGGAAAATGGTTCTCTGAATGGTTCAATGAACGTGCTGATTAAAATATTCTAATTTATCACAAATAGAATTAGGTAAAGAGATAATTGTAGTTGGTGCTATGAATTTCCACTAAGTAAGAGCTGTTTGAAGAATATTTTAGCTGTATATTAAAAAAAAATAAGGGAAAGGAAATGGGTTATCAAATTGTCGCAGGATTTCCGAGATGCTTTATTAAATTGTGATGCTATCCGTAAATCATAATATTGTCAGTTGTATTTTTCTGAGTTGGTGAGATAATAAACTTTTTATTCATGACTATTTGTGCCCAGAAATACTTGATGATAATCAGCAAAGTGTAAACATATAGAAAAATGACCTGGAAATGTTTCACAAAGACCAAGATCGACTTTAAGTAAGACATTAATATGGCAGGCCGTTCATGTGCCACTAGTTCCTCTAACCATTCCTGGCATTGGTTGTTCAAGGGATGTACAAATCATGCATACCTATGTCACAATGAACACCTCCGTATCCCTCTACACAACTGCAGGCATACCCGAATCCTGTGGTGAGGCTCACACAGGTAGCACCATTCTGGCAGTAATCTGCATCACAGGGGTCCAGTCCTGTTATATTGAGAAGAGAAAGAAAAAAAAAGGAAGAAAGGAAGGAAGAAAAGAAGGAAGAAAGAATGAAAGAAAAGAAACAAGGAAAACAAAAATAAAGAAAGGAAGGAGGAAGAAAGAGACCAAAAACAAAAGTAGAAAAAATGAAAGAAAGAAGGTACCAAGAAAGAAATAGAAGGAACAAACAAAGAAAAAAAAGAACGAATAAAGAAAGGAAGACAGGAGGAATGAAAGAAAGGAAGGGGAAAACGGAGTCAAAATAAGATTTTTTATAAAATAAATCCATTTTACACTGTCAAAATATTTGGTATAAAATGCTCAATATGAGAAGGGTAAACCCGATATTTGTTGTTTTCTTTTTTTTTTCGGAAAAAGGGGCAAGTGCCCCGGTCTATGCCCTCTGTAGGTACGTCACACACACAAACAAAAAACACACGCACATATATGTCAATGTACTTACTTATTTGGCAAATGTTTCCATCGTATCCTGTCGGACAGTTGCACTGATAGGTGTAGGATGTACCACTCCCAATACAGACTCCTCCGTTCTCACAGGGATTTTCAAAGCAAGGGTCGAGTACTATACCAAAAAAAATCAAACAAAATCAAACAGTTAAACAAAGAAACACGTATAGATTGAGAGAGTGAGAGAGAGAGAGAGAGAGAGAGAGAGAGAAAGAGAATGTGATGGTAGAAAGGGAAAGAGAGACAGAGAGGGGTGGTTCTTGGGTGTGCCACTTCGGGTTTAAATTGGGGGGGGGGGGGGGGGGGGCGTCATTGTACTCACGGAATTCGCAGCGATCTCCGATGTAGCCAGTCGGGCAGGTGCAGGTATATTCGTATTCTCCAGTCACCCTGTTACAAGCCCCTCCGTTCAAACATGGTATGCTGCTACAAGGATTAGCACCTGCGCAAAAAGAGAAAGTTATGGGGTAGATCATAAGAAACAAAATAAAAACTCTGTGGAATAAAAATTACATAGATGACACAGTGTTTGATAATGAGACAAAGATTAGAGTGACAAAATAATCGAAGTTTTCTTAAACTATAATTACGATTCGATTAAGCCTTCTTCTAAACTTATACATTTGAACGTTAACAAAAAATCACACACAAATATTAACCTATGTAGGAAAAAGCGTTCTTTCTTTATTCATTAACCACATCCCTTTTAATGCGGTTGATTTAATATTTTCAAAGCACACTACCAGGATAGGATAGTGAAAGATGGAGTCGAAGAGCGATAGAGAGAGAGATAATGATAGAAAAATAGACAATAAAAACATTAGGCACTTTCCTTTTTGTCTACCCACTCATAATGCATCAATAATAATTTGTGAATTTAGCAATCTGTAACAAACTTGACGATATATAGTCTCGGTCTTCAAGTTACGGTTGAGGTATGTGCAAATTTCGTGACAATTGCTCCGTCACCAAGATCTTGAAGAGAACATTATTGTTCTTTCCTGGGGGTACAAGATGCAAGTTATTTCAAATCTTTCAGCATTTCACAGAGTGAAACTTGTAGTATGTGGATAAAACCGTGAAGTTCATTCTGAACGTAGAAATACAGCTTATTTAATTTGGAACACACAGAAATCATTTTCCCATATTCCCTGTTGACAACTTACCAATATTGCAAGTATCACCGCTGAATCCGGGTTGACAAGTACACGTGAAGTAGGCTGCAAAATTGGTACATGCCCCGCCATTGTTACAGGGTGAGCTCATGCAAGGGTTAGAAACTGCGAGGGAAAAATCAGATAAATGACACAAAATTGGAATCTTCCTCGTCATATGAAGCCAAAGAGAATACCATCAGCTACACGCAAAAAAGCAGTTACTGCCATTGATAATGCTAGCGAGTAGCGGACAATATTACAAATTGTACCTTTAATGTCATGATGTGTTGTGAGAGAATCTATCTAGAAAATATTTGTTTTAACTGACCATCCCTTATTTTGTGTATTCGAGAGAAGTTTACACGTACGTAATAAAATCTCGAAGACGATAATTAATGGCTAAGAATTGATGACTGATCCTTTTATTAATTGTCGACAAATCATGAAAATTTAATAGAAAGATATATGTATAACCTCATACAAAGGAATTAATCTGGTTAGTCTTCTTCATTCTATTCTTTGAACATTTCTTGGTTGATCTTGAAAAGAAAATCAAAGAGGCTGAGTAGATTCTGGACAAGCAGATTCTAAAGCTACGTCACACAAAATCAAAAATTGAGCTTTCAGGTGCATCGCGCCAAAGCTTTGAAATATCTACTACAAGACATAAGAAAAGCCTCATCTGTTGCTTTCTTCAAAGTTTTATTGAAGACGAACTTATGTTAAAGGGCGTTTGAATAGTTTGTTTTATTGTCTGTAAAGTAGCACTGCTAAGAGTTTTGTTTTTATCACAGCACATCAGAGTAAATTTATGTAGTGGCTACGTAATATTAAAGCCCCACTGCTCTAATTTGGCCAGGAGGGATTAGACCTCCCTGCATGGTCACTGACAGGTGGTTGTCTCATCAAATCAGCTCTCAATTAACGTAAGAAAAAGGGGACCATAGGGGACCAATGGTAATTTGTAGAAGTGTCGTAGTCGAGTGGTTTAAGCACTTGACTTGAAATTCAAAGGTCGTGGATCGATCTCCGACACGGCACTAATGTCCTTGGGCAACGCATTAATCTTAATTTGCCACACTCGACCCAGGTGAGGTAAATGGGCACCTGGCGGGAATAAATTCCTTGAAATGCTGGACCGCTTTGATTGCAGCTAGGCTAAAGCCGGGGTAATAATAAATGCGCCTCGGAATAGAACGTCTTGATAGACGGCGCTATAGAAATTCCTATTATTATTATTATTATTATTCACCGATTAGGCATTGTTTGCTATATATAGGGCGCAAGTACCTGTAAGTAGTGCAGTGGGGCTTTAATTGATCTAATTATTTACCAGTCAGACAGCGGTCGCCTTCTAAACCCGGACCACACTGGCAGATGTACCTATCATGGGTGCCTAGATTGCTACATGTTCCTCCATTGTAGCAGGGGTTGCTATCACAAGGGTCGAACGCTGAAAGTAAAACGGAGACATGATGAAAAATATGCAAAGGAAAAGTTTAAAAATATAGTTTAATCTGGGATTGAAGTTCCTCCCTGAGAATATTGAGCCAAATTCACATCTTGACATGATTACAGATCTAGTGTATACCCAGTTATGAAGCAATTAAAACATAATTCGTAGTTGGTGCATTGACATGAATACACTTTATTGATTTTATCAATAATGGAGTTGCATAACTCATGATAACTAACGACTTTTAATCTGCTATGACCTATCCTCGGTACATCGCATATTCCCACCAAAGCAAGAACTTTGTAGTTATTGATCACTTTGAACTAACTGGTTATGATTTGATCAATAAGGTACAAGAAATTTACAAATGAATCAGAATTTTTTCCTTCTCCAGTTTAATCATATGCTTAATATCAATAAAAAGAAGCATTTATACTGAACATCCATTATTTAAAAAAAAAGAGCATTAAGAAAGGAAGATACCCTCACTAAGTAAGACAAATTATCATCACTTACTGTAGGTTTCACAGTTACTGCCTTCATAATAGGTGGGGCAATTACATGTGTGAGAATAGACGTCATCATTGCTGATGTTAATGATGCATGTACCTCCCGACTGACATGGGTCATTGAAACACGGATCCACTGTGGAAAGGAAATGGTGAAGAATAGTAGAATGAGAGTCAGGCTGGAGTTTGGGAAATCATATTGATTCCCAAGAAAAAGTAACAAAGGGGTATCCAGTATTGTTTCTTATGCAGTGGTGATTCGAAATCAACTCCAGCGGCAACTCCTACGGGCTTTATTTCGTCAAACGCATACCAAGGTTTAGACAAACCTTGGTCTGAAACGCGTCAAAACGCGTCATATGACGCGCATAAACCTATAGGTTTGTCCACAAACCTCCTTTGTGAATTAGGGCCACAAGGTTCGGGTCAGGGTTGCACTCGGGTGTTATGTTAGGATTTGCTTTAGGGATATGGTCAGGATTAGATCAGTCACATTCATACGTGTATATAAAGAAGTGAAACACCTAAGCCGGGAGTATTGGTCCAATTTGTACTTTATTTTGCTGCTCATTATTTAGGTATAAAGAGGTTTTAGGAGAATACGGATCATGGAGTTAGAGGCACAACTCAAAGTGCTCTAGAGTCTAGACAGTCGTCTTCACAAAGGAAGGGAGAGGTTCCACAATACATCCAAAGGTAAAGTCTACATAATATGTCCCTTTCGATAAAATAAAAAATACATGTGGTGAATATTTAGAGTAATTTTGTAATCACCTATTTTTTTCTTCAAATAAAGTCTTTATTCATATGTTTTCAAAGCATAAAAGGCTATAAGCAAATGTACACTATGATGGATACATACGTTTGACAAAGAATGGTACAATGAAAAACGAGATTCTAGTATTTGAATAAGTTGGACGTGCTTCCATCTATCAATAGGTCTATTGCGAATAGATTGTTTGTTTATCTTCATAATGATATTTTAATTTCTTTTGAAAATAAATTTTAATTTGATAATTACCGATGTTACAGGTGGGTCCAAGAAGTCCGGTGGTGCAGTCGCACTGAAAGTTGGGTTGCCCAAGCTGATCAAAGACGGTGTTACAAGCAGCTCCATTGAAGCAAGGGGTAGTCCAGCATGGACTCACTGCAGATGAATAAAAGAAGTACAAGTACAGCTTGTGAGCGTCAAGTAACACCCGGCTGGAATGCTCCCCAGGGAGTGGAGATTGTGCACACAGTGTGTGCGGGCAAGCACCGAATCCAATGACCGGGGTAATAGTATATTTGTAAAGCGATTAGAGACATTTGTATTAAGCGCTATATAAAAATTATTTTTTTATTATTATTTAAGTACCTTTTAGACTTACATTCTCATAGCAGTAGAAGTATAGAAGAAGTAGTAAGTAGAAGAAATAGTAATAGTAATAGTAGTTTATAGAAGCAGTAGTAGGAGTAGGAGTAGTAGTCGTATGAGTAGAAGTGGTATAAGTAGTTGTAGTAGTAGTAGTAGAAATAGTAGAAGTAGTAGTAGTTAGAGTAGGAGCAGTAGTTAGTGGTAGAAACAGCAATATCATATAGCATTCTGATTGTTTAGAACTCTTTAAACATGGAATAAGTTAACATATGACGTCAAAATATGTTATTAACAAAAATCCAAAATACAGATCGGGGCTTCGTTGCATGAAAACAAATTATTGCCATGAATATTAACAACCATGGCAACATCACACAACGTTCAATGAATCAAGGTTTCAATTAATCAAGGTTTCAATTCATTATGCAGCCGATGGGACCCAGAAATATTATATTGCTCACACTCGGAATTGTTTCCTATGGAATTCTATTTAGGTTTTCATGTAGGACACCATAGAGTTATACAAATGAGAAAAAAAGAAGAAGTAGACTTACGATTTTCACAGTTGACTCCATAGTACGATTCCGAACATGTACACACGTAGAAAGATACATAATTTGTGCAATCACCTCCATTTACACAAGGGAAACTATCGCATGCATCAAACACATCTGTAAAATAAATTAAAAAGATAAATTAAAAATTAGAGTGTAAGACAAGATTTGTAATTCATCCACTGGAATATATCAAGCATTGATGATTATAATTATGATTTCATACTTGGATAATGACGTATCGAAAAGTCACTAAAGGTCGACAATGGTTTGAACCCTAGCCCGTCGCGGTACTTATGCTGTTTGGCTTGACATGTTACTCTCCAATCAGGCGTAAGAAATCGGTAAAAGAATTGACTTGATGCTCTTAACGCCTTGGGGAGCTTTAGCTGGGGTAAAGCTACGGCATAAGTAGTACTATATTTAGGGTTGCATGTCGTTTTCGAAAGGTCCATAATAACGAACGATCGTAATTCAGAAAACTAAATAATGTTCGTTCTTCCGAAGGTTCACAGAAATGACAAGGAACCCTCAGATTTTTGAAGCTTCGGAAAAACAAACTTCCCCAACAATGAATACCTTCCCTTATTAGGCACCTCCAGCATTTCCCCAGTTATGGATAATTGCATAATGTAATCACAGCTATTATTTTTATTATCATTATTATCATTATTATTATACTTATTGTTGATTATTATTATTATTATCATTGCACCTCTATAGTGTAGAAAGTGGTACTTACACGGCGTCTCACAGTGATACCCCGTCCAGCCTGAAGCACAGACACACTGATATGCTGTGTTCTGACCGACTAGCATGCAGGTTCCATCATACATGCAAGGAGAACTCAGACAGGGATCGTAAAATCCTGTTCAAAATGATGAAATGGAACAGTGTAAATACAAATAATAAATCTGATGTGAATGGTCCTACGTGTTATTAGCGTCTGTGATATACAATGGTGTAATATTGAAGCCCTAAACAAAATTGCGCTTCAAAATTTCTTATCATTTTGAGGATTCCATAACCTTGCAGTACACCTCAATACTTATATGCTACATGATCAACCTTTTCTGATCGATTCCACGCCGTTTCTTTCACAATGCAATCGCATGACCAGAACTCAACTTTATATTTAAGCGTCATGATATCAGTAGCTTATTTTAATAATAATATCTTTTAAAGTGATAACAACTATTATGAAACAAGGTACAGTAGCATATCTCACCTATTGAGCAGTCATCCCCGGTAAAGCCAGGCCTGCAGTCACAGGTAAACTCCCCTCCGCTAGGTACACAGGTCCCTTCATTCTGACAAGGGTTACTATTGCATGGAACAGCTGAGGGAATAAAAGATCAAAGTGGATTTAAAATGATCTGCAAGAAAGATATTTCCTCAAAGAAACATCAGCAAATTATATAACACAATTCCGCTGGTAACAAAGGGCATTGAGGTGTCATGTCTTGGCCAGCATTTTAGGTATTTACAATGGAATATTATTAGGCACTGACTAAAACGGGTTAATCGCTTTAATGGTAATACAGAAGGGAAGTACATTTTCATAATTCATTATAAATGGATGATGCATAAAATTATTGCTTATTTATCCTTTCATTGGACTACAAAGGATAAATGAAGGGTCATTTTGTCTGGCTGTCCCTCTGTCCCCCTCTCTCCTTCTCTCACTCTCTCTTTCTCCTCCTCTCACTCTTTCCCCCTTCTCTCCCTCTCTTTTCAAGGGCTGGATCACATACCAGAACCATTATACTTTCTTTCCCCATTACTAAATTTTTATGTCCCGAGCCTTCTTCTTTATTATGTTACATGTTTTGTATCAACTATCAAGTTGGACACTATCCCATATAAAAGGAACAATTACGTTTTTTCTTCTTCAAATAATGGGACTCCAGGTCAGAGTAAATGGTCATTATTTATATCCTTATCTTTTACATATCGCGAAAGACCTAGACCCTCTCAGACCTTCAAATGTCGCCAACAAAATGGTGGACCTTTAGCAAAGTGCATGAACCAACTTACGTATATCACAGTTATCACCGATCCAAGGCCACACGCAGCTACAGTTATATCCGCTATTTCCCAGCGTACATGATCCACCGTTAATACACGGTTGAGAATAACAGAAATTCTCTGTGGGTATAAAGTGGGGGTGGAGAGGATTAGTATACCACAGTATGGATGAAGTGGAAATACATATCCATATCTCATAAATAATGAATAGTTGTTTATATAATTTTAACATGAATACACATTGTGGTGTTTGTGACGTATGAAGTTACTGTCAGGTTTGAAAAATGGTGAATCAAACACTTTGAATTTGTCACTGGATTTTTACACACAGAATAATTAAAATTGTTGTTGGCATAAGGTTATGTGCCAACGATGACAAATTAACGAAAACATCAATCCATCCTAAAATAGTAACTGATGGTGCTGCTGTATCACTCCATTTTCAGTTATGATTTAAATCAATTTATAAACCAATGACAGAAATAATCAAAAACCCTTTTCACCTCATTAAGGTATTTTTATGATATTAAGTGAGATATCCTTAACCATATTACTTGAAAATGATATAATAAAATAAAAATATAATGCCTCATGAAAATTATATTGATAATGAAGAAATTTGTAATGTTCATATAAGAAAATATGGGAATTTATGTCTAACCTATTTCACAGCGGTCGCCCAAAAACCCAGTCTGACAAACGCACAGGAACGTGTCACTGCCGAGCTGACAGGTGGCCCCATTGAGACAGGGATTGTTCAAGCAGTAGTTGACTGTAATGAAACGGCAAACGAATATCGTGGAATAGTAAACAAATATACCATGCACTGAGAGGCTCTAGTTGAAACTATTGAACGAGGTGGCAGAAATAGCACTATATTTGTTGCCGAGGAATCCATAATTTCACCAGTTGCTTGTAATAGTGCATGATATATTTGTTTTATATTATTTAAACAAACCTGAATAAAAATAATAATAATTTCTGTCACCGAGGAATCCATAATTTCACTAGTAGCTTGTTCGTTCGCATATTCATGGTATGGTGCACTTTTCCATGGATGACGTCACGGTATAGCACATTTTTCTTATCGGTAATATTATAGCAATGTTATGTTTGGTCATGTGATGCTTTGTTGATCAATCACTGAACAGGATTTCACTAATCAAAAATACAATAAATAATATCATAATGAATTGTGTGGAATACTTTGGAATGAATAGCAACAAAATATTATGTAGAAGTATAATTAAAGGTTATAAAATGGATGCAAACATAAACAGTAATCAATTTACATGTAAACATCTAAGTTATCATACATTGTGTATAACCTGTTCCCTCTCTCGCTCCCCCTCTCTCTCTCTTTATCCCTCTCATCTCTCTAGTTTCTCTTCTCTCTCTCTCTCTCTCTCTCTATATATATATATCTATTTCTCTCATCTCCTTTCTTCTATTCCACGCTTTTATTCTCCATTCTCTCCATCTCGTTTCATGTTTTTCTTTTCTTTCGCTCCTTTTTAGGGATTTTATTCCCATGTACTCTCTCTCTATCTCTCTCTCCCTCTCTCTGTTTTGATTTTCATGTTATACACTCAACAAATTCGGAATAGTATGACCATAGTTAGTCCCAAATTGTCATGTAACATGCTGGTGGATTCGATGGCTAATTCCATTAGTTTTGGTTGCAGGAGGCCGCCATTTCTATTTATATGTGCTCCGTTTAATCCAATTTTAGAATGCGCTATTTTCCTTGGCTCATCGAAGCGACATCTTTTCCACTGCAAGATCCTAAATGTAAACAAGGATTTGCCAGGCCTACTAATTGATGTTCTCGGATGTAAGAAGTCAATCGGGCTCTCCCGGTTGAAGCTTTCTTATTTCTGTAAATAACCCACTTAATGATCTGATGCTTCAGAACGATAAATCATTGGCGATTAGAAAGCGATGTAGACATAGATTAGTAACCATGTTACTGAACATTCTGCAAAGCACCGAAGTCCGGCTTTCTTACTCCTTTTTATTCTAGAAAGTTTGTTTATTCTCATATATTGCAAAGTTGACACATGGGCTTTGTTATTTGATATATTGTAGGATGTCAAGATTGCAACGCCTCCCGCCACCAATGAGCGACACCACACTTCAGGGGAGCGAGACCCAAGCCAGTTTGGGATAGGATTGGTCACGTAGGAGCAGTATAGACAGTGGCGGATCCAGGGGCATAGGGGCAACCCCCCACAAAAAGTGAACAAATGAGGATAACAGAGAGAAGCATAGACCAATTAACTTGTTGGCTAGTCGCAAAATATTCGGACTTGTGCGCCCCGCCCCCTATAATTCTGGATCCGACACTGGTAGAATTAGTGCAATGTGATATAGATTGAACAGAATTCCAATGGAAAAAAAACACAAGGAAGCCCCAAAAGTTACAATTTCCACTGCAAATTCAATGACCACAGCGTCAAATCTCAAAGAGATACACTCGGGAACAAAGAACCCGTAGAAATATGACTTCTTCATGAAGGGTCATTCATGTTACTTGGTCTCTCTGTAATTTTTCTGAAAGAAAATGACTTGAGTACCAGAATCGTTACAAATCATTAGGAAACTGTTCTCTGCTCAGTGGAGTAGAAAGAAATGAGCTAGCTCTTCTTCTGTAATTTCAGTAAAGGATTAGTAAAATAATAACAGTTTACAATGTATAAAAAAATGTTACTGTACTAGGCGAAAAAATGTTTTAGATGAAATTAGAAAGAGTCAGGTAAACAGATTATCAATCGTTCTTTATAGATTACCTCTCTAATATATTCTAAGTGTATTAAAAAAATCATTAGTAACCATCAACATTTATATCTATGTTCAAGATAAATATTTTTCAATCGATGTTTATTTCAAATAGTTCTTCTTAATGTCCAAACACAAACAGCTCTAGAGAAGAACCGAACATACCAAATTCACAATGTGTTCCGATGTAGCCCGGTAGACAACCACAAAGATACCCGTTTTCTCCGAGTTGGCAGGTAGCATTGTTCTGGCATGGCTCGCTCAAACAGTGGTCCACTGAAATTACACATAAAAACAAATGATAAAAGTACAATAAATGGTAAATCATTTAAATTTTAATACTCTACAAAGAGATCAATAACCAAGATATGATTTACTCTTTATATTATGAGATTGCATTCCAAATTTTACTTTCGAAAGTAAGATTATACCAAGTTTAGATAAAACGAACATCTATACTAAGTTCTTTAGGCTCATATCCTCTGAATTCGTCTATTAAAAGGAACTTCATGGAAATATGTGCAATAATCAAAATCTATTAACACTATTTCAAGATTTTAAAAAATAGTTTGTTAGATCTATAGGTAAATCAGATATAACTATAATTAGATTTATCCATTCAATCTGTGTTAATATGGCAATTTGCACTTTGCCCTTATTTTGTAAATCGCTTCTTTTACATGTTATTCCAAATGATTTTGGTATTAGCGGTTATCTTTTGTCTCGTTTGATTTGCTTATGTCTATCCTAAGAATGTGTATGAAAAGTATGGTTAATTCATACATGGTTTTTGAAAATAAACAAATATGAGAACTTACCAAGACCACACTGCTGGCCGGTGAAACCAATGGTACAATTACATTCGTAGCCCGTTGGCGTGAGTTGACAGGAAGCGTTGTTTACACAAGGCATATCAAAGCAGAAATCCTCTGTAAATCAAAGTAGAAGGCATACATAATTAAAATAGTAAGTCAATAATGGACAAGAATCTATCGACAATGAAATTTTTGTAAAATGATTTGAGAATGTTAAGCAATTAATGAATTAATACAAAATGAAACAACTTGATCTAGAACTCCTCAAATACCCATATCTGACCCGTATACATTTCCATCTCTCCTATCCAAGTAAAAATATTTATTCAATCATATACCAACCGATTATTCATAAGAATACATGTGCTCAAATATGCTCAACCTTACAAAAATTACGACAAGTTAGATTACAAAGTGCCTGTATTGTGACAAGATAGAATTAACGATACATGTATATATATTGTTTTTGGATTTTGCCATTGGTTCAATAATAAGTAATCATTGCGTTATAAATTCATGAATATTGAAATGAACATCACCACACCTTCCTCGTCCACCTCCTGCCTACTTGAACAATCAATACTGCGTGTGTGTAATTAGGTTTTCTTACAGACGTGTATCAATCAGATATGATTATTTACGCCTGGGGACCGACTTTTAACATCACCATCCGAAAGACGTGACTCAGTTTCGAACCCGTGCGTCCTCGGATGAATCCGTTTGTAACTTCTATTGTTAGCTGGATTACAGGCGCACGCCACAACACCCAACGCCCAACGCCCAACGCCCAACGCCCAACGCCGTACGCCCAACGTCCAGTACTCACCTATTTCACAGTAGTCTCCCAGGAAGACTGGAGGACATTCACATTGGTACCCGTTAGCTTCAAGTAGGCATGTCCCTCCATTTAGACAGGGGTCACTGTAGCAATAGTTATCTAGAGCAAAATAGTATGTGAGCAGTGAGAAATCCGTGCAAATATCATGGACAAAATATTCGAATAAAGAAAATGTAAGGTACAGATAGTAATAAAAGCCTGAGTTAGTATTCACAAATTATATACATACATATATTGATTGATTGATTGATTTTATTTCATTTCATATAACAATTGTTTGCACAATAAAGAACATAGTTGGCAAAGTAAGATCAACATTATGAAATGAACCAGGAACCTACAGGAAAGCATAGCTTGTTTTTGTAGGTTCCCCAAAATAAATATAATATGAAAATTATGTTTGTAAATCATTTTAAAGTGTCTTAATAATCACAGTAAAATGGATATAATATAATAACATATTTTGATAAACAATTTTAAAGTATCTAAATAATCAAAATATACAACAAAAAAAGAATGACAAAACGGGACACAAAGGACAGGAAACTGACATAATAAGATAAGAAAAGACATGACAAAACAATTCATAACAAGACAAGGTAAACAAGACATTTATTTATTTATTTATTCAGTTTTATTTAAAAACAGGGTAGTCTTTTCTGTGTCAAAGGCCTGCTTTACAAAAGAGCTCTGTACATACAAAGATTTACAACAAAAAAAAGAATACATTGTAGAAAACAAAGACATTATATAAACAACATACCATAAGAGATTGAACAAAATAAAAAACTAAAAAAAATTAAAAACTAGATCAAAATGAACTAGATCAAAACGAAAAGGCTGAAATATTAAACATTTAAGATATTATTGACACAATACAAAATACATATAAAAATACACATGCCATAAAGAACAGACATAAAATAAAACGGGTAAAAGGTAAGAAATAAAACTACTACAGACTACACAACTACAAACAAACAAACAAAAACTAACTGTAATAAGTCATGATATAACATTAGGTACCAGTGCATGTATTAAAGTGAAGGAAGGGGTGATTTAATTTGGTTGTTGAACATTTGGAGTGAAGTTGCCGTGCGAATATGAGTCGGTAGATTGTTATAGATGCTTAGAGCGATGAAAGAAACAGATCGTTTTTTAAATTCAGTCTTGGGTTTCGGGATAAATAAGGGATTTAAGGTAGAATGACGAGTAACATAGTAAACTGGACGTTTACAAGCAAAAGGTTCTAAATAATAAGGGGCTAGATTATTGAGTATTTTGTCGACGAAAATGCAATAGTGGTAGTTGATTCTATTTTCAACACTTTGCCATTGAAGACTGCTTAAAAGGGTGTCTTTTGGGGTTAGATAGTCTGCATTAAGGACTAATCTTGCATATCTGTTCTGCGTCCTCTGTAATTTGAGTATATCTTTCTTTTTGCACTTGCCCCAAACAACTGAACAGTAATCTATATGTGGAAGAATGAGGGAGTAATAAAGATGTTTCAATAGGCGTTGGTTCAAGTAACTCTTAATCCTAGCTGAAGTATGCCACCGTGCTGAAATAAAATAAACAAACAAACAAACTAGAGTTTCATCACTTTCCCTGATGCTTCACCGTTTGTACACACCTTGTCCACAGTTTCGGCCAACAAATTCGTCCGTGCAGATACACTCGTAGTTGATAATGTCTTGGAGGTTACACGTAGCGTTGTTCAGACATGGCTCGCTATAGCAATAATCAACTGAAGAAAAGAAACAAACACAACACATTTTATGTTAAAGAGTAAATCAGTTGCTCATATACTGCTTCAATTTATTGTCACATTATCTTGAAATGTATGTGTGACTTGGTTTAGATATGATTAAGTTTTTGAGGTGAAATTAGTTTAGGAACGACCGTAATGCATTTATTCCAGTCACGCCTTCTTCTTCGAAATGATGAAAATGAGCTGTGGAGGATAAGACGTATGTAATCATGTAATACGTGGTTCAAAGCTTTGCAATAGACTAGACCGTTGCGATGATAATATGAATACTAACTACTGCAAAATGAGTAGATGTAGAATAAATGGATCATTCTGATGTATCATACTACTGTTTCTTTGTAGAACCTTTTTTTTTCAGACTCCCTCATTATATTTGTGGTGATTTAGAGAAAAGACAATTAGCAGAGATAAAGTTTAAAGGGATTGGGTATCCTTGTCTCAATTTCGAAATAAATCCTGGATTTAGCTCATGCTGCAATCATTATTATAAACATTTAGGTCAGTCAGGAATCCCATGACGTTTACAAGCCAATCGCCCGTCTGATTATCAAGATATTTATGATTGGAATACGAAATTTCATAACACTACAGTCTATTGGGGGAAATGAGTATAGTAAAAACTGGTCACTCAAAGATTTTTACTTTTATGTGGCACTTCATGATCATTTCGAAGCACAATTTTGTTAGGGCTTCGATATTACACCATATCACAGACGCTGATAACACGTAGGGCCATATGCATCTCTGATTTGGCATTGTTAAACAATGCCTTAAATAAATTGTACTTACAATTTTCACAATGAATTCCAAAGTAGTCTGGGGGACATGTGCAGTTATATCCACCACCATTCGATGAGAGGTCACAGGTAGCGCCATTTTGGCAAGGATCACTGAAGCAAAAGTCCTCTGTAAACGAGATCAAAGGCATGGGTAAGAAATGGGTTAAATACAATGGATAATGATGAGGTTTTTTTTTCTTATGACACAATGCTTGTTCTTGATACAAATACAACAAGAATAGTCTGTTTGGTTGTTTGTTTGTTTTACCGATTTGTCACAACATGTACTTTGTGCAAATCTATTATTTGTTTTCTTGCTCAAGAATGCAAGAAAGAATAGTTTATATGAAGACCATGCTAGGCTTTTCTCTCTCTCTCTCTCTCTCTCCCTTCTCTCTTTCTCTTCCTCCCTCTCTCACTCTTTCTCTGTTGTCTTTCTCCCTCTATCTCTTTATCCTCCCCTTTTCCCTATAACTCTTTTCAGCCCCTTCCTCATTGAAATGGTCACTCTCACCCCACCTCGCTTTCTGTCTAATGTGTCTATCTCTTGTCTTTCTCAATACCACCACCTCTCTCTCTCTCTCTCCCTCTCTCTCTCTCTTGGTAGTATAGCTTCCCCTATCACCAGCATACATTTGATAAATACATTTCTTTTCCCTATCTGATAAGACCAACTTTAAACCTTTACCTATTTCGCAGAAATCTCCAATGAAGCTTGGTACACAATCGCAAGTAAATCCATTTCCACTTAAATCCAGCTCACAGGTTGCTCCATTTCGACAGGGATCACTCAAACAATAGTCAACTAAATGAAGAACATGAACAAATATGAATACATTAGGTTGGGGACTGAACGTAGTTATGTTGAAAATAGACCTGTTAACTAACATTTACAATTTTATGAAACATTTTTAAACAAAAGTCTTTCTTGACAACGCAAAAGCTTACCCGAGGCTTCCCCGACATAGCAACAATAAATGTATGCAGATTGGATTCCAAGTATTGAAGTTCGTTTATTAATAAGAGGTTTATGGAATAACTCGTCACTAGGTTGCCAGGAAATATACATCCGCCCATTTGAATATGTTAGTACACCGGTCTAGTGAGCACAAATTGGTAAAATTACATGTATAACTGTGCTCTGAAGTATACATATTAACTAAAGTTTGAAATAAAGGCACATAAATAATCCCACAAGTTTCTCTGAAGTATAAGTAATTATTCCCAAATTGTGGAGAATTTACGAATTAAATTGTAACGATAGGAGAACGGCAAAGATAATGTCCTTCCACCATAGTCAATATGTGATTCAATATGAATGGCTCAAATTGCATTTGCTAAGGTTTGTGATAGCTTCTTTTCTGTATCCATAGTTCTATCATGTTGAACCAGTATCGAACATTTTACCCGATATTCAACCTGCCAAACGAACACGAGTCGCTATGCTCTTTATTTATTTATTGCTCATGTCCTGAATATACTTACAAAGTTCGCAGTTTGTTCCTACGTATTGCACAGCGCACTGACATTCGTATCCACCTCCATTATTTAGCAATGTGCAAGTAGCACCATTCAGACACGGATCGCTGAAGCAGAAATCCTCTGAAATTCAAGAAGAATTTGAAAGAAAACATAGTAACCTCATTGGTTTGTACAATGTGCAAATCGTGATTATCCTTCTTGAAAGTTTTACTCGATATCGTGCAACCAGGAAGTAAACGTCAATTAAAGTTGTAATAACTCTAAAAAAAAAAACAGTTGGTGATACTGGGCTTAGTGATAATGTTACTGGAAGTGGTAATAAGATCAGGCTACTTATAATAATAGTAACAGGGATATTAATGATGTTGATATTACTAACAGAGATCACTATACATATAATAATGTCACTACTACTACTACTACTACTACTACTACTACTACTACTACTACTACTACAACTACTACTAGTACTACTATTACTACTACTACTACTACTGAAAATAATAATACTAATACAAATACGAATACGAATACGAATACGTGTACTACTAATACTTCTACTAATAATAGCAAAACAATAACAACAAAAATTAAAAGCACACGTCGTGATATTAGTGCATTTGCATGCAGAACTACTTTTACATACCTATTTCACAATTTTCACCTATATATGGATCAGGGCAGTCGCATTGATATCCAGATCCCGGGAGCAGTGAACAGCCTCCTCCATTTTGACAAGGTGTTGTGAAGCACTCATCAACTACAAAAGTCAAATGATGGGGAAAATATGTTAACTGATCTGAGGAAATGTTGCATGAAGGATGCTATATAATTCTTTTTTTTTATATGAAAGATTTACTTCAATCATTATTGGACAAAAGCATGTATTCAAGGCTAATTTATAACGGCATTGCCAATAGTACAGTGTATTATTTTGTTACTTATTGCACACACACAATCCGACTCATTTTTTTTTTCGAAAGGTGTGCGACTGACATATTCCTTACCCCACGATGGCAGATGCAGGGGGGGGGGGTATTTTAGGTAAGCATTTACAAAACTAAAATACAGGTTCTCTATACATACGTTTCGATTATAAACACATTGGAAATCTATTGTAAAGAAAATGGTCTTTCTAGACCGGTGGTATTTTTATACATCTGTTTTTTCTCCTATACAAGTGGTCGTTAAATCAAATTTAACAGTGTATTAGTAGCACAAGTGGTTACCTCTGTCACAATCGTACTCTGTGAATCCTGGCACACAAGTACAGGTGTAATTTGTAGTTCCGTTTATGATGTCATTTTCAAGTGTGGTACACGTAGCTCCATTGAAGCACGGTCCGGCGTAACAGGCATCGACTGAGAGAAAAAGGAGGGAGAGAAAATCAAGAATCATCAATCACAAATCATACGATCTTTATCTCAACAAAACTATTAAAGCGTATTTTCATGAATTCTACATTCAATTTACGCTTGTACAGCTTGATAAATACAATATCGGTGTGCAATACCTGTCAGAAAGTATATATAGGTAGAAGTTGCGATGGTATACAACATTTTAAGCTTTACTGATTAGTGTATAACATTATTTAAATTACTTTGACAATTTCCACAATTCACAATTCGTGCAAGACACACACTATCACAACAATAGAAGACCTTTCTACACATCCACGAAAAATAAAAGCCTTGTAAAATGTTTAAGGGGCGAGGCAATACAACCCCAAGCCCTGCAAATTAAACTTTAAAACGTAGGGTTAGCTAACACAAGTTCTAGTTCATAACAAGGCAAATTGGGAACGGATTATCTAAGAATGAAAACGTCTCTTACTATTTTCACAGTGTTTGCCTAGGTACCCATCGGGACAGGTGCATGTATAACCGTCTTGAAGCAGGTTACAAGTTGCGCCATTTTGACACGGATCGCTGTAGCAATAGTCATCTGAAAAACGGGGGAATATATACAAATTGTCATTTCTTGTAAGGATTAGTACAACCATTATCATTGGAAAAGAAACAAATGATATTCATAATTCAAGTAAAAGACATTTTTAACATATAGTGGTTTTGTTCATCAAGAAAGGGGGTTTGATTTTAGATATTAAAAGTCATATACACGTATATCTGTAAAATCTGCCAATGAAATAAATAAAAGAAAATACGCCTTATTCCCGTAACAGCAGGAACTAAATGTATTCATCATCTAAAATTAGAACAATTCCCAATATACGGTGTTTAATCTTTTGGACAAAAATTATGATCCATGGATTTTAAACTGATAAACATCTGCTTAAAAACTGATCACTAATAGTAATCAGCATGAATTAAAAAAATATATATATTACACAATAATAACGGGAACAAGAGATAATCGTTTTCTAAAGGAATTAAGACCATTCGATACATCAATTTTTCTGTTCCATTGGAGGATATTGTACTTTAAAACAAATTGTTACCACTATGGGTCGGCAAAATGCTTACCTATGCCGCAAAAAGTTCCAGTAAATTCCGCTGGGCAATTACAGGTGTAACCGGTACCACTCGGCTCCAGATTACATGTAGCTCCATTCAGACAGGGGTCGCTGAAGCAGAAGTCCTCTACAACAAGAAGGAGATATGTGGTATGAGTTTCAATTAAAGTGTTAGTCTTCCAATATACAAAGGATCTCATCTGATTGTATTTTCACACAAGAATTCGTAAATAATTGAGGATCGAAGCTTTGAAAATTAGCGACTTTATTCCCCAAGTTCAGAAAGAGAAAGAGACGGCGTTTATTGAGAGACAGGAGGGTATTACCTGGAAGCATTAATGTCCTTCCGACTGAAAGTAGAAAGAGTTAAGTTTCAAACTGTCATTTAAAGGCAACCAAGAGCCAAAGCATTTGCACATCACAAAGAATAAAGCGAAAGAAAGAAGAAGCCCGAAACGACATCCACTTTAGCAAACGCGACATATTATCAGCAATACAAATCACGTCACGAACATTTTGCTGACGAGAAAGTATCCTAGTGCGTGTTCAAAATATAGTCCCTGTACATGTTCGACATACGGAACGATGATTGCCATTTATTCTGTAGCCGCTGGTCCCTTCTTTAAGATATAAATGCATAGATAGGGAACTTCACAGAGAAGTGCATTACGTAGGTGGTGGGATGGAACGTGATTCAAAAAAAAAAAAAAAAAAAAAAAAACATGCAACGAAATAGCAATGGAAGTGTACCCATGGAATTTGCAAAAATTAAAAGGCGACTCAGCAAAATACGTACATGTACTCGATGGCTTCACCGTACAAAATATCATCCAAAACTCATCCGCAAAAAGAGGTGCGGATTCAATAAGCATTGCACACACAAGCACAAGAAAATCACCGTGGAAGAGACAAAGATATTCATAGCAAGAACAGTGCCCAGTGTTTGTAAGCTTTGAAAGCATTGCATTCTTGATCATTTATTACCTGAAACTCTGCGGCTTGGGTTAAGTCAAATAGCAGTAAAACATAATGTAGACCTATACATGTATGATTGCTTAACATTACATCGGTTGATATAACACACACTACCAAATGATGTAGGTATATTCTTAAAATGTTGTCATTAAAATTCAAATTTATACCATGTAGCAGTTCGTAACCTAGTGCCTCTCCATGTAATGTGGTCTGGATCATAGACATGTTACGCATTTGACGATAAAATATGGGCCATTCAATTTTATACTTCCATTATGAAGGGAGAAACATTTGCAGAAAACTTTATTTATTTTAAAATACAATAACAGGTACAATTTGTTTAAATAAAAGGCAATATACTTAAAAGGGGTTTCATCATACTTTTAAAAGTCATGATCATTGAAGTTATACATTGTTCAATAAAATACTGTTCTTTATCGGGTAAAGATCATTATATTCACTTATTCAATATAATTAATGCGATTGCAGCATATCATCGTTATTTAGTTATATTGATTTAACCAAGTGAATATGACTTCTTAAAAGAACATTTTAATTGCAGGTAAACTGTTGAAGAAAAATGGGTATCTTTTAACACGTACAACCCTTACAGTCCATGAACAATTCTTATTTAAAGTTAACAAAATCTTGCATGGTTCAATTGCGAGGTCTTCTAGGCGGTCATGCAGTCATCCAATATCATTTGTTTTTCGTTGTAAGGCTAGGTAATTGGTATATTGGCAGTACTCCGTCTTCAGCCCTCAATTTATAAGTCAAATCCTACAAACAGATTGGAAAAAATGAGAAAATGGTTTGCTACATATAAATAAACACAACACAAGTCTGAATGTTACGCAATTATTTAAGCTGCCTGAACAAGGAATATTTGCCAGATTGCTTGACCGGTAGGCGAGGTTGTATGGAGTAAATGTTACACTAAAACAGCTCACTTTTATAAACGCATGTATTATCTCTGAAAATATAATTATAAACCTGTCTTAGGTTGATATGCTTTATCGTAACTCATCTCATTTCTAATCTCGAACCTTTCCAGCTTAGAGACTATTTAAGAAGAAAAAAAATTATTTAATTTCCTGTTATTTATGTACTGAAATTTATTTTTGCACTTTTCCCGCCATGTAACGTGAATGGATTTTTATTCCTACCCTTCTTGCTGAAATAAGATCAAATAATATTATTACCGCAACTGCTAAATCTAGATGCAGAATTACATCGACTGGTTTTAGGAGAGCCCCCTCCCCCTCTTTTTAAAATTCATACATTAATAGGTATCAATATGAATACTTTGTATTCATTTTTAAACTAACATGCTAAGTCCATATTGCATCAAGGACAATCCATGAATTCAGTATTAATTATTTTGATAGATCTAGACCTGTTATCTAATATGATCATTTTGTGCCTGTGCTTAATCTACCCTAACATTTACTATGCTGTGAGTTTAAAAAAAACTCACTTAGATACGAGTTATAATGAATAAAAAGCATGTTATTATTATATTGATATAAATATATAGTACATTAGTTGGACTTACCAAAGTTTGTAGCGTGGAACTCTCCATAACCATTGATCCCCGCACAAAGATTTTTTCCTAAAATATGCTTTTGCGTCGTTCGCCGCGTAAAGTAGCAGTCAATCGCGTTTCGCGCATAGAGCCAACAGGATATTATAAGCGTCTCAGTGTTTCAAGACAAACCGTAGAATGTTAGGTTAAGACTTTGTAAGGTCTTTTTTTTCTCTACAGGTCAATGATAAAATTCATTATCCTTTCCAACCTGAAAATTTAACCATCATATCAGGAACATTAGTTTACTTTAGCGTCTGGCGGATGACTCCACCCGGCTTTGTCATGATCTGGGCCCTGTTTCATAAAGATTGTTACAAATAACAGTCGCTTGTGACAAATCTGCGCATATCCAATGAAATGTAACGATTTCAGTGAAACAGGGCCCTGATAATCCGTGTTTTCTGTAAAAGTCAACTCGACTGTGTGTTTGAGCTTTGGGTTCGGTCTAAATCATTAAAATCGTCTAAATATTTGTAATACACTCTAACTATTTCGTAGGAAAGCAAAGTCTTTAAACATGGGTGGCAAATATGAATCTCAAAAAATACACATTAAGGGTGCAAGATTATACCTTAATGGGGACTGAAGATCACCTCCCACGGTACAGGATGCATTTAGGCACGTGTGTATGTGTATTGGGTTTTTACAGACGTGTATCAATCAGATATGATTATTTATGTCTGGGGACCGACTTTTAACGTCACCACCTGAAAGACGTGACTCGACCAGTCTCGAACCTGCGTCCTTGGCTGATTCAGTTTTTAACTTCCACTGTGTCAGCTTGATTACAGGCGCACGCCACAACGCCCAGAGGTGCTGTTTTTGTAGCAGTTTAGGGTGAGAATTTAGGTATTTATTAAAGGAGAAGAGCGTTGGTTCTTACCAATTTCACATTGGTCCCCGATGAATCCAAGTACACATTCGCAGTCGTGCCCTATGGGGGTGAGTAGCGTGCAGGTGCCGCCATTCAGACACGGTTCCAGAAAGCAATCATCACCTGGTTTAGAAGAAACAAATAATCAGATTGTGATGATCTTAAAGCTTATCTGTACTTGTATATAGGAGGGATTAGACCACACTGCAAGGTCACTGGACAGGTGGTTATCTCATCAACTCAGCTCTCAATTAACATAAGAAAAAGAGGATCATGGGGGACCATTGGTCACCGATTAGGCATTGTTTTCTATATAGAGGGAGCAAGTAGCTACAAGTTGGATAGTGACGTATCAAGACCTTGGCGTCAGGAAGGGCCACATACCAATGTTTATAATCTTTCATTTAAGAAACAATTCTCCGATCAAAATCACTTGGGTGCATACTTGTATGTGTTTAGCGCCCTAGGGCAGCTGTGTTAAAGTCAGGTTGATAATAATAGTTTGTAAGCGCCTTGAGCAGCCCCTGGGATGAATAATTGTGCATTATTTTCATTATCAGTATTCTCATTATTATTACCATTATTATATTTTCCTTGATCAAAACTCTGTCAATGGCACCTCCTTCAAATATGCTAGTGCTACACGATTTCAACTATTTCAGAATGTTCTACGTCTTGAAACAGGCAAGGATTAGAAAAGACAAAGATTAATTATCGTTTTCATTTTGAGCTCTTTTCATCTGACTCATTTTATTTATCTATTGTTCTATTCATTCATTAACATTCTTCTTTCATGCATTGAATGTATTCATTTTCGGCCATCTATCTAGCTATCTATCAATATATCTATTCATTTATCTACCTAGCTATCCATTTATCTAGTACTTAATTGTCGTGAATTGCCTATATATACATGTAAAAGAAAAATGGTTGTAACATTAATATTCGAACTTCACTAGGCCTATACATATTTATGAAAGATTTGTCTTACCTCTCTCACAGTTAATGCCGGTAAAATTGGCAAGACAGGAACAGTTGTAGGTCGATTGGCCGTTCAGCTCATCGTCGAGATACGTGGTACATGTACCCTGGTTGGCACACGGAGAACTGGAACAAGCATTCACTGCAAGGACATAATGAGAAAGATTGTGTAAATGTTCATGGTGAATTATGATAAAACAATGATTATAATTGCTGTTTTATTGACGGTTCTTAGGGGGAATGCCAGGCGACTAAAGATTGTTCTCTCTTTTCTCTTTCTCCCTCTTCCTCCATCTTCTCTGTCACTCTCTTCCTCTCATCCCCCTCTCTTTCGCTCTCTCTCTCTCTCTCTGTTTCCCCCTCTCCATCTCTCTTCCCTTTCTCATTCTCCATTTCCTCCGATTTTCACTATTAGGCCTGGATAGTGGGGAGGGGGTGGTAGCTTTGTCACAGATTATACTACAGCCAAACCTGTCTTAGTGGCTACCTGTCTATAGTGGTCAACTATATTGCCTCCCTCTAGAACAAAATATGTATTGAAGAACCCGTCTAGAAAGGTCACCTGTCTACAGGGGCCACTTTATGTGTATCCTGTGAGTGGCCATTATAGACAGGTTTAACTGTGACACCTAAAACATTGGTGGCGCCATACTCACCTATGTTACAGTTAATACCCAGCCAGCCATCTGTACAAGTACATTCATATCCGGGGTTAGTTAGGGTGCATGCTGCACCGTTCTCACATGGGTCACTTAGACATGAATTTTCTGAAGAAGAGAAGATGATGAAGATACAAAGTGATTTATAAATTATTGGAAGTTCAAATCAGGGGGGGGGGGATACACAGGGGCTCGGGGCGAATTAGCCCCCAAAATGCCAAAAAGAGGATAGAGCCTCTAAAAAAGTTTCAAGATTTAAACCATTTTAACGAAATAAGAATCACAAAACGGACTGGTGAGCCTCGGTCAGAGCTTTATACCAATTTTCTTTTAAAACGATCAAAGCTCAAAATACATCAAGCTTTTAGCGGAGCTCAGAAGTTTCTTTTGGGTATCTTACTCCCTCAAAAGAATATAAACTGTCAATCCTTTAAAAAAAAGAAGCTACTAACAGGTTTCTTCACTTTGAAAAGGCCGAAAACGTCACTCACGGAGTAGAGAAGCATATACAAACGAACACATTGTGAAGCATTTGAATTTACGTTGATTGGATCATTGGACACAAAATACTGGAATAATTATTTGGTAAATAAATCAATTAAAAAGCATTCACAATTGAAATATTGTGATGAAAGCATCTATTAACCTACAGGAAAAGCCAGTTAACAAGGTTGATATATCCAGCAATTAGAGGACTAACGAGAACTTAAGGGTTAGAATGAATGTATACATATGATGATGAGTAGATATTGAGCTCACCTATCTCACAAAGATCACCAGTCCAGGCGGAGTCGCACGTGCAATTAAAATCAGTCAGACCAATGTTTGTGCAGTCACCAAGGTTCTGGCAAGGGTTGGGTAGACACTCATCATCTGCAGAAAAGAAAGTTAGAATTCTCTTTTAGCTCTGATATCACCAGCCAAAATAGTAAATAACAATAGTCACATCTACATGTATATAGTGCATAAGTAAATGTTTCTAATTGAAACTCTTAGCAGTGTAATTATTATTAACCCGGCCATTGAATTAAATTACTTATCCAATCCAATCAAAGAATGTGTAGAGCGTCAATATCTAGTTGTCTAATCAAAGGCAATGAAGAAACTGAAAAACAAACTTTTTATGATACACCTGGGAAAGACTGGAGTTGTGGCTAGTTGTAAGCAATTTGGTGTTTGTGTTTTTCTTTTTTTTAGTTTCACATGATGGTGCACTCACTCTGCTTCCTTGGGAGTATTCCAGATAGGGACTTTTAGATTTACACGACGAGAACGTGGACCTCTACGTGTTACATCCTTTTAAGGCAATGTGACGTCACTGCCAGTGCCTTAAAAGGATGTCACACGTAGATGTCCATGTTCTCGTCGTGTAAATCTAAAAGTCCCTATTGAAGACATAAAGACAACTTGACAAAGCAATTACCTTGTTGACATAGGTCGCCTAACCATCCGACTGGACATTCACACCTGAAATCTGAATCTCCTACGTAGATACACGTGGCCCCGTTCAGACATTGTGTATTAAAGCACAGGTCAACTGTAGAAAAAAAATCAGTAAAGGAATGATAAGAAAACTAGGCAGAACATGAACATGGGAGATACATGAATGTCATGTCATAATGTGTGACATGAAATAAAGTAGTGAGTGCTGAGAGGGGGGGGGGGGTGTTAGTACTGTAAAGTACTGAGTTTATCTTTACGGTCGACTTTAAGTTGGACATAAATATGGCAGGCCATTCATGCCAATTTTTGCTGTCACCATTATGATCTCTAGATGATATTTTTGCCTTCAATGTTGAATTAAAAACAAACAAAAAATAAATTCTGCAGCTTTTTGACCATGATTTGTACGTCCCTTAAAAGACCAATGCTAGTAAATAGTGAGAGCAAACAGTGGCATGAACGGCCTGCCATATTTAAAGGTAAAGCCCAGTTATGGTCATGCGATTGCATTGTGAAAGAAACGTTGTGGAATCGATCAGAAAAGGTTGATCATCTAGCATCTAGCATCTGCAAGGTTCTGGAATCATCAAAATGATAAGAAATTTGGCCCATTCTTCGTAAAGTTACAAGCACTATACACAGAAAGATGTATATGGGACTACCCTATATCTCTCACAGACCATGAGAGAAACAAATTTACCAAATATATGAATTGGTAGGCGGTTTTCCGGCAAATCTTGTATCATCATGTATTAGTCAAAACATATTCTTTCACATGATTGGTAATGAGAGCTTCCATTTCATTTTTTGAAATTGGGGCGTTTCCAATACTGGTCTTTACATTTAAGTCCAACTTAAAGTTGTTCTTAGTCTTTGTCAAACACTCCCCAATATTGATATTTATAAGCATGCATAAATGTTACGAACCGATATATTGATTAGTTATTGTAATGAAAGCTCATGCTATGTTAACAATGTCCAAATCAGTTTGGAAGCGTGTGGGTAATTTACATAGTAAATCGATGTACTCTGTACAACAAAAGGACCATCATTGTCATTGATTGTCATTATCAATATCACAAATGGAAAACAGTACCTACTCATCTTAGAATAGCGTATACGCATTACTGTTATGGCCTTTTTTTCCACTAACATCTTTCTTTAGTAATAATCAATACACCTTCCTTTTTTAGAGAATCTATGGCAAGGACGGGTGATGATAAATCAAAATGGTTTTATGATAAAGTGGAAAAAGGGTTCTTAAAGCCTATCTGCCCTACTTTGGCCAGGAGGTATTAGACCTCCCTTCCGTGGTCACTGACAGGTGGTTATCTCATCAAATCAGCTCTCAATTAACATAAGAAAAAGGGGACCATGGGGGATCAACGGGTACCGGTTAGGCATTGTTGGCTGTACGAGGGCGTAAGTAGCTACAAGAAGTGTAGTACCGCTTTAAAACAAAATACAATCATACATCTTTAAGCCGGAATGAAAGGCAACCAAGATATATCACAAGATACCACAAGGAGTTGTCTCGTCCTTACCTATGTCACAGTCATAGCCCCTCCACCCGTCGGAACACGAGCATGTGTAGTTACTATCCTGGACGTAATTACACGCTCCATTTTGGCAAGGGTCGTTGAGAACGCAAGGGTTTTCTACAAGAAAGAGAGAGAGAGAGAACGAAGAATAATTTTTGTCATCACAAATGGTTTGATGGAAAAGAAGGAAAGTAGTAGATAGACACGTCTACTATATATATTGGTACAAATGTCGTCTTATAGATTCAGTTATTAATCTATAGAATACTTATATTTTTTGTTATAACCATAGAGGAACGAACACTTTGATATTATATTTTACAGGCATTTGTCTATGAAACAATGTTTAATGACATCACTAATACTATGGATTTTTTTTCTTCAATTGAGATAATATAGGTCTAAGATACCAATCAAAATTAACATTCGCGATTAAGTCAGGTAATTTGTGTTTCAAAAGATTTATTTTTCTTTTCATCGTTAAGTTATGGGTTTCTAGGATCCAACAAAACATTAAAATAGACGTATTAACATCAAATATATACCAAAGGGGATCCGTGTGCTATGACTACATGTTGGCATAGCAGTAGGAGACTGCGAGGCACAATCATGCCTTGAATTTGATTTTGCCTTCAGCCAAAGAAAAATAATTATACAGTCAAACCTGTCTTAGTGGCCACCTCTATATTAAGGCCACCTTGCTATAGTGGTAACCTGTATTGCCTCCCTCTATAGAAAAACAAGTGTTGGAAACCTGTCTATAAAGGACACCTGTCTAGAAGGATCATCTCTTATTGACACCATCTAAGAGGAAACATGTGTCGAAGAATAAGTCTATAGAAAGGGGCCACCTGTGTACAGTGACCACTTTTTGTATATCCCTTATGTGGCCGACAGGTTAGACTGTATGTGATGTATGTGTTTTCTACTTACCTAATTCGCAGTTGTCTCCCAAGTAGCCAGCGGCGCAAGAACATGTGAAGTTTAAACCATCTACTTGACATGTTGCTCCGTTCATACAAGGCTGGTCCTTACACGTATTCACTACGAGAGAATAATAACCAAATAGATTTGTAAGACATTGGAACCGTATCTATTTTCATCTTGCCGAAAACTTGGAAAGCATAGACGCTTCAAAGATATAAAGGCAGCACGTGCCCCCTATACAATAAGCATTTTCTTCGTTTGTCAGTTATATTCGACACTGCACATCCCCACCTCCCCGTACATTTGAAAATTTGATGATATACATGTATCATGATGCTAAAATATAGTAAAGAATTAAACTTGTGATTTTTCCCCCTTACAAATAAAGTTTTAAAAATCGTGATAAATGAAAGCAAACTATACATTGCAAATGTTTTGATTTGAATCGTTTCAGAAATTTTACTTTTAAAATTCGATGAATAGAAATAGACTTTGAGTGAAAAGATCTGGATATTCAAGATCCTAACTAATTAATAGGCTTAATTAAAGTCTATTTTGATCATGGTTAAACTTTCCCCTCAAACTCCATCTTCTAAATTTTAATAATTTGATGCCGTAGTATATTCTCATTTCTTATAATATCCAGAACAATTTCACACTTATGGTACAGTTTGTACTTACAATAAATGGCAACCTTTAGTAAATATATAGGGAAACATTTGACATGATGGAATGCAAAACTCAGTGCATGAAGTGCGTGAACGACTGGCGAGAAAAGCAAGCAAGCACCGTGTTTCCCAAAACCAAACTTCACACAAGAAAGTAAAAAAATGGGTGTTCGAGGTAGAAAGTGAGCGCATCATCAGAAATTGAAAGTGTATCAATCACCATTTGCAAAGCTGCGAAGCATTTCGCAAAAACATTTTCTTGTAAAATGTATTCATTAGCATGAAATAAATATAATGTGCATTCAAACTGATGGCGCAGCTGGTAAATGTAATATACCCATAAAGGGGCAGGAAAGACAAATAGCAGAAAGATCGGATACAAAAATTATTGTATGCGAATTCTGAATACCTTACGACTTTTAATGTACAACATTGAAATGCATGTTAGATATAATAATATCAAGCCCGAAATTGGAATTACAGAAAACGGAAGTATTTCATAAAGTCATGTGGTTTATGCCAAAGGCATAACGGATAAGACTTTTAAAAGGAGACAATGTATTTCTTGTCGAATGAAACTCAGTCAAAGGCTGCAGAAAAAAGTTGTGTTGAATAGACCACAATAAAGACAAGACAAATTCAGCATGGTAAGAAGTACATTAAGATTATGGATTCATACAACTGAAAATATAAAAACAAAGGTCTTAGACGATCTGATTGAAATAATTGAAAACACAACAGGATAACAACATCTTTCAGTTGTTTATACTGGTGGCACCGGTGAAATAAATGGAACGATGATATCGAAGTTGTCCTATATCTCTGGGCATGTGCTGAACATTGCCTCATACCATGCATCATTCTGTCTTCTGAAAAAAGGGGAAACTTATCAATGATTTAGTCACAACAATATATCATGAGCGAATCGATAATTAAAAAAAAAGGACAATTCTGTAACTCTGTAGAATCTCTTTTACTGACGTACCTTCGTCGCATCTGTCCCCAACCCACTCTTCGCTACAGGCACACATGAAATTCTGCGCCGCGTCGTTCGTACAAGTCGCTCCATTAGCACACGGGTCGTTCACTAGACAGTAGTCAATCACTGTAACGATAAAGAAGTGTGCAAAGATTGTAAACAAAAACAAAACCGATGCATGGTTTGTAACAGGTACATATATGTACGTATACAGTTTCTATTTCCCCCTCTTTTTTTGGGGGGGGGGGGGGAAGTTGGGTTGGCATTGGTGGGCTTATGGGTCATTTTAATATTTTTCTACAGGTGCCTTTATTAAATTCATTAATAATCGAGAAAACTTAGGAGGGGGCTCGATAACTTTTTTGGGGGGTGGGTTTGAGCCCATAGCCCCCCTCTAACACCGCTAACGGTTTGTAAAATGCACCATGGGTGTATTCATTGCTGGAGTTGACCATACCCAATAAACAAAACACTAAAAAGTAACCTCTTTTGGGAGTGTATTTTAAGTGATTTTAAAGTATGGTGCCCTTTGAACTAAATTTAAACGTTATCGACACGTGCTTTCATTTAAAAAAAAAAGGTTCTCCTGTTCACGTTTTCATCTAACCTAAAAACCACCAATTTATCACGCGACTGGAGTAACGTGATTCCACTTACCTCTGTAAATCACGTGTTTATGACCAAATAATCACTTGACCAAGCAACGGGTTTTTTGTCCGTTAACCGATGGTGGTGATAAATAAGTAATTATTCGGTCTTGTAAGCACCTTAATCGATTGGTTTCACAGGTTATCCAAGGTTGATGGTAATAATCACGTTACTTACACCGGCTAATCGTCTTATTGTTCTGTCCGTGAATCTCTAGTTATATTAAATTAGTAATTCTGAGGTGTCTTACACACCTCTTTAAATGGTTTCAAAGTTACCATAACTTTCTTGGTTATGATCACGTAGCTAAAACTGATTACTAATCTAAGCTGTGTATCCGTGATATTTAGGTGTGAAAAATTAGCAATTATTAGGTGTCTTAAAACACCTATTTAAATGGTAGTCAAAGTTGCCAGCAGTTCCGCGGTGATGATCTCGTGACTCAAACGGATTATTAATCTAAGCTGGTCATAAGTGACTTTTAGGTGTGAAAAATTAGTAATTATTAGGTGTCTTAAAACAACTTTTTAAATGGTTTCAAAGTTACCATAACTTTATTGGTGATGATCACGTAGCTAAAACTGATTACTAATCTAAGCTGTGTATCCGTGATATTTAGGTGTGAAAAATTAGTAATTATTAGGTGTCTTAAAACACCTATTTAAATGGTAGTCAAAGTTGCCAGCAGTTCCGCGGTGATGATCTCGTGACTCAAACGGATTATTAATCTAAGCTGGGTATTCCGTGATTTCCAGGTGTGAAAAATGAGTTATTCTTGGGTGTCTTGATGGTTTCACAGTTACCATTTAAGTTCCGTGGTGATAATCCCGTGTCTGTTGGCACATTTTTATTTTCACCAGTTGATAACTGACTGTTGGCATCTTTTCATTGCACCAGTTGATAACCGGTCTGTGTGCATATTTCCAGTTGCACCTGTTGATGACTGCTGGCTGACTGTTGGCATGTTTCCAGTTGAACCAGCTGACACAAATTAATTTGCATATTGAATATGGGGTGCGTGCAAATCTATGTTTTTTAAACAGTTTATCTGAATTTACAGCATATTTCTTAATTACTGATGATTTAGTTATATGCAATTCATTTCGAAAATACTACAAATATAAATTACCAGTTATTAGGACATTTCGCTACTTCGTATAAATTACATTTAATTAAACATGAATAAGGAAAACATTACCTAGAACTAAAATAATTTCAATAAAATACAAGTATATGAAAAAATTTCTATTAATTAAATCATGTAAGTCTACTTATTACCAATGCCTTTACATAGGAAATACAGACGTACCAGTATTGAAGTGTTGTTGCCGTTCAACTGGTTGGAAGTTTTACCAAATGGTTCTAATGGCTCAGCTAGACCAGTTGAATTCTAACTGGTCTGGACCAACTGGATCATTTAGCCTATTTCAATTTCCGAAGTTACCAGTTGGCATTAACTGGTTCATCAACTGGACCAGTTGCAACTAGCTTTCTCCTCTGGGATGTTTGCAACCACCCCCGACCCCCCCCCCCCACCCCCTCTAATCCCAAACTGCTTCCGGCGCGCCTGGACGTAATTATGGAAGATCCAAAATACGATGTTCAGAAACGGGATGAGAACGTCATTATTTTGGTTCATTTATTGTGTAACATTTGCGTAATTATTGGGTTGAACGCGGGTTACAGTAATATATTTCCTCTTCGACGTAATATTCACGTGAATTTCACGCAGGTATTTTGACTAAAACTATCACTAACGCTTCACGTGTTTCTGTGACGCGATAATTTCGTTTATGAAGATGTAATTTCATAACCCCAAAAACACGGGAGTATTAGGTTTCCAAACCATGGTCTCCAAGGTAGGGATAATCACGTTATTATAATGGTGATATTGCAGTGACAATTGCGTGATTTAGTGTACGTGTGTTTTAAGTGACCTAGTGCAATAAACGTATTAACACATTTACGTAAATGTCCGGTGTTTGAAGAACGTAACTCTCCTCAAGTCGATACCTTGATATTGACGTGATTTTCACGTGATTTTGTTTATTGGGTAATCATGTTTAATGATATAGTGATATATGCTTCAACTTCTAATAATCATTACTTCGAAAGTTTGCAAGCATTGAGTTGTGATAAAAATGTCCAATCAAAATTTCACCTTTGCAATAATGATAATAACAGTTTTTTTTTTTTAATTTTCGCACAGGTATTTTTAAGCATATCAGAGAGTGAACACCCAATTTATACAACTACGACTTTAAATGTGTTTGTATTTGCTCACCTGATTCGCAGCTGACACCGCCATAGCCGTCTGAACAATCACATGCATAGCTACTCGGAAAACCAGTACATCCGAGGGCGTTGTTTAGACAGGGAGATGATAGACATGGGTCCTCTGTTTTGCACATGGGGTAATGTGTAATCGGGATTAACTTTATTCTTATTAACGTAACTTAAAGATGAAGTTGAGTTCTGGTCATGCGATTGCATTGTGAAAGAAACGGTGTGGAACCGACCAGAAAAGGTTGATCATCTAGCATATAAGAATTTGTGTGTATTGCAAGGTTCTGGAATCATCAAAATGATAAGAAATTTTGCCAAGTCTTGGTAAAGTTACAAACACTTGCACAGAAAGATGTATATGGGACTACACGAACACGTGGCGTAAAAAGCCGGCCCCCGATTTTTACGATGTTACATGCATATTTAGAATATGAAGGCATTTGAGGAGCCAAGCTTTTGAGGGAACATGTCTTAACTGATGTTCTTCCACACTTGCATAATAAGAATGAGTAATGCTCACAAATTAATTTTCACCTCTTCCTAGAACTCAACCTTCTCTTTAAAGCAGAATATACATTCATTTTATTGCAAAATTAATGGAGTAATGTATATAAAGTTTAATCTAGTTCTAATTTGGGATCGTATGATCAGAATGTCATTGACTATTTTAGGCCTTTCAAATTTGTTAACTTTATTTACTGTGGTTGAACTTATATCTAATTTTAAATATTATGAGGACTTTGGATAATGAAATTGTGTCAGATTTTTGGTTATATCATTACATGGTTATTGATTGATTGTTACAGCTTATTTTGTACATGTTGGTAAATATAAAGCGTTATTGGGATTATTACATCATTTAGTTACATTCACTTTGTTAAAGGTTCAAATTTAATGAGTATAAAATTATGAAAGTTAGGTCATGATTGTTATATGTAACATTAGACAATCAATACGATGTTGGCTTTAGATATGTTATTTGACTATCAGAGGATAAGTCAGTATATGGGTACGATTGTTAAATAACCTGGAAAAGCAACAAAAAAATGTACATGCAATGAATATGTGTTATGAATATAAAACATAGATATAATATTAGGATGAATACGTTAATATTCATGCACAAGTGACAATCTAATGAAGAATAACATGTCGACGACAATTTAGACCAGTTATAAAACAATTTGATGTAAAGAACATGAAAAGACAGTTCTAGAAGCGAAGGGAGTCGTAAGCTTTCATTACTTTCATGATGTTTTCATTGAGCGATGAAACTGAAAGAAATCTAAATGTATTGTTTGAAAACAATCGGACAGTACGAAAAGAAAATAACATACAAATTTCCACATGGGCAGTGAATGCACCAGCAAAATCTGTGAAAAAAGATGGATGAGGAAATGGATGAAGAAGTAATTGATTTAAAATGGGAAAAATTACGCTGTTGAAACAAAATGTGAATTAATGAGAAGGAAAATAATATGATCATGAACATGCATATTTAGTTAGTATTTTACAAACATCAGTTTCACTTGAGAAACATTCCCTTTTCCCATCTCATGCTACATGCATGGTTCTGGGCCCTGTTTCATAACATTTGATATCAATAACACGTTACAAGCTATAAGCTACTGAAATCATGGCGTCTGATTGGATGAGAGCAAATTTGTCAAAGAAATTTAGCATTTGTTAAAGATAACAAGTTTTATAAAACGGGCCCCTGGTCGCGGAATTGCGTAGTCTTGAAGTTTGGACCCAGCTTTGATATGACAATACAATAAAATGACAAATTTCAGCTCATATCCAAATAGAAAACATTACAGAGTACATAATAACATAATGATTGATTCATTATGAATTGAGTAGATACTAAGATGTTCTAGACTCTGTCACAACTTTAACAGAGGGAATACTCCAATAAAAAAAAAATCAAAGTAGGCCTATTGTATCCAGAATTAGACTACTTAATATTTATTTTTAAAAACGCGCATTAAATGCAACTTCCCTAAGCGATGATATCGCACTATGCGCATAAGAATTTGCGTGAAAGCATAGACAAAACAAAGCAAGAAAATATCACTTCAAGAGCTTCAATCGAAAGAATATAGCATCTTTGCAAAAATAAGATCATGTTGCAATAGAAAAAAAGCCCTGAACCCCAGAAGAAAATGAAAGAGGCCCCGAAAGGTAGTGTGATATGACAGGAGCGAAAATAAAAATGTGTTGTGTTGCGAATGTAACATTAGTTACACTCGAGTGTAGAAAGAGAAGAAACATTTTGATGCCAAGTGAAAGTAAAAGTGCTCAAGCCAACTTTGCCAAATGACAAAGTTGTGCGGCTAACATTCTGAAGGCGGTGTTCAAAGATAGCAGGATAAAAAGCCCTTGTGTATAAAGATGCAGAAAATGTGATCATCGAGGACAAATTCGTGAATAATCTCTATCAAGTTGATAGCATCATTCAAGCATTTCCTTAAAAAGGCCAATATGAATATGAATAAATGGCGAGGAAAAGAAACCAGCATCAAGATCAATCAAAGAGAAAAGAGATCATGCAAACGGAACAGAAAGGAGTGTAACCACAACGAACACAACAACACATGCTTGCACAAACTCATTGCTAGAAGATGCGTAAAAATAGAGGCTAAAATCACACGCTTGTAGGTTTACCAATCTCGCAGGTATCTCCAACAAAGTCATTGGGACATGCGCACTCGAAGCTGCCGACGCTTCCGGTGCAGACGCCAGAGCTTTGGCAGGGGTTGCTGCCACACGGATCCACTGATTAGGACACAAAGACATCAAAATATCAAGTTTGTGGGACAATGCAAGCAAGAAAAAGGTCTTATTATAGTAAACCATTGAGGTATACCCAGTTATTCCCATAGAATCACCATGACATTATTAGTTTGTATATTTCTACAACATCCGGGAACCAGAACATTGTTTTGTTACATACAAAATATACGGTGTGTATACTACAAAGACTGGAAAAGGAGTTAATCAACAACATAGTCACATGACACAAAGGTGGGGTGAATTAAACGTCATAATTATGTGAAAACAACATTGATGAACTGTAAAATGTGTAATATATACAGGTACGTGTGCTCGATAAGAAAAATTCTTTTGCATATTCGATTCAGCATTTTTTTTTTTAATTTCATCGATTGCATCATAATTGGTTTGATAATGTTTTGATGCTCTAGATTGCCTTTCCACAAAGCTAAATTAGGACATGGCTGGTATTTGTGCATGGTTTTCACATTAACAGCTCTACTTAGAAAGTAAAATAACTTGTTCTTTCATTAAAAAGACCAATACACATTATAGGTACCTTCCTAATATCTTCATTTAGATATCAACAATAGGTCCATTTTCACTATAGCCCAAACACCGTGATTTCACCAACACCACGATGTCATAGACAAACTAGACAAAGAATGGCATAGTTGCTATAAGCAACGTTGACCTGAATATCGTGGTGATAGCAAAACCGCGATATTGAGACTCTGGTGTAAACGGGCCTACTGTAAAAGAAAATGTCTAAAGAGAAGACATGACGAGAAACAACACGATATTGGATACACAATAACATTTAAAAAAAGTAACAATAACAAAAAAAACTTGACAAAATACTGTACCATCAAAACAACGGTCACCGACCCAACCAGAAAAACACTCGCAGGAGTAATTAGTGTCGTTGTTCTGACATGTGCTGTTCTCAGAACAGGGAATAGTCTCACACGGGTTGGCTGTATAGACGGCAAAATGGGGTGCATGTATTGGGTTAGAGTGCGAGTAAAAAAACATGCGGGGGGGGGGGGGGGTTGACTGGCCGCACTAAAGGCGGAGGATGTGCATTACTGATAATGAGAAAGGATACTAGATCATAGGAATAAAACCATCCATTTAGGGGAGCAATCATTCTCTTCTTAATGTACACTCTTTGTGCTAATCTGTCCATTGAAGAACACGTATAAATTGACAATTCTGATATTGCTGATGATTCCAATTTTCAATTTTAAGTTGTATTGTTATAAACAAGACCTGTTATATCGAAATAGAGTAAGATTAAAACTGGCGTAATAATCAATGTCTTTATACATGTGTATATGTTAGTATGTTACAAATCGTTTTGCAGATCATTGACTTTCTTTGTCTATCCCTTCTTTGGTCTAGGCCATATTCATTTAAATTTACAGATTAACATATAATATTATTCAGTAATATTGACTATCAAAGTGTAAGTTTAGTTTGCTTCGATGGGAATTTATTTCCCGTTCTACAAGAAAATAAGGTTATCTTAAAATCATACTATTAGATAAGAAAGAGTTAAAATAGGTGCATAATTACGTTCTTGACACTGCATACCGTCCCAGCCGAGATCACAGTTACAAACATAATTGTTCTCAAATGAGATACAGGCTCCATTGGAACCACACGGTGAGCTCACACAAGGGTCCACTGCATTGAAACATGGTGTTATTCAAAGGTGCCATAAAAATAAAATCGAAAATCACGCGTGACATGAGATTAACAAAAGTCCATCAAATATTGTAATAACTTATCTAAAACACGACTGAAATACAATCATTTTGTGTCTAAATCTGTATTAGTGGGACATGTTTATTTTAGTATCATTCATACTCATCTGGTTCCTCAGAAATACGATATTAACATTAAAATGTACACGCCGCAAGGAACAAGTTTGTTTTAAAAATGTAATTATTTTGCCGTTGTGTTTCAGCATTATTTTGTTAAGTTCAAAATAATTAGATAATAGCACTATAGAAAAAAAAATTTCAAAGAAAGATATCACGAACGTTATACTCCTCCTTTTATAAAGTTTGTTGAGACATGACAGATGTGCTTATTAATAACAAGTAATGAAATAGAACGTCATATAGCATTTAAATATCAATAGTTTGTGATTCATTAGCTTTTTGAAACTATGTCCCTTTTAATCTTATTTACACCTCCATAGTTAACATTCTTGTCGTTTCAGTCCTGTTAAATGACTGTCGAGCTTGGGAGCACATTAAGGTCTGTCAATCTACTGCCAAACCTGTCTTAGTGGCAACCTCTCTATAAAGATCAACTGTCTATAATGTGTGACATATTTGGCCTCCCTCTAGACATGCTAGAAGGCAATATGTGGGAAAAAATATGTCGCAAATGGCCACCTGTCTACAGTGAACACTTTTGGTGTTTAACTTGGATGGCCTTAATAGACAGGTTTGACCGTACACGGACGATGATGCACAGGTTTAATTCGTGGGTAGGTGGAATTGTGTGCACGTGGTACCTTCGAATTTGGTCTAAAACCCACTCGGCTGCGCCTCGTTTGTTCAAACCATTCAAAGGTACCTTGTGCACACAATCCCTACCGACGCACTCACACCTGTTCATCATTTGTATATTGTTGAGAACCAGAAGGGCATTTACTCATATACGTGTACATAGAGTTGTTCCCTTCTTGCTCTCAGGAGACCGGACTCACCAATGGTACACTCCGAGCCTAACCAACCGTCTGCGCATGTGCACTGATAAGACGCCCCACCATCCGCATCCGAGCAAACTCCTCCATTTTGACAGGGGTCGGAATTACACTGACCTGATACAAATAACAAAAATATAATGGCGCACGTATTTATTCGTAAAATTCAACTTAACAATCATGTAAGCTGTTGCCAATAAAGTAGGAATAGTATTTTTCTAACCCCTTTTCATGAATTTATTGTGGAAATGTGATTTATTCTTGGCATATCAAGTTTATATCTTCTCAGAACTTCATTGATAGATAAAGTACATGTATATTACTATTTAGTGAATATTTGGTGATAGAATGCAGTTTGTTTCATCACCCTCGTCATTTATTACAGTCACAATTTCTCCTTAAAAGGGGTTACTGACTGTCGCACCATGATGACAATCCCTACCACCGCTTAAATATCAAACATCTTCTCCATTCAGACAAACTTTACCGTTTTCTTTCTTCATCATAATTTTGTTCACGATACGTTCGGTCGTCCTTTCCCTCTTCCAGACCCCACGCTCTTTTAACAGGTGTATCATCTTCTATTCTCAACATATGACCCATCAATCTCAATACGCTTCCATTTCACATTTCTTCCAGACCAAACCTATCGACGAGCTCTCTTTTTCTATTTCTATCGGACATTTTCACACCAGACATCTTCCGCACTGTGACTCTTTCTGTTCTCGTGAACATACCCCTTCTACTGTCTTCACATTCCAAGTTTCTGAACCACATACCATCGCTGTTCTAAGCATTATATACATAGATATATATTGCTTTTTATTCTCATCGTAAGTCTTCTGCCAGGTACGATTGAGGCCAGCTCACTAAACTTCATCCATCCCAACCTGCATCTTCTTGTCACTGCAATTTCACACCCAACACCACTGTTGACTGTATCCCCCAAATAAGAAAAACTATCAACGTTCTCGACATCTCCCAAATACATCCCTTCTAGCTCATCCACCACATCGCTACTCATCTCTCTGCATTTCTTGCACTCAAAACCCTCAGCCATTTTGTTGGTAATTTCCTTTACTCAAGCACATCTCTCAAAAACCTACTTCATAATAATAATAATAATAGTGGGTTCTTGTATAGCTCTCATGTCTGTCAGACTTGACACTCCTGGCGCTCCCGATTATTACCCCGGCTTTAGCACGGCTGCTGCTACGGTGCTCTAGCATTTCAAGGAATTAATTCCTGCCAGGTACCCATTTACCTCACCTAGGTCGAGTGTGGCAAATGTAGATCAAAGTCTTTCGACATAATAGATTTTGTCATCACGCCACAGACACCGCAATGATTTTTGTTTTGTTTTCTTCCACTGGTATTGCCCAAACTGATGTTGCTTCCATCACCTTTGTCTTTCCCATGTTGACTTTAAGGCCATTGAACTCAAATACATTCTTCAAGTTAGTGAAATCTCTCCACTGAGCTGCTGCAAGAAGGGAGGGGGGGGGGTAACAACATTCTCAGTCTTTCCCTTTCTCATTTCTCCGTTATTTCTTCACACCATAATAGAGAGGGGCATGTTCACCCTCTTCGCTAAGTCACACTGTTCCACCATCACGTGACTTACCAAGTTGGCAGTTGTAGCCATGATATCCGTCGATGCAGCCGCATATGTAAAGCGTGGGCTCGCTAAAACCAGTGCATACGCCTTCGTTCCGACAAGGGCCACTCAAACACGGATCTCCTATTTTTTGAAAAATAAAACGGAATTAATGTTGAGAATAATCACAATAAATTCAATATTAAACGAGATATGGCTTTATGACAATTCAATACGTTTATATTTAAACATATTGTAACTCACTTCACAATAATAATTTAATTTTGTATTTAAAGTGGAATAGCCTTTTTGAATGAAATTAATTTGTCCTCGCTGATAAGTTTTCCGGTGTAGTTGTTGGATAGTTTATCCTGAGGGTTAATGCTATTGTGGGTACCCATGCGGTTCGTGTTTGGAAGTGTAGCTGGTCGTCGACTTGGGTAAGTTGTCTGTGATTATTGGCCTGAGGTAAATTGTCCAAGCTTGCCAAATGGATAATTATTGTACGAGTATAGCTTTTGAAGGTTGATAGGAGTGGTTGATTACCAAAGGTAGTTATCTAGGAGTAGTTGGCTTGTGGCTAATTGTTTTAGAGAATAATTATCCGGGTGTTTTTTTCTTTAAAGGATAATTGTCCGAGTGGGGTAGGTTATCTTGAGAAATTTTCCTCAGAGTAGTTGGTATTGGAATTTCTTATTGTAGGTTACAAGATGCTTTGCATTCCTATTCAAATGATGGTTAGGGTGTATGCGCATGTACATTGATATTAGGTAGAATAAGTTTCTTGTCTTCGTAGCTGAAGTTCGGTGCTCCCCAAGGTAATTATAATGTGTCATTATATATTTATTTGTAAAGTATAGCAAAGGTCGTAAGATCAATAGGAAAAGATTTATTTCCGTTTGAGTATGCGAATTAGGAAATAAAGATATTGGTTGCCGGACAGTGATTAACTTACCTTCTTCACAAGTGACTCCAGACCACCCACCTGCGCATGCGCAGGTGTATGTCCCAATGTGTTCCGTGCAGGTTCCGCCATTTTTACAAGGTGCATCCTGACACGGATTCTGGGGGAAAACTGCAGTATGGGGATTAGAAGGAAAAAAGATAAAGAATATCAATAAATATCCTATGTGCGAATATCAGCGACTAGCAGGCCTTAATGAAATACATAAATATTGTCAACATTTCTCTACTTGGTATAGAGAGTCAAATGTGGATGTATATCTTCCAAAGGACATAAGAGGCTCGAAACCATGACCTTCGCATCACCAGCCTAGTGTAATACCACTGGATCATCCTGATACCTCTACATCAATCTTTTAATAAAAGCACGTGTTTTCGTGAAATCAACCAGGGAATTTCAATAGCATCTTCTGTCATATATCAAAACGTGCAAACATTGAAATAAAGTATAACGTAATCCGAACATGATTGCTATGGGAGAAACGCTTGGGTAATTTTTTTTCCAAAGAAAATTTATTCAATCATTCTTGAGCAAGAACAAAACAATACATTTGAACAAAGTACAGGTTGTGACATATCGGTAAAGCAAACATTGTTACAACAGTTGCACATGTCTCCACTTATCAAGTAATACAACGAATCTATTGCGTTTGATAGAAAGAACCCGCTTTAAGCATCTTCTTAAAAGAATTCAAAGATAGCCGTTCCCTTTTGTATTTCGCAGAGAATATATAGTGTTTTGCATATAAAATGACAAAATTAAAGATAGATTGCGTGCCATCTGAGAAACCTAGGGTAGGGTATGGTACTTTATAGTAGTGTATTGTGTAGTGGTGGTGGTTATTTTACCTGACTGCTAGGAATGCATAAATGCTCTTTAGTAAGCAACCAGAGGACCGACGGCTTTATGTCCTCCCCGATAGACTTGATGAGGATTAATGCCTTACCAAAGGGCACTAGCGCATCGGCTTGGTTTCAAACCCAGGTCGCCGGATTACGAGACCACTGCTCTACCAACTGAGCTATCGCGCCTCCTTAACTGCCCCCCTGTTGTTGATTTCTCGAAAGGCTATGCGATCTTGTTCATAATGCTCTTATGTGTGTATGACGGTTAATCAATTTATTCATGCACCGTCATCCAAACACTATTAGTCATATTACGTGCTATACGTTAAATCGATTATATGAAATATCGTCGTTGGTTGGTTACTTTGGTAACAAATTTGCGTATGTCGATCATGCAAACGGTTCCTTTGTCCTAGAATACAATGGTATCATGAATAAAGAGGTGTTAAGTGAAAATGGGAAGGTTGCTATAGTTATAAATGTACATGTTAAACGATTCTGAAAGGTACAACAATTACAAATTCTTCTCATAGGAGAAATGAGATATCATCAATATTTTAGAATACGCGCATAGATCATTTTGATCGACGACACTCATACATGTAGGCATTTTGTCTCTTTGTGGGTTCTAACAGTTATTCCCTCACTCTTAGGGTGCATATTCATATGAGGGTTCATGAATTTTAACACTCTTACGACTAAACACCATTGCCCCCGTTCTACTAAACGTTAAAGGGAAATCCAACCTTAGTAACAGACAACTCTAAAAGAAAGCAGAAAACCAGAGAAGCAGACTAGTAAACATTTAAACGAAATCTGACAAAAAATAAGAAAGTTAAATATTGACATTTGAAATCACTATTGGTTTTGAATCGGTTATCTCACTATGACGTAATACCGGACAATTTCCCGTAAGTTCCAACATACAAAATGACTAAAATGTCATCTGTTTTCAATATGTATAAATGCTTTGGGCATATTTAATCATGGATATGTGCGCTTTATATATACACGTACACTGTATATGGTATTCATACACACTACAATGCGTTACAGCCAAAGGAGACTATCATTGAAACCAATTAAAAAGGAAAAGTTGAGTTAAGTTGTATAGAACAACTTTTCAACAACTTACATGTTTGACAGTTGAAGCCTGTGTAGTCCGCGGGGCAATCACAACTATAAATATCGTTCCCGCTGGGGCTCACGCCATTTACACAAGAACCACCATTTTGGCAAGGTGAGCTTGCGCAAGCACCCGTTTCTAGGAGAAAGTGATGAAAAGAAGAAAAAAGAGAACGAAATTTTATTCTTCAACACTATAAACGAAGTTATACCAAAACAATACAGAAGCTAACATTCAAGAGCAAAGGCGCACGAAGCTGTTTACGAAAAACAGTTATAGTTGTCCTGATAGTGTAGAATCTTCAGGGCAGGGAAAAAATACAAGGGGGCTCGGGGCGAATTAGCCCCCGAAATGCCAAAAAGAGCCACCGAAATTCATAAAAGAGCCCCCAAAATTGCATAGAGTTCAATGCAAAACAAAATAAAGAGTGTTATTTTCATGCAAGCAAGCTTGAAAAGTAGCCCCCAGAAGTTATTGCTTCAGGGAGTTATACGCTTATTCGATATACAATCCTAATCAAGGTTCTAAAAAAACGTAACGAATGGATATTTTCTCGAATGTAATATTCTTCGTTTCTAGCAATAGGACTTTTTCTGATTACATTAATGAATGTAATATAGATGTTTGCAGAAATTTGTTATTTGTCTGTATACGACAGTGTCTTGACTCATAGAGGAATTAAACATAATTATTTCCCTGCCTTTCAAATTGCTTTCCTACATGTATTCAAATATCCATTAGTAAAGCTTGTCTGTACTGTCAACCTTAATACAAATTTCTTGCAGATATAAATATCTAAACATCTATTTATTTATTTATTAATATATAATAATTTATTCAAGATTGTTACAAATACTTATATTGAATTGAGAAAATGAATACAAAGCATAAAGAACACATCAGTGAGATCTATATAGAACAAAAAATAAGGGGGAATCGTGGAGTCGTCTTCTTAAAAAGTTATAGTTGTACAGGTGAAATGAATTTGAGACGAGGCACTTAACACAGATGTATGCATTGAATTTGATTATATTACGAAAATGGCCTATTGAATTTTGATTACGTTGAAATGAATTGCATTGAATGGAATATAATAATCCGCCCCCCCCCCCCCGCCCACCGCTCTCAAATAGAAGGAGAAGACAAAATATTGATAAACTTACGCTGTTCGCAGTTTGTTCCCTGGAAGCCGGCGGCACAGAGGCAAGCATAACCAGAGGTACCAGTGAGAAGGATGCAGGTACCCCCATTCTGACAAGGATCACTGTCACAGCCATCTTAAAAGAAAGAAAGTAAAAGGCAGAGGGTTGTTTATGTTGAATAAAACCAATGATTTTGTTTTTGATTAATAAAAATTTTGTGGGGAAAATGCAGGAAATGGACAAAGGCCTGTTTATTTAGAAGTTACATGTTTCAAAGGCATTTTTAATTAATAAAGATGATATTATATAGTCTGAAATGAGTAGGGTATATAGCTGGTTTGGTTTTATTTTCCGTATAAAAATTCAAATACAATTTACAAATACAGTGTATGATACAAATTTACAAATATGATACAAATCAAGAATTAAAAACGGCTTGAATGCTCTATTCAGAGCCATTATTAAAAAGGCTTTGTTCTTCTTAGAGGTTCAGCTGCATCTGCATGATCTGTTTAAAAATGATAACACATGACATGTGTACTCATGACACAGAGGCGGGATAGACACTAGGTTGATAAGTGATGCATCAATATGGTGCATGAGCTAGATTAACTTGATGTTATTTAGGAACACCTCAAATATCCTACCGCCGAAACGTTTGGTTTAGCCAATACACTGTATAGACGGCTACCATAATAGCTCTGTGTGTTTTTCACATGTACCACAATGTAAATAGTTAAGTATACATCTACAAGTAGTCATTGTTTATACACAAGCATATCACTAGCTGCGCAGTTTTGAAGCAACAACATAGACGCATTATTCAAGAAACAGGTTAGTTTGAAATCCGTCTGGCCAGATGCAGACCACCTTATGATTGTGTGCCTGCATCAGAAACGGATTTAATTTTTTAACATCTGTCACATCTGGCCACTGAAGAAGAGTGTGACACTAACCTGTTTCTTTTGTTTATTTTTATTTTTTAATTTTATTTGGACAAGTCATCGCCCTCCGCCTGCCGGATAGAGGGTTTTTAGGCCGTTTTTTTCTTTTTTTTTCACATGCGTTGAATGAATATAGTTGTACACATATTATTTTTAAGACAAGAAAAGCTAGTTACAGTAATCATATACAGTCATGTAAGCATATACATGAACGCTGATGACGCATAGCATTTAGTTTTGAATATCGCACTTTTATCATCACCGTTGTCATAACATTTAAAACTGGTCCGTTTGATGATCTGTCATTTCAGTAATGGAGTGGAAACAATCAGTCATATTGCCGATTCGAGAGTTCAAACTAAAATTTACGATAGTTCAATTCAGCTGTCGTCTGGCTAATAACAAGTGCATTCATCGGCGTTTTCTGAACAATAATGGCGGTTATTGACTTTATGTTTCCGTTAAAGAGGTAAAACACGCACACAAACACGACAGTTCTCTTTCTAATTGTCTACACCTTCATCTTTTAATGAAAGTGTTGTCTCAAATCCGTCGTTTAAATGTCATTTTGTATGACGTATTTTGCTGCATTTGAATAGCAAAGTGAATGAACTAAGCGCCACTTCGAATGCAAAATACGAAAAATGTACAAACGATAATTAATTCTAGGTCGTGTTTCACGTTAAAAAATTGGAATGCAAGTGAATGCATTTTTTTCCACTACCGTCACTTCGTGAAAATAGCGACGATAATATGAGGATCTGCATACTGTACATGGTGTTTTGCTTTTAGCAAAAGCCACGAAATGACACCGTAACCATGATAACATGGGAAAAGACATGCGCCTTGTATTTGCAGCACCCCCCCCCCCCCCATTTCTCCCCAATAAAACAAAATAGTAAAGAGGTTTTAATAAGGTAATGTGCAAAGTAAACCTCCAATTTTGTATACAGCATAATGCGAATACGAATTTTATAGCGGATTAATTCTTTACAGACTAGCCATAATCATGTATACCCATGCGTTGAAAACTGTACACTCAGCATGCCAAGCGCAGTTACATGTATACGTGTATACAAAATGAACACGCTAGCAAGATCTCTCCCTATTATGAAATATCGATTAAGTACAAGAATTAGTGGGGATATTGATCGAAGGAGAGAATGTGGTTGCCTTTGTTTCCCTTCACCCCTGTACTTGACGGTGTGTTTTTGTCTAACGCACACACCCTAATAAATCAATACCAGTACCTTTAGAAGTTATATCACACCAAGGATATATCGCATACACTATCATCTTATTCAAAGGAGTATATATTTCAAGTTAATTCTCATTAAATTGGTTCTCATTTAAATGTAAGAAGATGCTTTGTAAATGTATACCTAATCACATCAGAGAAGCTAAGCTAAAGCTAAGGTGATAGCTGTATATTGAAAGCGCCTTGAACATCACCGGGGAAGATAATGAACGAATTACAGCTACAATGTACCAATGTAGCATGATATAACTAATATTGTTGATATAATAATATAATAATGATGACAATAACAATGAGGATATAATAACAACATTAATTACATAATCATCATCATTATCATCACCACCGTCACCATCATCATCATCATCATCATCATCATCCCCACCATCGTCTTCATCATTGCTCACCAACGTCATCGTCGTTATCATTATTACAATTACTATTAATTTCCGGCAAGATCTTTATACAGGAATGTATTGGTGTACATGTAATTTCCTGATAATTTATTCGAGTATTTAACTATCCTAATTCAAATAAAAATAGCAATCTTACTTTTGACATGGCATCTACTGTGAACCGAAGCCTTCGGGAAATATTAAATCATTTTGAAGGTGCCTGTTTTTCTCAATACCTGTTCTATTACTTTTTCTTTTAAATTTTGAAAGAAAAAAAAATGACGAAAAAAAAGGGAAATGGAATGTAATGTTGATTTTCACCAAGATTTTCACCAATATTTATATCAAAGTCCGAATGAATACAGTGTACATGTATGCATATTCCATACTCAGCGCATACCCCATACGCCATGAACACATATTCGAAAACTCATAACAGCTATAAATAAATCATTATTTTAAGTGCATTGTATGCGTCTGGCTGACTGCTTCTATTCATTTTTCATTATGCCGAGGAGAATATATGTTATTACTTCATTCACAAGATGGACATGGCTTCTGAACAACCAATTAATGATGAATGGAACACGGTTGACTACCACCGAATGGTGGTATACAACTATACATGGAGGTACAGTGTATGTATGTAACATTAGCGTTCGATGAACTTTAACAGAAAGGTATTTTGTATAATGAACCTATAATTATGTATATTATCATATAATATTGTCTTTTTCTTCAAAAGGCTATTATGTTGCTTTACAATATGCAACACAATGAATAAAGGTGTTATTCAGAAATAGGCAAAGATGACAACGCTCTTATTTTCAAGCCTTTTCTTTATATCCCACTGCTCAGAAAATCTATTTGGAGGGATTTATCGATACTGATGATCAGTTGCGATGCAATTTGAATTGCATTTATTATGTGATAATTCTATAGGCTCGTTAAAACATATTATATAGTATTACACGAACACATTTATGATACAGACTGTAGTTTAAGTCACAATATTTTCCACTTACTAAAAAAAGAACACAGAGGAAACGGGATAAACAGGATCATTTAAATATGAACCATTCTCGTGTCAGTTTCCTTTACTTCCACACTTCTTTGAGTGTACGTTTACGAGTGATTCATAGGTAAATAGCCGAAAATGAATCCACGCTGCCTTTCAATATTATTTCACACTAAAAGTAAATAAGAAGGGATGTATTTTTCCTTGATAAAAACATAAATATATGTATATATACATTTATATATATATTTCTATGGTTTCTGTAAAGATTTCAAATTATTATCTTATTTCTCGGTATTTTAGGAAAAACAAAACTCATTTCCAATTTCTATAATACTACAAAACTATCTGAATGGTAGAATACTACAGTAATTTCCAATAACTATCATTAAATTGGAAGCAGACAACACGACCCGGTTCATCTCATTCTGGTAATTTTAATGCAACCCACTACTACCAATGAAAGAGATCCAACACAAATTTAAACTACATATTACATAACATCCATAATTCATCCATGACGTGTATTAACTTTACATAAATGTAAATGTATACCTTAATAACTATAAACAACTACAGAATGCTTTACTACATACTTTAGAGCTTAGCAATTGTAATGGTCAATCACCGTGTAACCTGTAAATACCAGGACAAATATTATCTCAACTTTTTTACTCGATAACTAATGTCATGTAACTCAAAATGTCTGAATTAATACCTGATTTGTTGAAGTTTATTAAATAGTATTAATATTTGATACAAATGAAAGAATACTTACTTTGTGCTATAACATGATGCACATTTAAAACCACCACCAGAAGAACACTTGCCGATAAAACCCCCATCGTATCAGAAGTTCAAACCGGCAGCATGCTATATATTCCAATCTGCTTATAATCCAATAATACTTCAGTTTCACCGTTGTGCGTTTAGTTGTCTCAGCTATTCCAAGTTAAACAACTCCTAATCCTTTCGCTTCAGCAATCCTTCACTGTCTTTTGCAACTATTCCTTCTGCTGTAGACTTAAATATCCTTTCATGAAGTCGGTATCACCTTATATTTTGCAAACTAAACGAATTGTGGGCGAAAGTTTACGCCAAATGATATACACAGACCGGTACTGTTACAATCGTAATCTAAATGTCTATGCACAAAGTAATATGTTTTCTCTAGTAATAAAAAGAGCGACTATAGTTCGTAAGCACGCCACGGTTCACAGATCTTTGTGTAACGTGCATACTGATTGATGATTCAAAATCGAAGCTTTTCTATTCCTATTGAATGAAAACAAGCATTCTCTGGCCGTAGCGTCGTCGGTTGCATAGCGAACGAGCGCTATTGTTATCTAGTCTAGTCTGGTATTCAGACCAGTCGAAGGACTTTTGTTTTCTGAGTTGCCTATACATATATGTTTTTTTCTAGATTTTCAACAGAATAAGATCTTTGTTGGAAAGTGTACAATCGTATGGTCAGAGTGAGTTATCTTCATCGAAATAATGAATGCAAAGATCCTATATATTTTTAAGTATACCCATGTAAATGTAATACGACATCCAGCGTTTTAGACTGTTTTAGGGTTGATTGACACTTTTTTTATATTTTATAAAGAAGATTAATAAATGTATTTTTCAGAAGTTTTTTTTAATGCTTATTATAACATGTATCACCATTCGCTAGCACATATTCTTAGTTATTTTCAGTACTTATGCAAGTCAGTTTCAATGTCAGTTTCAATGTTTCAATGTTTCAATGTCTGGTATTAAGACTAAACTATCAGGATCTCTGCGTGCAAAATATGCATTGCTGTAATGACAGTTTGGTCCGCTTTCGCCGAACAGACAGAATAGTCAATCATGAACGACCTTTTCTATCGCTAAAATGGTATCCATAGCAACTGCAGAAGCTCACATGAGCATGGTTTGTATCGGGAGACTTAATTACATGAAATTAATGGACTTGTTTTTATAACTGGTCGGATTATGCCTTGGCCTGATTTGAATGATTCAAAACGCATGGTGAAGGGGTTTATGTTTGTCGATGCATTGTCTGTGGGGGTTCTGTTGATGGGCGGGGTGAATGGTATTACTCATTCGCTGTACGATAAAGAGATAAAAGAAAGAGCGGAGGGGTGTAACTGTATTGTTGTGCAATAAGTATTGACTGGAAAAGACACCATATCGTTTAAATATAAAACGCCCAACGGTAATCTAACATGATATCATTATCTCCATCCTCTTTTCTCTTTTTTTCGTTTCTTTATGAAGAAGAAGAAATACATGTGCACGCATATTTTAATGATTGTTTATACGTAAATTTGAATTCAAATTAAATTTGTTATAGTATTCGGCAATAATAGTCATAAACTGACCGACTTGCCTACATCAAACATCAACAACAACAACAAGTCTACCACAACATAGAGCCAGTGTTGTAACAGCACTGGCTCTATGTTGTGGTAAGCATTCTGCTAAGGGAGTGTTTGAGTTGCGGTCCAAGTTACACTCTTTTTAGTTATCGAGTTAAAAAAGAAAGACAAATATTGTTTATATGCAATGATTAAAGTCTGCCAAGTAATATATTTCCCCCTTCTCAATTGGGTCGTATTTCCTCCCGCCGTTGTTGAATCCTTTTAAACACGCGTTCGATAGCAACACCTTAAAGTAAATTCGTTCAGGAATAACATGGATACATTTTTTTTTCAAGGAGGAAAAAAGAATCTTGATTTTAGGTAAAAAGAGGTGGATGGGAAGAGAAAGAGAATGATGGGAGTATATATCGAAAGAGAGGATGAGGGGGGGGGGGGGGCAACTGGACGACGAACGCAAAGAGAAGGAGATACAGCGAAAGAGAGATGGGCACAACGATCAAGAGAAAGCCGTCGTATCGCCAAAGTGAATGATATTCACTCCTAATTACTAAAAATATTATTTTTCAATAAATCAGGAATTAGGGCCTTCTGGATTCGTTTATACTCCCTTAATTTTCGTACTCGAACACGTTTTCAAAATGATGACAATATTCTTAAAATAAAGTAGGCTTGTGGTTGCACCATGTGAGAGGGATCGAGATTGAGGAGTCCTGAAAAGGACTCTTGGTAATATTCACGAAATTGAATGAAGAATATAGTTAGGCATTTATACTCAACCGGGCCATTTAGGAGCATGCCACTTTCTGTGATGTTTCACTACTACAATTTTACCACTCGTATTATTCCGATGAAATAGTTAGTCCTTCGAAGTTTCTAGCGGCAAAACTGTCACTGTAGTTCTTCCTAGCCTTTATGGGTTAAAAATTGCAAGGACTTTATGTTTAGGTTTAGCACAAACATGCTCCTCCAAACACAAGGTGGCGCTCTCAATATAAGCCGCATAGATTTTATTAGGGTATATCTTTGGACTTTGATCGATGTCAAAGAGATTCAATCAACAACATTGTACTACTGGCACATAGTACCCATTATATTGGAAATGCCTATGTAAATGGAAGGCAGACATATTTCTATGATCATCACCACCATTACCATCCTCCTTTTCCTCATCCCGCTCGGGCCGCTCCTCATCATCATTTTCATCATTCTAACTTGAATTTTTCTGTCTGTTTGTGTAAAAGTAATTTATGTTTAATTCAGCTACTTTCGTTTTCGACTGATCAATCAATCAATGGAACAAAGAGAGAGGGAGAGAGAAAGCGAGAGGGAGTATATATGTGTGTGTGTGTGTGTGTGAGAGAGAGAGAGAGAGAGAGAGAGAGAGAGAGAGAGAGAGAGAGAGAGATAGCAAGGGGGAGAAGAGGAGGCATACACAAATATTAATACATACATATGTACAATTCTGACATTATTCCATTTATTGAGGTCTGAAAATATCACAAGCTGTTTCCATATGAAGCAACAAGATACTTATATATCAATTACCCCTGATTATTACACAATGCATAGATTTCTTTTTAGTTATATTGTTATCATTTTCATGATATGTAGAGAAATGTAGTACTTCGGTAAAATCACCTTAAGGAATGGTAGTAAGTTGTGAAAAGAACACTGTACTGCTAGATTATGATGTATTCAACCTCCAAAACACTTCGTGTGACCTTCACTCAGGCCAAAAGGAATGATCAATACATAACTCATCCAAATGTAAATACCCTCATTTGATAGACACATGTCAGTCACATTGTTTTTGATTGAACAATGTGTGAAAGAAACATCACATTTAATGACGTCATCCGTGTCTCACTTCTCAATGGACACGAGAGTATATTATATGTATTTCACATTTGAATTATAACTTGGAATCAAGAATAAAGGAATCCCATGGGGCATCAACGGGTTCATATGAAAGTTTTTGAAGGGGGGAGAGCGCCCAACTGGTTGAGCAGCAGATGTAGAATTATACAAAACATACATTTCATGTTATATCTTAGGTGAGAAACATTATCATTTTCTTGTAAATCATAAGTTGCCAGCTACTTTTATCAATCATCTAAATATATTATATCATCACAAAGGTATAGAAATATATTTCTAAATCTATATTATTTTGTTGTCAGTTGACAATATATATATGACATGAATCTGTACAAAGAATGTTACAATATATATATATTTCTGGCATAGAATGTATTGGCACCAGCTCAAGAATGTCCATTTCTGCTAATTAGATATAATTACTATGTAAATTACAAACACATTAATATAAACAGAAACAGATACAGAAAATATAAATATTATATCATTGAACTTGAAATCTGTTTGGTAACAATATTGCCCTTTCTTTTTGGTGATGTGTGAACAGCAGTATACTCTTTACATATATATTTGTTTTCTTCAAGTCATATATGATTTTGCTATTCAGAGTACAAAGTGCATATGGTTCTAAATGAAAAAAAAAGGGATGGCTAGAGAGAGAGAGAGAGAGATAGAGAGAGAGAGATAGATAGAGAGAGAGAGAGATAGATAGAGAGAGATAGAGAGAGAGAGAGAGATAGAGAGATAGAGAGAGAGAGATAGGGCGGGGACAGGGTGACAGAAAAAAAGGTGAAAAGAAAGGCAAGAGGAGGAAAAGAGAAAGGCTCCTATTGGGGGTCAGAGAATGAGGGACGAGTTTGAGGAGAGGAGAGGAAAGAAAGAGAAAGAGAGAGAAAGAGAGAGAGAGAGAGGGAGAAAGGGGGAGAGAAAGGAAGAGAGAGATAGAGTGTTAGAAAGATAGCAGCAGCAAAGTAAAGCAGCAATAATTGTATCATTCTTACTACTATTGATACTACATGTATCCTAACCTAATGATCCTAACCTAACGTCAACTACTATTACATTAAAAAAAATCTCTATCAACTATCATCATTCACAAGTACTGAGGTACAGTTTGCATCGTTTTTACATTGCATAATTAAAACAAACTTATTGAATAACATACAAATTACTGGTTTAGAAAACAAATAGTTAGACATTTTAGAATAATCACATCTAACGTGATAGAGGTGCTTTATGAATACCTATTGTGTTGCCTTCTTGAAAGAATACTTCCATCCGCGCAACAGAGAATTTACCACTGGTGCATAAATGAATACCGATTTGTCATAACTTTCATGAGCATGTTTCCAGCAGTCATCTCGATGGATTTTACAGTTTTGTGCAAATGACCTTTATCGGCACATGCGCAGATAGTATCTACAAAGTGGCTTCTTTGCAAAAGTTTCTAGATTTAAAGTACCTTGCGAAACATTCCACCCATTGTAGAAGTCAATGGGACACAAATCAGTTTATAAACTGCAGAATTTACTCTACTAAATGGAATAAATCTATAAAATTACATATTACTTTCATTTGAATTGGCGTATTTGCAAATGTATCTAGTTATATAGTACAGTACTTTGCAACATATTCTACTGATTGTAGAAGTCAATGGGACTAAATCAGTTTACATCCTGCAGAATTAACATGAGTGAGAAGAGCTGCTGATTGGACTGATGAACAAGGTGTGTAGAACATGGAATGTTATACCGGTATGAAAATTCACTACTGAAGATCTTATACAACTTCAAGAGTATACGATTTACATGCACACAGTAACTAACATGACAACACCAACTCTACATCATTTCCATACTGACCGACACTTGGCCATACGTGGGAATGTAATTATTCTTTTCTTGTCTGCTGTCAGCCTTGATGGAATGACTAATGTACAGTAGAAGGCTTTCAAGTGGTACAATAAATCAACGTCTTTAATATCTTTAGGGCAGTTTTAATATTGTTTTCGTACTGCTCAGTCATCCGTGAATTTCAACTATTGAAATCGATATCATATCGATATCATACGAAAACAGAGCCATATTTACCGAGGTAAGTCAAATTCTTTAATTTCACTAGTCAGAATACTAAAGATAATAATAATAATATTTGTATTGCTTTGTTTTCGTGTGATACAATAATATATTGCTCTCGCTACACAATATTAGACTCGTCTTCGACTCGTCCAATATTGTCATAGCTCAAGCAATATATTCTTGTATATCACACTCAAAGCCCTCCAATATTATATAAGTATGATCGATAACTTTATCAATAACTGCACAATTTCTTATTTCAAATTCGTCAAACTTGGCAATGAATTGTCAGAATACTCTCAGAGTCCAATATTAAATACTAAGACACAGCTAATGTAATGATTTCATTCATTGAAGCACTCTAGGTAATGAAATTTATACAAAAATTACTCCAATATATGTAGTACATGTCACACATTTATGTTAATTTTATACTATTTATAACATGTATTGCCAGCATAAATGTAGTACCTTGCATAATCACACTTTAGATACATTGTATACAATACATCTCATGTAAATCTTCAATTGCAACTGATCCCGTAAATGTATCTAATCAATATTATATTCCACAATCTTTAAAGCAGATTAAAAGCTAAGCACACACAATGATTTTGGCCTATTGTCTTAATGATATATGTTCACAATCTCAGTACATTTACATTAGAAAACACTTAGATTAAGATTTATACTCTTGTACCTAGTATAAATTCAACAAATTACATATCAAGGGTTCAGTGACACAGAGACATAATTCCATATTTTGCCAAAATGAGTATTCGATATCAAAATGTTCAGAAAATGTGGGCTTTCCAGGAAACACAATGACCTAACTCCATCCAACACCCCATTGAAGTCAATGGATTGTGAAACATAGGCTTAGTTCCTTAAGGCCCAAGTGCTCAGTGACACATAAACCACTGTTTCCCAAAATGGCCAAAATGGAGTTACGTCTTTGTGTCACTGACCCCTCAACGACCATAATAGAAGGAATTGCCCTGCCAACACACTTTTTAGCACAGCAAAAACAAACTTGCCTGCTGCATGCTAGAAGGTATAAACGTTAAGTTGATAGATATGGATGAATACACTCCAGTTCTCAGCAAAACATATGCATCAGAAAAATGATGGTTCAAAACTTGAAATTAAAGGGAGTGTAGCTTGGCAAATACTGGTTAACGCCATCTAATCTTCTCTTGGACAACTGCACGTAAACGAATGGGCTTGATTAATGGTCGTCAGGCTACACTCCCATTAACCCCTTTGCATAAATTATAATCCAAAAGGGATTACAAACTAATTAGGACCTGATGTATATGCTGTTTAAAACAGTAATAAAGGTATGGCAACCATTTCAACAGGAATGTTCTTTTTTGTACACTTCTCACAAATGAGTGGGAACAGTTTCCACAAAGCATTACCAACATATCACAATTAGGAATGAGTTGCATCGTCATTGGCAAAGTGATGGTAAATTGCATAAACTTTTATGGCAAGCAAATCCGAAATTTCATCATTTTTTTGTTTACTTTCCCCTAATTTTCAGCATTATGATAACCCTGGTTTTGAGATTTTGTAGTTATACAACCTGAATTCACCCTGGAAATTGATAATACTGAATACTAATCATAAGTCAGGACGTATCAGGTTTGTCATATAAATTTTCATAAAAAGTAATTCAACAAGTATAAAATTGTCATACATAATAACATAATATAGTGCTTAATACATCTATGATGTCTCTAAACGCTTTACAGATATACTATTTCTCTGGTCATTGGATTCGATACTTGCCAGCACACACTGCGTGCACAATCTCCACTCCCTGGGGAACATTCCAGCCAGGCGTTACTTGAGGCTCAAAAACTGTTTGACCAACAATGACAGTCGCTTCCTACCGGGTGCCCATTAAGGAGGCAATTTTTTTGCTTGGTCTGTAAAGCATCTGCTGCCTGTTGAAACAAAGATTGTGGATTTGAATCCAACCAAGTTGTATGACTGAAGCCTGCGTTGTGTGTTCATGTGCCCCTTTCCTGTTTCATAGAGACAGGCTATGTTACAGTGGAAAACACTCCGTCCCTCGGATAGGGTGTTAAATGGAGGCTCCGTGTAGAGGAGAGTCACCACCTTTGCACATTAAGAATCCACTGCACGATTCCTATAAGAGTAGGGGGAAACCCCATTGTAGTGGTTCACCTGCACATCCCCAATCAGTTATACCGGGAGGAGAGACCCAAGTGTTACAGCGATTCAGTTTGCATTTTTGCCTCCCAGGCACAGGTGACGGCAAATACATAATATTTTTATGTCCAGTATAAAAGTTTTCAAAGATACATTTACATGTATTTAGCTAAAATAGTGTTACACTGATGTATATTATGGTCAATAGTAAGAAAGCCTGTATTCATCTAGGAATGTCTTTTTAAGTTTATAAAAATACAAATTACAGGGTACACTGTATATCATAGATTCATTGAGATGCTTCTTTAGAGTAAAGAAATATTTGCCGATACTGTACTGTGTAAAACTCGAGGTAAAACTAGCTAATAAAAAAGTACTTATTCTTCTTTTTCTTCGGAGTCGTAGAAGCGTTCTAAGAAAGCACGTCGGATGCTGCCTGGAATCTTCTGATGTTTATGAACGAGTCCCTCCACAGCCTCATGGGCCTAGTAAAAAAAATGGGACAGAAATTGAAATACATTTTATGAGAAAAAGGACAAACTCTATGATTGCTTATATGGGTCAAAACTACAGTGCTAATGATGACCATCGTACTGTTGTTGTTGTTGTTGATGATGATGATGATGATGAACCTACATAAAATGTCGCATTATACTACAAGAAGACTTTTTCATATACATACATGTATGCATGGGATTTTGAGGATAATATCCAGGCAAGCTAAATGCTTAAATCTTCTTGGGGTTCCATATAAATTGATATTTTGTTGATCATGTTTATTTCTGTAATTTTGACTCAGTAGCACTAGCTCGAATAAAAATTGAGGAGATATGATGGCTCAGTGGTGGAGCAGTAGTCTCTTAACTGGGAGGTCCTGGGCCGGTATTCAATTCAATACTTAGCATAAGTAAGAAATTTACTAAGTAAATGGCTAAGTTAAGTAATTGACTTATCTCGTATTCAAATCGCATTTTAGACTTATACTTACGTAAGACAAAATTTAAGTAAAATACTTACTGATAAGCATTGTGACGTCACACGGTCAATCAAAAGTAATGCGCAATTGATGCATTGCAATAAATACGCGCTGATATAATTGTGCGCGGGATACAATACTGCGTAAGAAAACCATATGCCTGCCAATCAAGGCCACCAAATAATTGGCTTAAGTCTGGTATGCAGTTGGCTTAGATTGAAAGTAAAATACTTACACAAAAGTGTGAATTGAATACCAAAATTGGCTAAGTATTTTATGTAAGCCAAATACTAAGTAAAAAGCTTAAATTTTGTACTTAAGTATTGAATTGAATACGGGCCCTGGGTTCCAAACCAAGTCAATGCACTTATGCCTTCGGTATGGCATTAATCCTCATTAAAAAGTCCCTCAGAGAGGACTTAAAGCCGTTGCTCCCCTTGGTTGTTTACTTACACACATAGACAGTACATGCTTTATTACTAGCCAGGTAAAACAGTTATCGTAATCAAACATTTAATCATAATCACAATACCATTAGGGCTTTTTCTTTTGTCTGTATGTAGCTAAAAATTCTACAGAATGTATAAGACAGCAATTGGGACCTGTGGTATACAATTACCCAGTACATCTACCTCAATGTAACAAGAGTAGAAAACATAAAGAGCGCCAGCTACCTTTGAAATGAAACCAGACTCCCTGCAATTACATGCATACTGAATTTAGCTTGAGTGTAATGACAAGCATTTTAAGAATGAAATTAATTTATTCTCAGGGTCTCTTGAGTTTGGATAGATGAATAGATAAAACAAATACATTTCTTTTATCAAAGAAACCTGGTGGGTGTTTCACAAAGATCCTAGGTGGAACTTAAATCTAAGTTGGATTTAAACATTATGGAGAGCCATTTGTAGCCTTAAAATGAAATATATTCAAAAGCGAAAATTGAGGTATTTTAGACTTTCTATAAATTCCACATCAAGAACATGAAATCTCCTTGATAATAGAAAATATGAGTGATTTGAATCGACTTTTTATGCCTTTTTATACAATTTTTACAAAATATTTTCATAGATGCTAATGGCTTTCCATAATTGTAAGTCCAACTAAGAGATTAGTTCAACTTAGGATCTTTGTGAAACACCCCAAGGACCCACTAAAACATGATTCAAACGTGCAAACTCTTGGTAGAAAATCAAGAGACACTAGCAACACTACCGGTATTTCATACTCCCACTTCCCGCCATCCTTATTTGCACTCCACAAGGACTGAAGCAAAAGAGAACTAACCTTCTGTACGATATCATCTACTGTCATCTGGGGATCCCATTGGATAGGAGGACCAATGAATGTCCTGGAAATTAAAAAAGGAAACAAAGAATGTTATTTTACTTCTTTATCTCCAAAAACATAACAAATTGCAGGGCATCTTGAAGAGCAAGCTAAATCAATTATCAGACACTTGAGACATCCTTTGTTGCATTACCAAAGTTATCCTTTGTTGTGCTGCATAAAGCCATCTACTGTCAGTCGATTGCAGTAATTAGAAATGACAGGATTGCAGGAACTTCACAATACTAACAAAAGAGTGCAATGGGATGATACTGTAGTATATGCAGATTAAAAGATAAACCAGGATCTGATATTTAAATGGCTTCAAACAAAACAATGCTGATTACATTAATCCTCATACATGATGTGTACATGGGGTTTCCCCTCCCTCTGTGACTAACACAGTTTCTATTTGAAATCTTTAAAAAAAAATTTTTTTTTAAATGAATTGAGTTCAAGTCCATTGCGCTGGCACTGTGGTATATTGTGAATAGTGCTGTAGTCAAACGTTTAACCGTCCGGTATCTGACTGCCCATGGCGGATTCCGTTTTCAACTGTACGGTTTCGTTTTCCCGTTGTTTTTTTTTTTTTTATAATTTTTTTTTTTTTTTAAAGTTTCGATTTATGCCCCTCCACCTGGCACTATGCCTGGCAATGTCTCCCAGCTCAGTAATCTGTGTGTTGACTCACCACTCCAAAACTAGAACAACACTCCAATTTGTCTGTCATCTTGGTTTGAAAGTAATCTTTGTAATAGATCTCAATATGTAGTTTATAATAATAATTCATCAAATATTTACACAAGGCGTACCGCAAGGTTCTATCCTAGGTCCTCTACTGTTTTAAATTTCATTAATGATCTTACACATTCATCTAAAAACTACATTGTTACTATTATTTGTGACAAGTTCACAAGTTAAACGGAATTGGAGATATCCGTGATGTAACAGCACTAATTGTGAAGGCACTTGAATATCATGCTAAAAGGTCACAGGTTCAATCCATGTTCAGTGCTTGCACATGTCCATGAAACAAGGCGTTTAACCCCACATTTGTCTCTCTTCACCCAGGTACATATACATGTATAACAAACAGGTAGATGTATCTGGCAATGCTGGGGTAATAATGATTGCAGGGAAATCTAGAATAGCAATTGTAACACTGATGAAGCTACCATTGTCATGTATATTATCATTAGTCACTATATATCTAACACAGACAGTTTACAACTACATCATTCATACCCATAGTTAATGTGAATTAAAGAAAAAAGGTTTTTTCTCTTTTCTGTAACTCATGACGTAAAGGTGGACTTGTTGAATCAGGACCTTTGTTGAATACTTTTCGATGTAGGGTAACCTCTAATGTGCCAAATGTTCAAGTAATATATATTGGGGAAGAAAAATTGAATCAAAAATAATAAAATAAAATAAAATAAAATAAATAAAAATTCTTTTTTCACAAAACCTGGTGAGGAAATTAATAGTTTAATTTTTAATTCTTAACTGTATTCCATTTGTGAAACCAAACATGTTTCATTGAAGACAACAGGAACTAAAAATGCCAACCATGATCCAGCATGCATATGAACTCTTTAACGCAAGAAAGTGAAACTTATATCCACAACTGTGTCATCTGGTGTTTTCCCTTACTTTAGTTTAACGGGGAAACCCCCATAGATGGGGACTAGTGGAGCTCTAGTCTTCTCGTACAGCCACCTGAGGATGCCCCGCCCTAGCTTGGGTGTGCGGAAGGCTTCTCGGCAATTCCGAGTAAAGACTGGGATGATAGGCTACACCAAATGAGGAAAAAATAAGAGAGAGAAAATATCAGGGCTTAGTTAGACATAATAAATGCACATGCATACCGGTAATGTTTGTTGCACATTGAAACATTATCTCTCAATAACATAGCATCACGGGAGCTAGCCAGTTCCTGTGGGCTGTGAATAAAGCCTGTTTTCTATCCGATTACAATTGAAAAGCTATGAACTTTTGAAATTGTCATCTGTGAAATACAAATTGACTGCACTTTGACGTATCTTGCAAGCTCCTCTCCAATTTGCTCTGTACAGAAAATGTTCATAACCTTTCATTTGTCTTAGTTATTGAAAAAAAAAAAAAAAAAAAAGAATTGGGAAAAAAATAATCAGGAATAAAAAAAAAAAAATCTTTAATCGTACCACTTTGGCTTCCATCGCGACCTTTGCGAACCCTTTTCTCTGGCCCCACATGAGAGTATAGGTGTTGCCACTGAAGTAGGCTTCCCTGGTACCCCCCGGTGCTATGGCCAGGAGGTTGCCTTCCTTGAGGATCCGAACACACACCTCTCGGGTACCAATGTTCACAGCAAAGATCCTCCATAGTAACTTGAGGCCTGGAGAAATCAAGTAGACGGATGCCAGGTCAGTGAAAAACATACATATGTAAAAGGGTCTACATAGTACTTTAGGAATAATAAAAAGACCCCACCCCCCCCCCCAAAAAAAAAAAAAAAAAAAAAAAAAAGATGTTGTACTGCCCTTTAAGGCTTTAGGTGCCAAAACATGGGCCGATCGGTCGGAAATCTTTGAAAAAAAAAATTTTAAAAATTGTTTTTTTTCTTCCTCCCTCTTTGGGCTGATATTTCTCAGTTTTGAATGCTTTAAAAAAAAAAGCCAACCATAGATTTCAAGATTTTAGGGTCGGGCGCAAAGGGCAATACAACATATACAATATAACGCCTAATAATAGGCATTTATATAGCGCCGTCTATCTAGACAACTCTTTTCGGAGGAGCACAAATTAATTATCAGCTCAGCTTTAGTCTAGCTGCCATTACAGCACTCTAGCATTTCAATGAATTAATTCCTGCCAGGTTCTCATTTACATCACCTGGGTCAAGTGTGGCAAATGTAGATTAATGCCTTGCCAAAGGGCATTAGTGCCGTGTTCAGGAATCGAACCATGACCTTTGAATTTCAAGTCAAGTGCTTAAACTACTCAACAACAATACTTCTTCGGCGAGGTACAAACCAAATTTATACTACAGCTGTGGAAAACAAATCTCCAAAAATAGTCTGTTTTTTATTTGCAAGAGTTCAATGACGCTATGTACATGTATACTACAGTCAAAATATGAACTTCAAATACAATGTACTTCAAAAAAGAAAGAGAGAGAGAGAGAGATTGCAAGTTAAAATGCTCTCTCGATGTACAATGATTAAAGAAGAGAATTAAATGCATAAACTACTTGAGGCAATCATACACACTCGCATAAAAAAGGCCTGCAAAAGGGGACTGGTACACTCTATTTTGAAAACATGTCCGTTATCATACTCATTAGGTTATGCAAGGGGATTTTACTGTTTACAAGCAGTGTCATTAGAGGTCTATTCTTAGGCCCATTCTTACTTATTATCACATGGATTGAGATACACTTAATGGTATTCTCTATTTTTGTCATACTCCTCATATATTGTATAGAATTTTTAGGTTAATTTTAAACATCGACACAAATATTTGTTTAGGTGATTGGTACACTGTAAGCATTCAAATCACTTGGCATCTACACCTTCATAACCTAGCAACCATTCATCTATAATCCTTTCCTACTGTCTCAATTGAGTAGAGCTAGAATATCTAAAAATCAACCTCACAAACTTTATTCTACAGGTTAATGGGTAAGGAGTATCAATAAAATAAAGGATTAAATACAACCTCATGTACAGTCAGACTTGGATTCTGTGCATTCTTTCTTATTCTTTGAAAGTATTTGCGCATGTGCCAACTACCGGTAGTCTTTTCAATGACTTTTACACGTTTGATGAGAGTATTGTACGCCTGTGAAGGCTGTGATCACTAGTCTACTCAATGGCTTTTAAAAGTTCAATAAGAGGCTGTTCACACCGGCAGAGATAGTGCGCGCTAGAGTGCGCGCTAGACCGCGCTATCTCTGCGGTTTGGAAGGTACAACGTCGTTTACATGTAGGTCCGCCCAACAGCGAGCCATGGCGAGCCAAAACGACGTGCCACTGGAGCACCTCTTGGGGGTGGTCCACGAGAGATAGCGCGGTTTAGCGCGCACTAGAAAAAAGGGGGTGCTACGATAGACCGCGCTATCTCATTGCGGTGTGAACAGCCTCTAAGAGAGTATCCCTAAAGTAGAACTATTTGAACCTCATACATTGTCTTTTTAGTATAGTGACATGGAAACCCTTGTATTGAGAGTAATATATATATTGGTGGTTGGTACACTTGCATGTAAAATGTGTATCTCAAACTGTGTGATAATAAGTAAGTATAGACCCTTATTGACCGTACTGCATGTAAACAGCAAAATCCCCTTGTATACTAATGAGTATGATAAGGGACACGTTTTCATGATAGAGTCCCCAACAACTGCATTTCAAGTTTTCAACATTACATTTCAACAAGTGGGTATTTATAACCATTTACGTTTACATATAGAAAAATGCAAATAATCAACAAATACATAAAAATGAATGTCCAATGAAAACTTGATTTGAAACTGATTCTGAAATGTGTACACCGTATGAGTATACTTATCCTACTAGAAGGTTACTTATTTGCTTAATTTTGACAAAACCTTGTACATTGGTTAGTACGCAACAGACTCTTGAACATACTTATTTCAAAGAAATACCCAAATCTTGCATAAGGATGTCTAACATCAGATCAACTTATATCAATGATGCATTTAACATGGATGGAAATATATCTTGGTTTCTTGAGGAGTGGCCCACACTCTGTATCTGGCCCGGTGGGTGATTAATTGGCCTACCAAGAATAAGTTAGAATAAGTTAGAAGTAAAATTCATGTTATAAATGGTGCCCTAAATGCAGAGTTCACCATCATCGGTATGAATGAGTTTTAAAATTGTTTTAAAATGTACCAGCCATGTAACATTGCTTTTATTTAATTAAGGAGTAGAACGAGCCGGGAGTATTAAGTATTTGATTGACAGAAATAACTGCTTGCATAGCTTCCTACCAGTTACTTTGTATTTAATTGAATATACAATGTATATTTTATATTTTGTGACCTTTATTACTTCAATCATAATTTGTTAATGATTGAAAAGTCAAGTGGACAAATGTCACAAATCATTCACAAATAAATGGTTGAACAACAGCCCAGTTGATTAAAATCTAATCCTCATTCAAACTTTTATGAAGCAAGAATAGTAAATCAACTCTGAAAACCTCTTTATCTAAATCAATCTTCAAAGTCTTGAACTTTATCCCCCTTTTAAGTGGATTTTGTTTGATGATTTCAAAAAACAGCAAATTGAAATGACTGCACTTTTACAAATTCTCTTTATGAAAGGTCCAAAGGCTTTAATAGCATCATGGTATTTGGCATTTATTAATATTTCTGTAACTTATTCACAAAATATGAAAAGGTTTCTTAAGTGTGCTTATAAACAAAATATGTATTCATGTGTAGGTAACTATAGACATTGACAGCTTGATTGACAACACACTTGAAGTGAAACGGTCGGATGGAAGAGATTTGGTGACACTAAACTATATCTCAGGTATAATGAAATCTGCCCAAGCTACATGTAGACAAGAAATATGGTTGTAGTGGCTATATGTTAATATTACTTTGGTTTCAATGATAAACAATGTTCAAGGCCCCCCCCCCCCTCCCATAAAAAAGCTGTAAAACAAATATACATAAATACAAATCCTTTAAAACAGATAGTTTTTCAAAAGGCAAGTACACAAATTCCCCCTCCCCCCTCCCCCTTGAGAATATGACATCTTTTGTGGGGAGGGGGTTAATTGAGTTATCAGCAAATTTAAAGAAAGTTGCAGCCCCTTATTTATAACATATTTCCTGGATCTGCCCCTGATAACACAGAAAGGAACTGCAATAAATTCTATATTGAGAAATTTGGATTTACAATACAGTTTGTGCAACGGGTAAGTATTAACTGTATCTGATGTTTGCGTCCATTTCCTATAATATCTACAAACAACAAATGAGGGTATCTAGAGGTGAAATCACACTGCACAAATACAAGTATGACAAAGTTCCTTTAAATGTACTCACCATGAAGCTTGTAAACAAATCTATCAGCTACTGTGTTCAAAGAGCGGTTGCACTCCAATCTAATTTTACTGATGATAAAGTAGATATCGATAGGAATAGTCCCATGATAATATGCCAAAATTGCGCCACCCTCCTTCGGCAGGTTCTCTAATCCTTGTATTTCGAAACCTAGACAGGACAGAGAAAAATGGAGAAATAAGAAAAAAGTATTAATACTTCAAATGTAACTTAGTAACAAAATAATCCTACCTAGCTTAATTAAAGAAACAAGAAAGAAAATTGACTTTAATAAATTAAAAAAAGTGTAGACAGACAGAAAACAACAACTATTAGTATAGTGAAGCAGTAAACGATTAGTGAAGAAAATACAAATGTTTGTTAGCCAAAATGATGAAGAATTAAATGGTACATTTGCTATTTAAAGAATATCATTTTAACTAGATGGTAATTTCAAAGGAATTCTTTACAACTGTTGCTATCCATCATACATACATGTAGATCGAAAGCATGCCATTGATTCCTTAAAGGCATCGTTTAACAATGTTAAATCTGAGATGCACAGCCATATGTGTTATCAGTGTCTGTGATATGGTTTAATTCTTAAAGGCATCGTTTAACAATGTTAAATCTGAGATGCACATGATGCATATGGTTTAATCCTTAAAGGCATCGTTTAACAATGTTAAATCTGAGATGCACAGCCATACGTGTTATCAGTGTCTGTGATATGGTTTAATATTGAAGCCCTAATAAAACTGCGCTTCAAAATGATCAAGGAGTGCCTCAAAAAAGTAAAAATCTTTGAGTGACTGGTTTTACCATCCTCGTTTTCCCCAATAGACTGTAGTGTAATGAAAACCGTTTGGCAAACAGTTTTTAAAATTTGTAATTCCAATCGTAAATATCTTGATAATCAGACAGGTGATCGGCTTGTAAAAGTCATGGGGTTCCTGACTTACATGTACCTAAAGGTTTGGAATCATCATTGCAGCATGAGCTAGATCCAGGATTTTGTTTCAGAATCTGGGACAAAGTTATCGGATCGCTTTAATAAAAAAAGATGAAAGAGAAAAATGCCCAAACCTGACAGGATTTCAAGGGAAATCTAAAAAAGTCCTGCTTTACCAAATCTATCAGTCTATCAAAATGTTTTTGACTAAATTCTTTACCAAACCAGATTTTTCCAATGAGGTCCCAGCCCCAGGCAATGTTGTTCCTGGCCCTCTCGTAGACGGATGCCGTGAAGACCAGGTCCTCCCCGATGTGGTTCCAGGTCTTGTAGAGATGACAGTAGATGGAGGTGGTGTAGAGGAACACGAAGACCATGAGTGGGATGATGTTGAGGATGGCTACAAACAGGAGGAGTCTTGATAGAGCCCAGTACAGCAGCCATGTCGTTCCCAAGACAATAGCCAGAGCTGACATGGTCATGGTATCATTGTTGCTGAAGAAAAATGTGGGGGAGAGAGACAATAATTTAAGGAGCACTTTAGAGATGAACAATCTTCAATGTTTCTTCAACGGTTATCTTTAAAGTGAACCGATAACATTGCTGAAGGTTGATAAAAAAGTGTAATTAAAAAAAAAAAAATTACTTACAGGGTATTATTTTCCTTCTAACAGGCAAAAATTCCTGAAAAATTTCTCAAACCATAAAGGTATGGTTTTCTAACAGTAAATGGTATAAAGAGCCAATTTCAATGCTTTGTAACTATTCACGTTTACCTAAAATTAAAGTAATTAAAAATAATATAGATCAGAGAATTAAGGAATCGATCAGATCAGTTTTTCAAATTTTTATCATTAATTTATAATGGTCTCTTTTTGCTCAAACTTTCAGATTATCTTTAGTTTAAAGGTAATACAAAGTTTTGGGAAATTTTGAAAATTGGGTGGATAGTGATTCTTTACAATTTTGATATATTTGGATGCCCCTGTAGATGTATTATAAGTACTAGAAAATTTACCGGTGCTCCTGGTAAATTTTGATAAATTTTATATGGCGCCTACCAATTAGCGCCTACGATGGTAGCTGCGACCATGAAATTCTCAAAGTATGTAGTTGTGATATATAATTTCCCAACGGGAATAGCTTATCGGTCGATTTCAGTCAAGAAACATTGTTTTATAGCTAAATTAATATATTGACCTTGAGAGAGAGCTATACAACATAAAGAGTTTATTATCTACAACTTAAGACTCGATTTCAACCGCGACAACGATCAATGAATATTGTAGGATCGCATATGTTTCCAATATGTTCATTTGAACTGAATACATGACCCCATAGTTATACCAAAACTTATAGGCCTACATCTAGCATTATTTAAAGTCACGACCTTGGCACCATTTTTTTCCCATCTGAACAATTTTACCAATTCCCTTTAAACTATTGTGAACTTGTGATCTCTAACTTTTTCATGAAAGTTTGCTAATTTCAAGATAATGCAGGAAAATAGGTGAACAAGATTCCAAACAATGATATTAAACTAAAACAAAACAAAAATCGACAAAGGAGCAAACCAAACAACACATCAACATCTTGACAAATTGTCATTAGGGTCTATATTCTATAACAGAACATTAACAATAAACTCAATATAAATTCTAATCAGTTCTTCATCTTTCATTTAACAAATTCTACTTTGGTAAAATTTTAAAAAATCTGAACTGCAAGTCTGAAACCATATTTATTTAGTCCATCTGTTTATTGTTGTTCTCCATTCAGAATTACTATAAATATCTCCTCACAACGATTCCACATTTTAAAATAAAATTCTTACCTTGCTCCTGTAATGAAGAGCGGGCAAGGCTCTTCAGAAGATGGGTTGCACTGCTCAACTTCAAACTCCATCTTGACAAATGCACTTCTAAGTTCTTGCAATAAATAAATGTCTCAAAACAATACAGTGTCAGTGTTGATGACAACAAAAGTCAAAAGGTTTTCACATAGATCTAGTCTCAGTCGGAGGTGCGCTGCATGCAATATGCCGGAAACTGGAGCTGGTTAAGTCATAATTGGTCGGCAGGTAAACCTTATCTTAATTCTTATTTCTAAACTAGACTAGAGGTCTAGGGTCTATTACGTCTACAGCCGGATCTCCCTACAGCCATCGGGACAGCGACGGCACCGGCTCTGGCAGTGTCACACTCAGTCACAGTGACTGTCTCAAATAAATTACGGACAGCTACAGTTGATGCGACAGGCTCTTCTTTCTGCACTGAAGAGCGACTGATGTATCATAGATTTCACCATGACGAACCGGTACTCTTATCGAAATTGGACGACGACCTATAATCACAAGCTATCCAGCTTCGAGTTGACATTCTCTTGTATTTTATCTTGCTCGGCTGATAATGTACACAACAGTTTGTTGTTTACGATCTTAATAGCACGTAGTTTTATTCAAGGCCAGGGTCACTAAAACACAGCTTAATTTTGTATAAATATAGACAATCTCTACAGAAAATAAATAATTATAAACAAATTGCATCTTCTAAAAAAGATAAATCCTTGTATTAAATACTCAAAAATGAACGTATTTTAGTTTTCCTTTATATTTGCTATTATTACACATACATAATAGACTGTAGGAAGACTACGTATTGAAAGTCGCTCGCTCTGAAATGTCTTTATTTTTTTCATAGGACATGAAAGCCAATTTTGTATGCAAAAGTCATTGTGCACGCAGTCCGTTACCATACTACGAATCGCGTTCGTACAGTACATGCATTGTGTACGTACGGAACGTACACTATTATATGGAGAGATTTAATGCCAATGGAAGCGAGGCAGCGAACACTTCATCAATGTCCAAAAGTGAACCCTACCCGGCAGCAGGGTAAATCGGATCAATATCAGTTTTCTTAAATGGGGTGTTGTTATGGAAGGAGGCCATAAACAAAAAGCGGTAAGATATTTCTGTATTCTTTTTAATTAATCGAATTAAACGATAATAATTTCAGCCGGTGTGTTTTTGTCTTCTACGCCGTAGCCTTCCCGCTTGCCTCCTCCCTTTCGTATGTGGTGGTATTTGCGGGGCTCGGAGCCGCATCTCGCATTTTGCGTGGATGTGCGAACAACCAAAATTTCACTTCCCATCCCCTACTAATATTCTTTAATTGTTTAAAAAGGGACTTTGTGCATTACCGAGGGTATTAGTTCTAATTTATATTTTTATTCATAGATATGTCGTAGTTTGCGCAGATAACGAGATCTAAAGGACCACACCCAACAGTGTACAGACTATTCATGTCTCTAATTCCCTGAGGATAATGTGCCTAGCTGAGCGGGGCGATTCGTGAGGTGGTCCCGTACATTTGTCTTGGAGCTGGTCGCTCCATACGTTGACTTATGGTTTTAGAGCAGAGAAGAGAACCAGTAAAAACAGATTGGATTACTTAGTATTTGTTAGTTAGTTTTGTATTTAATAGACAATTGTCCTTAGATTTATTCTGTGAACATCAATCATGATGACAACATTCTGAGTTTGACAATGTTACAAATGTGCATGAATTGCTCCAGATCCATATTTGAATGTTCAACCCTTTTTTCAATAGTAAAACTGAAATAATAAATTGAGGTCAAGATATAGAGTCTTGAATAATTATAATATTAATTTGTCTTTATATTTTGATTTGCCTTCTTTTATTTGGATTTTATTTATAGGTCTAGTTATAGGTCTACATACATGTAGATCTATTACTAGTCTACAATGTATACAGTATGTAGACAATTTACAAAAAAAAATTGTACTTGTACATGTAGAGTCTGTATTTAATTAAGTACTGTCTTCTCATGTGCATGTTAATTTGTAAATCAGATATCATTAAATGGAAATTGATGCATATTTTTCACAAATAGATTATTCTCCCCCAAGCCAGGATCATGCCATTTTTATGCCCATTTATGGGGAAATTGTCAGCATGGCAAGAAAGTGTATTTAGACTACTTTATGTAATGTTTATACTTTATAGAAACCATGCAGTGTTGAATGGATACAATGCATGATGCAATGCATTGTACTTTTGTAGGAGTGGTATTTCCTTGCCTACATTATTTTTGTTTTCTAATAATATTGATACAATTATAAATTATTCCTTTCACGGGCTGGGCTGAATGATAACTAATTTCTAGGTGATTGGCCCCATGTTTAGTATTGGCCTTTTGTGGGTGATTTCAATATTTATAATCAATATCAAATGGCTGATACTCCCTTTTATTGTACAGTTCATGTATTTTATGTCCCTTTTGAATTGTTTTAAACTTGATAAAGATGGTACATGTACAACTGTACATGTAGCGAATACGATTTTAGGGTCATTCTAAATACCCAGTATTGGCAGTACTGCCCTCCCCCTTCCCCCAACAACAAATTACAACAAAATGAATGAAACAAATAATTGAAAAATATAAAGTAAAAACAGAATTAAATAAAGTATATTAGTGAAAAGTTGAGAATAATTGAACTAAAAATAATACAAATTTGGGTCCATACATTTTCCTACACAACTTGGCAACTCTGCATGTAAAATGTAAAATGTATAATTCTTTCCCTTGTAATCTGTTTTCCAGTCATTTTGCACTGTTACTTACATTGTACATGTATCAAAATCGAAAACCTAGATGGACTAAAGAAAACATTTTCTTCCAAGGTGAATGGATTTTTAAAATCATAAATCAAATGGAGAGATGTTTGCAAAGGCAGTAGCAGGGTATCTGCTTTTTTATTTTACAATTTTAAAGTTTCCTAACTTTCTATTCATTACTGGTAATTACATTGTAGGTTTACTTGACACTGTCACAGTTCCTTTCACTACCATCTTCTTTTAGTATTATCATTTATCAACTTGGACCCAGGGTGGACATACAGGCTTTGCAGGAATAAATTTATGGCTTACTAATGTACAGTGTATCAGGCTGCAGTGTATGTTCCAATGCATTACATGTATGTAATGCAGAGCTGCCAAGTCTCCCGGATCCTGCGGGAGACTCCCGGATTTTGACCCAATATCCCGTTTTCCCGACCCCATGCAAAAATCTCCCGGATTTCCAGATTTTAAGTTGTATTATTTTCATAAACGACTGTTTCACAAGACTAGCATGTTGAGTTCGTACGTACGTATACAAACACACGGCAATTCTGTAATATGAATTTTCCTGTTATCCAGTCGTCGAATATAAATTTACCGTGATATCGTACTTTATTTAACAGCGTAATAAATGAGAGTTACGCCGAACGACTGGCGGGCTAATCTAACAAACCATTGGGAACATGTGATAATGTGAGTGGTGTTTGTGTGATAGCAATTCGCCTGCTTGCTCTGCCGGGCGGCTTCCTCGCCGGCCCCCGTAGCGTCCCGGTACGTTGGTGCCGGTTTCCGATCGGTCGCGTCAGAGCAGCCAGAAGTTGCACTGATACAACAAGCAGACTTTGTCTGCTGCGATCGGCCCAAAAAACTGCACATTTCAACATCAGTTTTTGGATTGATTTGGGGACTTTTGCGATGTGATTTTTAAGTGGATTATCATTTGATACCAACATGGCAGTGTTACTGCAGAGTGGATTTTGAAGCCGACTTTTTTTTTCTGATCTCCTTTGCCGTTGGGAACGCATCGATATAACTTGCATCTTCCGAAGGCGTAAGTCAACTTTGTCCAAAACAAGGCTGTATTTTGCTCTCTGTTTGAGTATTAAAATATCATCCAGGACAATGTCGAAGTCGAAATATTATCAGAAATATAAAGATGACTACCACTTGGAATGGCCTTGTGTTGGGAAATCTACGAAAGGCGAATACTACGCATTTTGTACAGTTTGCGGCGCAGATATCTCCATCAAGAGTGGGGGAAGAAATGATGTATTTCGCCACATCACATCTGACAAACACAAGCAAACCGCGAAAGCAAGGGGCAATACAAAAGGAATACAGAGCTTTTTCAGGTTAGTATGAACAGTTCTTAGATTTGTAAAATCGAGAAATAGTCTACCCCTCTATACCATAGACCTGAGTTCATTTCGTCAGTAGTTGGGGACCTCATTAATCTCCCTAAAACTTAGACTTACTCATAAACACGTGTGCGGGACTTGAAGGGTGGATTTTCTCACGATTTTATGTTTTTATTTGAAATACTAATCTGCACGTTGACTGTTTTATGCCAGTATCATGAACTTTAATAGTTTGTTAGGTTACACACATTGCAAGACAATAGCATCATTTTTATGAATTGCTTCGATCCTTAGTTTTGAAAATTCGAATTTGACCGTTAAATCGTATTTAGCGCCCTCTCTCGGTAACAATGATGTTTTGTTAATTATCTGGCATATGCAAGGTTATTTAAAAGATTTGACCACAGAATGATAAAAAAGAATAAATTCTGAAATTTTCATCCAATTCTGTGCATGGGAAGGTGTTCTTTATCAAGGAAGAAGATTTTGGAGAACCCTGCATTCACATTCTTAATAAGCAGCTTAATAAAACCTTCCAAGATATGCTTGTTAGATTCGTGCAGCCAACAGTGATTGTTGAATGTTCTGATGTCAAGAAAGTGCAGTATGGTAAGAGAGATTGCCAGAAGTCAGATAAAGATCTAATGATTGGAAAAGATGCCAAGGAATACCTGGAGAGTACAACAAGCCCAGAAGATGATTCTCCCCTTCGTCTTACAGATGCTGATTTGACATACTTCTACTTGTCGGTGAGGAAGTATTATGAATCAGCATGTGACTATGCCTTGAAAACCTGGCCACTAGATGTTAAGTTCCTTAAGGAGGCTGAAGTGATTGATGTCAGTTCCAGAAGAGATGTGTCATTTTCATCTGTGCAATACTTTGTTGAAAAGTACCCTTGCATTTTGAACAGACAATCAGAGAATGGAGACCTGGACAAGCTTGAGCTGGAATTTGCACAATACCAGGTTGAAGACTTTTCAGGGGAACCAGAGATCCTGAACAAAAACTTGAGAATAGACAAGAAATGGTCTGCAATTTCAAAGATGGAGGATGGCAATGGCTCAAAGAAATACACACTTCTGAGCAAAGTGATGAAATCTTTGCTTGTGATACCACATTCCAATGCTTCATGTGAAAGAGTTTTTAGCATTGTTAGGAAGAACAAAACTGATTTCAGGGGATCAATGAATTTGAAAACACTTCAAGCACTCCTAACAGAGAAAATTGCCAACACAGATGTCCCATGCTACCAAAGGGAGTATAGCAAGGACCTCCTTAGCAAACTCAAGCAAGCAACCTACCAGTCACTTCAAGGAAAACCCTCAAGCACACCCCAGTCCTTGCCTTCCACAAGTACATCCCCCATTTCACAATAGAGGTAACAGGAGTTCATAGTCTGAAATATGATGTGAAGTTCATATGTTATCAATTGTATGCAAATAAAATGTGCCATATCAAAGCCTTCCATTTTGAGAAATCATTGAAAAAATGTGTTCTAAAAGGGTTTCAAAGAGGCTTAAAACCAAGAGCTTTTGGGGCCTGCCCCCTGCCCCCCCCCCCCCCCCCCCCCCACCAGGGGCACTAAAAGGCCATTCTTGGTTCCCGCCAACAATGAAGTCGTTCGATGCTGCTCTCTCAGAAATCTCCCTGATTACCCAAATCAAATGTTGGCAGCTCTGTGTAATGTTGTATTTAAAATTTAACCTTTTGATATTGCAAATCAGCTTCTTTATATTAAAGACGCATTTTCTTTCAGAAGCCTTTCAATAGATTGGATGTACATGTACATGTACATGTACGTCTACATGTAAAGACTGTATAATCGTTACAAATTTACATCTGTATGTAAATCAATTTTTCAAAGGAGTTATTAATCAAAGTGAAATAAAAGTTATAGAACATTGTATAGTAGCTTCTCTGTAAAAGTCATGATCATTAGGATTGTCTCATATGATGTTATTAATATTTTTTCCTTTAAATCTTTATTGCTAATATCATATTAGTAACAGTATTCATCATCACCATCATAATTAATGTAATTGTACTGGAGAAGATTTTGAAATATTGCATCAAGTTCAAGGCCATTTAGTACTTAGTCATAGACTCTGTAGTGAACACCGAAGAGGACAGAGTAGGTTAATGTACTTATAAATAAAACCACTTTCATAATCGGTGTCAAAGAGGCGTTAAACTTCAACTTATACAAAAAATAACAATGTTTTAATGACGTCACTATATGGACCAATACTGCCCAAGCAGACGACATCCCATAAAGAATGAACATAATTGCAAAGCTATTATTTGTCAAATTATAATGAGTTTAGTGTCATATAAATGTAATGGCATGTCGAACCATTCAAAAGGGGATATGACCAGATTCTGATAACTAAAATCTTTTGCTTGTAAATACACAGGATAGGGGTTAATTAACAATCAAAGAAACCAGACTTTCAAATTGAATACCCCCCGGAATGATATTAATGACGGCCTTTGTTCCCTCTTGAAACGCCGAACATACCGCGGTGTGAGCAGCTGAATATACAATGGCGTCTTATTTTGTTTACAAGCGACAGATTCCTTAATTTTGTATCGCTGCATTTGTCATCAAAATAAAAACATGCGCGGGGTTTATAGTGAGGCAATAGATTATACATTTAGCCTGACGGTAGTCAAGTAAGAGAAAGATCTCAAGGGAAGATGAAAACACAGGCACTGAAAATGTGTGAGATGTTATGGGACATCGTCTGCTTGTGCAAATCATGTCCATACTGTGATCTTACACATCTCAGCAGCGTTCGCAGAGCTCTTCAGGTGCTATGCCGGGGCTGTATTTAAGCGTTTTGTAATATAATAATCATTACTTCGAATGTTTCCAAGCATTGAATTTTGATAACCTTGTCGAATCAAAGTTTCAACTTTGCAATAATGAAAATAAAGTTAGTTTTTAAAATCAATGAATATCTACTTGAAGGGGCCTAGTATACACATGGATGTACATGTACTGTATACAAAATCACGTGTAGGCCTTTAGCCTTGTTCACGTACATGAAGGCCTATAGATGTGTCATTTGCCAGCCTAGTCTGAATACAATGTATCAGACCCGATAAGATAATGAGTATGCAGGCATACTGTACGTGTATCTCATCTCGGAGGTTCTTTTTTGTGTCTCCTGTAGATTCTTGTGTGTCTCCTCACTCTCCTGTACGTTCTTGTGTGTCTCCTGTAGATTCTTGTGTGTCTCCTGTATATTCTTGTGTGTCTCCTGTACATTCTTGTGTGTCTCCTGTATGGTCGTGTGTGTCTCTTGTACGCTTTTGTGTGTTCCCAGTAGGTTTTTGTGTGTCTCCTGTACATTCTTGTGTGTCTCCTGTACGTTCTTGTGTGTCTCCTGTACGTTCTTGTGTGTCTCCTGTACGTTCTTGTGTGTCTCCTGTACGTTCTTGTGTGTCTCCTGTAAGGCTGTGAAGGGTAGTCGAATGCTCGAGTACCCGCACGGTTGACAACTACTCGGGTACGATTTCTCGTACCCGAATATTCGGCCGCAAATTTTTTTTTTTTTTTTTTTTTTAAATGTCCAGGCCGACGCTTACCCGTGCCTGGGTGAGCGGCGGCCGCTGGCATGGTGCCGTCAGTAAAAATGTTTCCCAACTCGAGCACTGTCAAACTCACCACTCAGAAATTGGGACCAAATGTCTGGATTTCTGCTTGGACTTGGAGGAAAATGGATTATTCTGCCATCTTTGGTTTTTAAAACAGCATTGTTCACTGTTATTATTATTATTAAATCGGCGCCTTCAACTGCAACTCAAAGTAAAATTGCATGCGTTTTCGGCGACAGAACTGGGATACTGCTCCAGTGGTATGTATGGTGGTGGCAAAAAGAAAAATCAAAAAATAAAAAAATCAATAAAAACAAAAATAAAAAAAATAAAAAAAAAACAAAAAAAAAACATGACGTCCGAATACTCGAGTATTCGCCTGTAAGCATGGGAGTGTACTCGGGTACCCCATTACACTGTTGTGCACAGCCTACGTTCCTGTGTGTCTCCTGTACGTTCTTATGTGGCTCATGTACGTTCTTGTGTGTCTCCTGTATGTTCTTGTGTGTCTCCTGTATACTGTGTCTCCTGTACGTTATTGTGTGTCTCCTGTACGTTCTGGTGTGTCTCCTGTAGATTCTTGTGTGATTGCCAGGTCAGGCAGCATGGATTCCCTTGTCTATTTGTTACAGGAAGGTGTTGAGACCCTTCATTAGGTGATAACACCTATCCTCTAAATTAATGCTGATAGATCCAGATGACTAGCGCCCTTTGAGCGGCCCCCACTTAACCTTGGACACACCCCTGCTTAGCTGACCGTTTCGCCGCCCAGTGTCCTAAAACTCTGCTCATTACTTTTTTCACCCAGTCACTGTACATGTAGCCTTCTGGCCTGCTATCTGTATTCGCAATCAATATTTACTGGACAACATTTGTGCGCGTAAAAACTTACACATGTTTCGACTGAGGATCTGTGTTATGTATCTCAAGAGTGTTCTTCTTCGACTTTGAGCGATTATTCTTGTCCAGTGGGGTTTGACCAATTTTCCACTTTTATTTCAAGTACACCTGTCATTCCAGAACATAAGATGGGAGGAATTTAGATTGCTCTGTGATTAAAAAAAAGAAGAGTGTCATTCAGCCTCGAGCGCAATTTAATTTTCTGCATTCTTTACTTCAAATTCATGGAGGGTTATCTCTAGCTCTGTAATTAGCATTTTATGTGCTTCTGATGATCAGAAAGTCGACGTGGGATTCATTAAGTGTTGCTTTGAGAGTTTTAAGACTATGGGTGCTGGCATTCTTGGACTGAAGTTGGAGTAGAGTCAGCTTGTGTAGGCCTTAGCCAGGAAGGGGGCATTTAAGCGCCTCAGTTGTATTTGTGGAGGACATCCAGCGTTACTATAAAAGCTACTAGATCATTTGTGGATTCTTGTATATGAGGAAGACATGTTTTAATGCTTTTTTTTAAAAGCGGAATGCTACTTGTATCTTGATTTTAATCATGGAGAAGGTGATTATGTGTTATCATGTTTCCATGGCATTGTATAAGGTAAGAATTTGCATCTTCAGTCCATCCATTCCCCTTTCTTTCTCTCTTTTTCTCTCTCTGTCTCTCTCTCTTTCCTGCTCACTACCTTTATCTCTTTTCTCTGTTTCCTGTGATCCATCTGGCTTCTACAGATTTTGTAGCAGCTACAGTGTGCTGTACATGTAGCTGCCCTGTCATAACCTTTTCATTTGTAACATTATTGTGGACTCTTCTTCCCCACCCCCCTCTCTCTCTCTCTTTCCATCTTTTGCCTTCTCTGTCTCTACATGTATCTGCAGACTTCAATCTAGGCCATATCCATGTACAATCTAGATTCTGTACTACTACTTTTTGTTGAAACTCTCTCTCTCTCTCTCTTTCTCTCTCTCTCTCTCTCTCTCTCTCTCTCTCTCTCTCCACCTTTGTCTCTTTATCTTTCTAATCTATCTGCACTATCTGCACTGCATCTGCACAAGAAAAGAACATACATGTAGCACTAAATGACAATGTCGAATTGATATCATAGTGTTTTGCTATACATGTATATTGCATTCCCACATTTCATTCATTCATTCATTCATTCGTTCATTGGTCCGCTCAGTCATTCCTTCTTTCCTTCCCTCCCTGTTTCCTTCCTTCCTCCATTTATTCGTCTATCTCTCATTAAAATTATTTATTCCGTCAGAATTGATTGATCATTCCTTCATTTATTGATCGTTTCATTTCAAATCAAAGAACTTCACAAAAATAAAGGCCCAAACTGTACATGAACATTAAGGTCTCCAGGAAATTCATTTTTCAATTTATAAGTGCCACTTCTACTCGAAAAGCTGACGTCAAGTGTAAAATGTGAACACTGTAAGGCACAAACTGTAGCCTGAACTACTAATATTATTTGCAGCCACACCAGAGTTAGCAGTCCATGTTTTGGCGTGCTCTCATTCACCATAATCCCTGCAGCAAAGCCTGTGCTTTGTGCCTTTCAAGCGTTGCAGGCCATTGAATCGCAGTGGAGTGAATTGAAAAGGGGGCGTGACCCCTATAGCAGCTCGTCATTCATCAGTAGTAAGTTACACCCAGCCAAACCCTTCTCGCTCTATAATACTGGAGGACATTCAATGCCAGGGATAGTAGCATTCAGTCATAGTTGTGATGTACAGTTGTACACTCTACACAATTTCAATGTACAGTACAAATGTACATGTTTGTCAATATGCCAGTGCTATGCAGTACTTAAATAATACACTGAATGTTGCAAAATGTGTGCTACATGAATTACTACATTTACTTTCAAAAATGATAAAGACTATTCACAGGCCTTCATGTGCATGATGCATAGTTGAATACTGTTGATATACATTACTTCAAATGTGGAGAAAAGGACTTGGAAAAAATAAAATAATAAAGAATAGTGAATACACTCTGGAACTTCATCTGTATTATAAATGCTCTAAGATGGGCAATAGTTCTTTCAAATCTTGTGATGTTCGTCCATTATGCTATTGACTACTTTTATGAGAATTTTATTGATTTAGGAGATAAAATCATTGAATTGGGAGAACATTTTTTTCATATTATTTAACACCCCCAAACCAAATTAAACTATAAACTAAAAAAAATATTTAGAAATATTTTTTAAGGAAAAAAAGAAGAAAGGAAATAAAGAAGAAAGAAAGAAAAAACAACAACATGATGTATGGCCAGACACTATAAACTACCGTAGTCTATTTCCATAGATTCCTGCTCTAAATATATGAAAAATTAAACAGACTTCCAAAAAGCGAACAAGTGAACGAGGCTGCCTACATTGTTCATGCACAACATGAATTTAGAGCATAGAAAACAGAGTTGGGTAAACTTTCTGTCTCATGCCCTCAAACTGCGTACATGCCTGGGATAGTGGGACTGTTGCATTGTGTACGGTACTCTTACAAACCTCTAATAACAATAACAAGAAAAAAATGGGACAATGAAGTTCACAGCGAGCCTGCAGTCCCATAAGGCCTGTCCTCATCAGCTGAAGATTGCCAAATAGCCCGCTATTTCTGATTTGGGAAATAATCCAGAAGTTACAAATTGTGTCTTCATTAGCTCAAGATATTTTGCTTAGCGTTCGCGCATAGTGTGAGTCTTCGGGCTGGTGAAGACGCACTGGACAACTAGCGGGATATTTCGCAAACTAGCCCAAGATATCTTTGGATGATTATCTCAACCAAATATCCTGCTAATTGCAACTTCGGGCTGATGAAGACACAAATTAACTGGATAATTTGCGATCGGGATAGTTCAAATAGCGGGATATTTGGCATTCTCGAGCTGATGAAGACGGGCCTAATGTGCCTAAAGTTCCATTGACTCGTGTTTGCCAGTGAGGCATTGTTCTCGGCATCGTCAAAGTCACATGGTCTGAGAGTTGGAATACTATTGTGTATTGTCGTCTGCACTTGCGCTTGATTCATCCAATATGGACCCCCAAGCCAGGAATGCAAATCGACTCTGATCGATATCTTCCCCACCACAACAAGTTCTCAAGTAAAACGACGAATAAAATACAAGGGAGCAATGAGCAATTTACAAATGTAGCTCCTGTCAGCGCTAAAAATGCTCGATGGTAAACAAAAATCCCATATAATAGTTCAATATTATTGTGAGTTACTCACACTTACATGTACATCATCAAACCCTACTTGTAATCCTAAACAAGCTCCTGCAATCTGAAAATTATTTAATGCACTGAAGTACTTGTACTTAAATGCTGTGAACAATCAAATTATTAGACAGTCAACACCCCAATAACCTTGAACTTGTTGGGAATGACTTTTGTACAAGAAGTTTAATACACAAGTGGTAAAAATTGTGCAAGTGGCTCTACTCTCTATTCAAAGTTTTCTTCTTTCCAATTTCCATCTATTCTTTATAAAATCTGTGTCCTGCACCATATCTACATGTACATGTACATGTACATGTACATAAATAATAGATAAATAATAGGTACACATACATGTACATACATGTACATGTAAACACTACTCCAAAGCTTTTTAAAAATAAAGGTTTTCCTTTGCAACTTGAAAGATAGTCCAGCCTCTGTACCGTTTTCGTTTAGCGCACCCAATCAGCTGATAAAATAACACACCCTCAATGTTGAAAGTAGACCTACACTGTAGCCATTCCTCTAAATCTGGGTCCTGAATGACGGAAATTTGGGGATTGCGCGATCAGTGGAGAGACCGCGCTGTGTGTGGGGGATAAAGAGAACGAACGGACTGAATCTGGACTACTTGAAAGATTGCCTGAGGATTACTTTACATAGCAATACGTAATATATGCAGACTGGATTTCAAGTGTAGAGGTTTGTTCATGTACAGGTACATGTATAACAGGTTAATGGAAATATTTGTCAGTAGGTCCACATGAAAAAAAAAACATCCATAAATTTGTTTATTTGCTGTCAAAACATATAGATTACATTATACCTTGATGCTGTTTTAGGGCAGATCTTCAATTTGTATGCCACTGCCTCTTCCTGTTCATTGTTATGCCAGGGCTGGCATGGATGAGGGGTATAATCCTTGCAAACAAATCCCTCTTAATCCCTTTGACAGCAAATCTCCTGTTGCAGTGGTTGCAGTGTTGCTCACCTTGAGGTGATTCACACCTTGTACAAATCATAGTCATGCTCTACTGATAATCTGGGGGTGTTTCACAAAGCATTTTTTCAGTCACAAATGACAACAATCAGTGACAAATCTGCTGATAACCAATCAGAAGCAAGGATTTCAGTAGCTTATAACACAAACAGTCATTTGTCACTGATGACAAGTTTTGTGAAACACCCTCCTGCTATGGAAGTCACCCAGTGATAAGGATACACATTTACGTGTGTCCTGTAGTCCTGTGTCCTGTAGACATTTTATAGTAAATGAACCTCCACCAACATGCAATTGTTGTTCGGTTTTGAACTCTAGGTAAAGCTAAAACTAATGCAGAGAGTGATTTTTTTCTCCATAAACTTGTCTTTAAAGGGACCAGTTTTGGAAACGCCCCCCTCTCATAATATGAAATGGAAGCTCGTATTACCAGTCATGTGAAAGAATATATTTTTTTTTACTAATACGTGATAATACAAATTTTGCCGGGAAATCCTACTATTACCTAGCCTACTATTAAATTGATATATTTGGTAAATTATCATATCGATCCGTCCTGGATAGATTTCGCATAGTCCCATATACATCTTTCTTTTGTACAGTGCTTGTAACTTTACCAAGACTGGGTCAAATTTCTTATCATTTTGATGATTCCAGAACCTTGCAGTACACACCAATACGTACATATAGTACATGTATAGATGATCAACCTTATCTGAACGATTCCGCAACGTTTCTTTCACAACGCAATCGCATGATCAGAACTGGTGTACTGTACATGTATCTTTAAGCAAAAAGTAACACAGAGAAAGACTTTTTTCTCCATTAACATGTCTTGAATTAATTTAAATGAATGTTATTTAGAAGAAAAAAATGTAGCTACATGTAATACCTGTTTACTGCACCAAGTTTTAAAAGAAAGTTTTAGACAAACAAATAAAAAGGACACACAATAACAAGTGTGGGGAGGAGGGGGGGGGGGGGGTGTAATGTAACTGTGACATTAAATGGGCAGCTTGGCATTTGAAGAAATTCAAAAATTAACAGTTTACTTAATATTTCCCCAGCACCTTCACAGTGGAGTAGTAGTTTATAATTTGTGTGTGTGTGGGGGTGGGGGGGGGGGGGGGGAGGAAGTGGCTTTGTATGTTGCTTTTTCTAATATATGACATTTTCCTGCTCCTGATGAAAGTGTCTGCATGATCTAGCGAGTAGCATTCTGTAGGAGGGGGGAAAAGTCGAGGTGATGATGATGATGATGATTATATAGCAACCCAAGAGAGCATCCCCGGGGAGCCATAAAATATCGCAGAAAGTGAGTGATTCTGTGGGGCAAGTGTGAAATTCTCCGTATCTCTCTATCAATAATCGCTCGTGACAAATTGGTCTAACGCCCTGCAACAGTTGGGTGTGTATCGTGAAATTTTGTTTTTTCATCCTCATTATTGCCTCCAAAGCCCAAACTCTTCTGACATGCAATTTGATGATAATTTCCCCAAAGGAAATTGGCTGGAATCGTGGCTCAATACCATGCCAGCTTTTTTTCTTTCGTACTGTAAAGTGAGTGTAACTGCTGCACTTTTTTTCATTTTATGTGTAGCAGAGTACTAGTGGCTTTTACTAGTTCAGGTTTCTTTTTTTGGCGAGACCGTCTTTAAGAATTTCACTAAAGACAAATTAAGGGTAGCGACAGGCAGCAAAAGGATCTTGAAATTTCATTTTCTGATGACTTATGCTGGGAGTTTCTGTAATATTTATTTGAGTCTTTTAAATTCAAATAAAATTCCCCATCTGAAGTTACTGTTACCCTCAAGAAAGAAAGCAGCACCTTTTTTAATTTTTTTTATTCAAAACTCTTTGCTAGACTTAGATACAGCTCAAGAAAATTCTTGATAATTAATGAATCAGAAAATCATAAGTCCTTGTAGTCAGTCCTACTTTATAATAGAGTTTCATGTATTATAGCATTGTCAGGGGCTGAGGATTGCTATGAGTGTGATGAGTTACTATGCAATAGAAGAGTAGAATAAAAAAATGTTCACAAAAACTCTTAACCCTTTTCCATAACAGTTGCTTAGCAGAAAAGTCACATAACTGGTTTTGAATATGGAATGCAACAAATAAGTTGTAATGGATTAAATTATTTTTTACAGAAACTGAATCTGAATCGTTTGTCTAGTCCAGGGTCCTGTTTCTTAAAACTTGATATCAATAACAAGTTATGAATAATGATAATTGTTAAGCTACTGAAATCCTTACATTTGATTGGCTGTGAGCCGATTTGTCAAAGATCTGTGGCAGTTGTTATCGATCACAAATTTTATGAAACAGGGTCCTGATCTTGTACTTGTGTCATAGGTAATTGAAAAGTAAACTCACTTGTGTTTCAGTTCACCTCCATGGGTTCAACAGTATTGACGCAACAGGGGAAAAAAAAATAATAAGGGGGCTACATTTCAAGCTTGATTGCATGAAAATAACACTATTTCATTTGTTTTGTATTGAACTCTGTGCAAATCGGGGGCTAATTTGCAACCTCACCTCTGTCTACATGTAGGTTCAGCCCTAGATTCAGAGAATATGCTGAAACAAAGATGCAAAGATATGATTGCTCTTTATTTTTGTAAAGAAACAGAAACATTTCTGCCACTGATGGTTTGATACTCATGTCCTTGGTAAAAAAAAAAGGGGGAAAAAATAAAGAAAGCTCTGAAACAAAGATGCAAAGATTTGATTGCTCTTTACATGTATTTTTGTAAAGAAACGGAAACATTTCTGCCATCGATACTCATGTCCTTGGTTAAAAAAAAAAGGGGAAAAAATAAAGAAAGTGCTGAAACAAAGATGCAAAGATTTGATTGGTCTTTACATGTATTTTTGTAAAGAAACGGAAACATTTCTGCCATCCATACTCATGTCCTTGGTAAAAAAAAAAGAGAAAGGAAAAAATAAAGAAAGCGCTGAAACTAAGATGCAAAGATTTGATTGCTCTTTATTTTTATTGAAACAGAATGTATTTCTGCCACTGATACTCATGTCCTTGGTAAAAAAAAAGGGGAAAGGAAAAAAGAAAAGAAAACGCTGTCCTTGTTCAGCCCTTACTTCAGGATATATATGATGAAACAAAGAAGCTGAGATGTGATGGCTCATTTAAAAATATACAAAAAGCCCTTGGGCTTAGAACAAGGAGGAGGAACGAAAGGATATCCTGCTGTAGGGTGATATGATGATCTAAATAGTTGGATGGGACACACCTCTTCCCACCTTTATTAGAACAATCTGTCACACTATGCAGCCAGGCTTACACCGGCGTACGCCCTAGCGGCCCTACGTGCATTAATGAATGTTCATTAACACTTTTGATACCGGCATAATTTTTTATGTAATGGAGAGTCAAAGGGGTTTCTCTTTCATACTACGCAGCCAGGCTTACACTGTACAGTGTATGCCCTACGTGCATTAATGAATGTTCATTAACACTTTTGATACCGACGTAACTTTTTATGAAATGGAGAGTCCTGTCATAACCGTCATAAGTTTAACTTCTTGGACATTCCAGAATTAACACGTGTTTCTAAGGGATATCCACAAATTTAGATTCATGATAGTCTCATGAACTGGCCCATGGAGACCTTTGCGATTATAATTAAAGAGAAAATATGAATTGAAGGGTACATTTAAATGAAAATACATTCGTGATCAAGGTCAATGATTGAAAGTGAAATGCCCTTTTGTTGCATGATTTAGAAACAAAACTTTTCACTGAATAATCTATTTTCTTTTTATTAATGTTTTGTTTATATGTGTACCGGTATGCCAACTTATCAGAAAATTAACCAAATCACTATCTACATGTACATGTAGTAAACTGCAGGAAGTAGGCTTTAGGAATACAACCTTTCACTGAATAGAAGCTTGTTTTCTTTATATTTTGATGAGTACATGTTGGCATCGTGCCCATAAATGGATTATAACAATGGATCCATTTAATTGAACTGTTAACACCCAACGACCAAGCCCAGTCTCACAGAGGAAGGCAGTTTAAAAAAGAACAACAAAAATGACCTCAATTCTTTTTCTGCATGAATTGTAGTGTTATGGGTTTGTTAGAAACTGCGTTGACATTTATGTCTGCTTAAAATTAACTGACAAACACATACATGTACATGGTGATACTAGTAATATAAATGTTTTAAATGAGTGTAGGCCTATATTATGTTTGCCAAAGGAATCATATATAATGTTGTTTCTTTCCTCCTATTTCCTTTTCATTTTATTGTCTGCAAATTGTCTGTACATCATCATCATTGCATGTATTTTTACCCCATTTTCTTTTTTCTTTTTTTTTTTTCTTGGAAAACTGGTTTCAAACTAAAAATTAAAGTCTTGATCTGTATGTATTTTTACCCCATTTTTCCCCATTCTTTTCTTGGCAATCTGGTTTCAAACTCAAAATTTAAATTTTGATTTGCTTGTGTTTTTACCCCATTTTCTCTTCTTCTTTTTCTTTGCTGCTTGGTTTCATAAATCAAATTTTGGATCTACCTGTTGCTGTATTTTACCCAACTTTCTTTTTCTTCCTCTTTGCAGACTGGTTTCAAACTCTTTCCTAGCAAAACGAGAACCTCCGCCAATTCCAGCAAAGAGAACGGTTCCAACAACAGTGCCTCGGCTGCCCAACCCGAGGCTCGAAGGCAGCTGAAGACACTGGAGCTTACTCCACCAGACTTCAAAGTCGACAGACAGATCCTCATCGACAGCTATCTAGATATCGAAGTCAAGGTATTTATTATTTTATTAACTTCTTCGGACTAACATGTTTAAAAAAAATAAGAAACAGTATTGTAAATATGTGATAATGATAATAATATTCCCAGTTTATATAGCGCTTGGTACATCAACAATGTCTCTGGGCGCTTTATAGATATGTACAGTATCTGGTTATTTGATCCAGGCTTGGCAGCACACATTATATATACATTCTCCGCTCCCTTGGGAGTATCCCACCCAGGTGCCAAGTTACAGATGCTCACAGCGGTGAGCAAACTACAGTGACTACAGTGACTTTTGTCTCTTACCAGGTATCCATTCAACACCTGGGTTGAGAGTGGAAAAAGGAGGATTAATGTCTGGCCTAAGGATGTTAGTGCAGGGCTCGTATTCGACAATGGTTTCGTATGGGTTTTTTCAGTATTCTAAATGGCAGTATAACAGCAAAAACAATAGTTTTGGGCTGTGTAAATGGGCCTTTTGTGAAAGGAAATATACCAGCAGACAAAAACGAGAAACAAAAGCAGGAGGATAAAAATGAGACCAATATCATTTCCTGATTCCATAAATAAACCTTTTAATAGGAGCTTCAAGGTGTCTTTAGAGGGCAGATAGAGGGTTAAACTAAAAATGGGTTTACCGGTAAAGGTAATATTTAGAACTATGGGAGGTACAGTGTACACTGTTGCTTTTAGTGGATTAAGCAATGGGCGTGAGACTCGAGGTTCCCGGTTCAAATATAGTCGGTTCATTATATTGCTGGCTTGTCTACTTTAAAGGTACTATGTCCCATTTGCAGGCCCAAAAAATGAAAAGGTTAAATTTCAATGGCATTTGAAAGATAATACTAATTTAGAACTCCCCTTAAAAAAGAGGGGCTTGAAAATGTCTTTAAGTTGGAAAATAACGACTATTAGTTGTCAAATCGACTTACATGTAGGAGCTATAGAGCCAATAAGTAATAGTCTTGATTTTCAGACCACTGAACCGCATGGTTGTACGTTTTATGCTGCGCAAAGATTTAATCAGTTTAATTTTGGCCATTACAAGAAGTGGGTTATTGATGTAGACAAATGCTCATGTACCCTTTACAGCTCATTTTATTTATGTTATTACCAAAGAAGGAAAAAAGCCAGTCAGTCACTCAATAGTGTCTGACAGTGAAGTCTAGCAAGTAAACGGGTTTCCAAGCATAATTTGAATATTCGGACACTGCTAACATTTTTATGCCTCCGTTACGAAGTAGCCGGAGGCATTATGTTTTCGGGTTGTCCGTCCGTCCGTCCGTACGTCCCGTTCTCGTGATCGCGTTATCTGAAGAACCGATTGATGGATTCCTGCCAAACTTTGGTCATGTATGTTACTTGCAGAGCCGATGAACTGATTAGATTTTGGGGTCACGAGGTCAAAGGTCAAAGGTCACAGGGCTCATTATGTATGCAAAAACAGCTCGTGATCGCGTTATCTGAAGAACCGATTGATGGATTCCTGCCAAACTTTGGTCTTGTATGTATCTTGCAGAGCCGATGAACTGATTAGATTTTGGGGTCACAAGGTCAAAGGTCACAGGTCACAGGGCTCATTAGGTATGCAAAAAGAGCTCGTGATCGCATTATCTCAAGAACCGATCGATGGATTCCTGCCAAACTTTGGTCATGTATGTATCTTGCAGAGCCGATGAACTGAATAGATTTTGGGGTCACGAGGTCAAAGGTCAAAGGTCACAGGGCTCATTATGTATGCAAAAATAGCTTGTGATCGCATTCTCATTAGAACAGATTGATGGATTCCTGCCAAATTTCGATCATGTATGTATCTTGCAGAGCCAATGAACTGAGTAGATTCATGGGTCATGAGGTCAAAGGTCATGGGCTCATTATGTATCCAAAAATAACTTGTGAACGCATTCTCATTAGAACTGACAGATGGATTACTATTTAACTCAGGACATCTTGCAGAGCCAATGAACTGAGTAGATTTTAGGGTCATCAGGTCAAAGATCAAAGGGTCATATATGTATATGAGAAATTGCTTGTAATCACGATATTCTGAGAACCTCTTAATGGATTACAATTGAACTTGAATTTGAAAAATTTCTTCTGTTTTGGTTTGTAAAATTGCTCTATGACGGAGGCATCATTTTCGACTGCGCGCAGTCGAAGTTCCATCTAGTTATTTCACAGATAGGACATACATGACATATTCATAATTCCTGCAAAGTTCTACAGCATTTGAGGTTGGCTGCAAAAGGGACATAGTATCTTTACTACAGGTATGATATTCCTGTACCTAACATGCTCTGGGATTGGAACATGGAGCCAAAAAGAATCCATGATAATAAATAGTCATGGTAGTAGCTTCTTTGCTTGCTACAGATTAATCATTTAAAAAATATTTTAAAGTTAAAAAATACATGTATACTGAATACAGTGTATATACTGTACATGTATATGCAAATGGTAATCATGCATCCTAGAGCGAAACACTTCAAATTTTAGAAGTTAGTAGTCATCACAATCTTGCTACATATTAGCATACTGAAACCAATGGACAAAACAAAACAATTATTAAAGAGAGAGTGAGCCATCATTATTGATGTGCTATGTTGTGATGGCAACTCAAGATCGCAACATAATGTTCAGGGTGTTGTCGTTAGAGATTGATATATATTTGTGCAGTTCGTATATACATGTATATGCAAACGGTAATCATGCATCCTAGAGCGAAACACTTCAAATTTTAGAAGTTAGTAGTCATCACAATCTTGCTACATATTAGCATACTGAAACCAATGGACAAAACAAAACAATTATTAAAGAGAGAGTGAGCCATCATTATTGATGTGCTATGTTGTGATGGCAACTCAAGATGGCAACATAATGTTCAGGGTGTTGTCGATAGAGATTGATATATATTTGTGCAGTTCGTATATATATGCAAACGGTAATCATGCATCCTAGAGCGAAACACTTCAAATTTTAGAAGTTAGTAGTCATCACAATCTTGCTACATATTAGCATACTGAAACCAATGGACAAAACAGAACAGTTATTATCAGAGAGAGAGTGAGGCATCATTATTGATGTGCTATGTTGTGATGGCAACTCAAGATCGCAACATAATGTTCAGGGTGTTGTTGATAGAGATTGATGTAATTGTGCAGTTCGTACAAATGTAGGTCACAGGCATACTGTAATACTGTTTTCACACTGGCAATATTTTGCTTAACCCCGTACTATAGGTGGGGTAAAGGGGGGGTCTTAGCCCCACCTATAGTACGGGGTTAAGCCTATTCCACTTTCTGTTCAGACTGGTTTTTACCAAAGTGGGCTAAAGTTGGCTAACCCCACCTATAGTACGGGTTAACTAACCCTGCAAAATAGCAGGGCTAACTCCGCAATTGTGGTGCTAACTCCTGCTAACCCCGCAATTGCGGTGCTAAGCAAATGAATGAGAACAGAAACGAAAAATAGTCCGGTACTACGCAATGGAGCGTATCGAAGCTGGCCAGATGCGAAGTATGTCCAATCATAACATACACGATATCCGGGGTTAACGAAATGCAGTGAGAACAGCGGGAATTTTCTTATTCCGGAATAGGCGCTAGTACGGGACTAAAAACAGCGAGTGTGAAAAGCCAAAAAAATAGTCCGGGGTTATGGATAGTACGGGGCTAAGCAAAGTACGGGGTTAAGCAAAACCAGTGTGAAAAGAGTATAAGAAGCAACAACTGAAACTAAATGATTCATTGCACATTAATTTTCCACCATAATGTGGAGAATTTAGAGGAGAAACTTGAAATATGATATGATAATGAGCCCAAAGAAATGAATAAATTAAGGGACCACAAAATAATCATTTTTACTCCAGGAAATCAAGACACAAAACAACGGGATGTGCAACAGCTTGCTTTATATATACAGTGGAGTTCATATTAAAACGATGGGGTAACACCTTTTGCAAACATGTGGCCTCCGTGCTGTTCAAACACACTCATTCAGGCAGCCCGTCAGATGAATGTGATCAGATCGCCATCTACAGCGAATATTTCTGTCACCAATGAAACAAAGTTTGCTTTCAGGAATCAATTTTCTTTCATTTACTCGTCTTGTTGGAGCTCCGTCCGAGCTTCGTCTCTGAAATTATATCCTGACATTGCTTGCATGTTTGCTTTTGATGTTGGAGCTGACATCGATCGCTCAGTAAAGGAAAGGGAGGGAGAAGAGAGGGGATGGGGAGGGTAGGATGGAGAGAGAGAGTAGGATGGAAATAGAGAAAGAGAGAGAGAGAGAGAGAGAGAGAGAGAGAGAGAGTGAGAGAGAGAGATTACACTGCAGTCTAGAGATTGCACTGCAATTTGTTGATTTGGTCCCTCTCTACATGTACATGTACGTGTTGTAATTAATTTTCAGTTATTTTATCGGTCAAGAAACGTTTAAACTTTATTCGTAATATACTCTTTATGCAAATTTGAGCGTCCATGTAGATACAAAATATTTCATCTTTGGAGAGTTACTGTAGAAGGGCATCATTCCTTATTAAATGATATAAATTATTAAACTCCCTTATGGCTCTGAGCAGCTATTTTATCATAAATGTGCGTCTGACTACCATCCCCAATTTAAAAAACCTTTAAACGGGTGGTTTACAAATATTACCGTCTATACTCTCATGATACTTGGAAGCTGAAAATAGGAACCCCATTTATTGGCAGTGGGTCAAATGAAGCATTCAGAAGTGCATTAACCCCTCATCTGCAGTTCCTCATAGAACAACAAACATAGGCATTAATTAGCCGTTTTGGATACGGTACCAGTATTAGGTAACTGGGGAAGTTATTAATTAAGAGGGAGGAAAGCTAAGATCAAGCCGGTGTGAAAACAGTGACAAATGGTTTTAAATCAGACATCTGTTGCTCTGCCCTTTGATTTATATGCCTCTCAAGATCTAGCCTGATTTCAAGGTAAAAATATTTTATTTTTTTGCTCAGTGATGAGGGCTTCCCTTCCAATTCTGAGGAAGGTCTAGACTGTAGTGCACCTTATCTGTAGGCTCTGTACTTTACAGAAAAATACTGACAGATATACTGTAGGCTCAGGCTTTGCTCAAGACTTCATATTATTGTGTTTGCAAAAAATGTCAGATTAGTCCACTGACTTGACTGTCAGGTGCCCAATCCGCTGAGAAAATAATATACCCTTAATGCTGAAACGGAGATGATCTCTTTCTTTAAAACCCCTTTGTTGACAGATATATTCACAAGTAATAGAGATATGGCGCTCTGTGTGGGGTGTTTGTAAGGGAGGGTAAAGAGATGATTTAAGAAAAATTAAAAAAATTAAAAACAGAGAGATCTGGACGAGTGTCAGATTAGAGTCTGTGTCTGCAGACTGCTCCCCCTCACCCCCCTCCCCCCTTCAAGCGCTCAAACAAGTCACAAATCGGGATCCGGGAGGAAAGGCCTTGAATATGGGACAGTTGTTGGACTCAAGAATTAATTACCTTTAATTTCAGGAAAGTGGGAGAAGCGGAGATTCCAATACTGCCTTTAAAGCATTTGTCTGTGTTTTTTTTTCTTCACTCAACTTAAAATAAATATGGTTAAAAGGGTGTCTTCTTTGATCAGCATTTTCTTCTACATGCCATGAAGGGAGGTTAAGGTACAAAAAGTGAAATTTTTGGGTCAATACCATAAATTTGACAGGCTGTTCGCTGCTGGTGGACATTTATGATCCATTTGGGGCTTTATCATTCTTTTTCATCTGTTTGTTTATTTTCTTTTCAGTCCATTGGACGTCTGGAGTAGATGATTTAAGGACTTAAATACCATAAATGTACCAGAGCAATAGATCAAGAAAAAACTGCATTCATTCGTAAACTCTGTACTACATGTATGCTTTGATAAATGAAAAACAGAAAGGGTCTGTTTTTGTTTTGATCTTATGGTGGGGGTGGGGGGCAGTTGTGCAAGGTGTCTTCATTAATTGTAGATGGTCTGAGAATCTAGGGAACCTATGCTTAGAATGTGTGAGCTATTAAATAAGAAACAAAATCAAAGCAAAACAGACAAAACGGAAAACAAATAAACATAATAGCCTTAATCTACACTCATGAATTCAAATTCATTCTCCCTTCTTCTCCTTTCTCCAAGAATAATGATGATGGCAAGAAACCAATGCACCTCTCATTATGACATCAGGGGGGGGGGTGTTTCACAAAGATCCTTAGTCGAACTTAACTCCAAGTTGGATTTAACAATTATGGAAGGCCGTTTGCATCTTGAAAACATTTTGTAAAAGTTATTTTTAAAGGCATAAAATGTTGATTCAAATCATTCATATTTTCTATTAGCAAGGAGATTTCATGTTCTTGATGTGGAATTCATGAAATGTCTAAAATACTTCAATTTTTGCTTTTGAATATATTTTATTTTAAGGTTACAAATAGCTCTCCATAATGTTTAAAGTCAAGTTCGACTTAAGATATTTGTGAAACACCCCCCTGGATTGCCCTTCACATGTTTCTAGGAATTGTCAATTAACACTCAACAAGGGAGGTGGTTTCTGGAGGTGTGAGGGGAGCCACTTAGTGGCTAGAGAGAGAATCAAAGATGGAGGATAATTCTGGGGGAAATTGAAAGTATTTCCTAAAAGGATATGAACAGTAGAGGGTAATGGTATCAGCTGGGTGCTAAAGAACAGTAGCTCGAATACCCCTCATTTAGACCATCAGAATTCATGTTTAATATAATGCTACAAGAATTATATTGCTGCATTATATACATGTGTATAGGCCTACTGTACAATAATTTATTACATTTTCCTTGCTTTTTCATATAAAAAAACGTATTCATAACAAAAATGACAAAACGTATATAATAATAAAATTCATGTTTGAGCATCAATTTTAATGGAAAAAAGATTTACCACCAGGTTCCTACATTTGTAGGTTCTAGTCCGAATGTTATATCATACAAAACCATTACCTGGGTAAGGCTTACATTCATGTAAATGCACACTGATGATTGACCAGCTGTCGTTCATGTCAACAAACCTCTTCAAAACTAGTCCCTTCATAAATATCATTATTTTTACATTAAAGCCCCTTTCACTAAACAGTGATTCTTTGTATTGCATATACCTTTCGTTATACAAGTTTCATATAATTGCCTCTGGTCTGAATGGGGCAACAGTACAGTAGCAATATGACAGTCCTTTGTGTGATCTGTCCCAGGAAACATACTTTTCTCCAAGACTTTGAAGGTCAAGTTTTAAGAGGCGGTTGAGTAAGTTCTGGGTAGAGGAACAATTTTATGATGAACAGGGAGGCTTTCTAAGTTTGGTTACACCAGGGAAAAAAATATTCAATAAATTTTGAGGGCTACTTTTCAAGCTTGCTTTCATGAAAATAACTCTCTTTAATTTGTTTTGCATTGACTCTATGCACAATTTTGAGGAATCTTTTATGACTTTTGGGGGCTCTTTTTGGTACTTTGGGGCTTTTTAGCCCTGAGTCACTGTGTCTTTTTTCCCCTTCACATGGAAGAACTTCTCTTGAAGAACATAATGTTGTGTTTGAATAATTGGCTCCAAAACCATCTTGGTTCCTCAAACCCAGTCAATGAAATATGAGACTTTCAAATATTTGGTCTATTGCACATAATGTACATGTATCTCACTTGAATGTAAAATGTATGTCTTATTGGAGTCATGTGAGAATAAAAAGATTGGATTGGCATGTTAAGTTGAATTTATGTTTGACAGTAATTTTCCTAATGTACTGTACATATAGAGGTGTATTAAGATAAATACATTCAAGTAACTGTATCAAGTATGGGGCTGGGTTCTACATGTACATGTATATAGTTCAGCAAATATTCTGAATGACCAGGAAAAGTCATGGTTTATTTACCGGAATATCTGCAAAAAGTTGAAAGAATATTACATAATTTTGCATACTGTTATTATTGATTAAGAGCAACTAGGAGTGTACAATGTACAAGAAACGTATTATACCGAACTAAATGGAGATATACTTAATCAATTTCCATTTGCTGCAATTAAAGCAGAAGGGCGTTCACATTTTGACTGACATTTCACTCAACGTGATCAATATAATTTGCATTGTTGTTGGTTTGGGGTAAGAGAGCTGTCATTCAGGAATGCATTTTAAGCATACACAAGAATGGACTTGCTTGAATAGAGTAAATATTATGGGCTAAATTTAGATCCAAAATAATTATCACACTGTAAAAAACATTGGTTCTTTATTGAAGGTTTTCAATTTCACTCTAATATGGAATGCTAATAATACACAAGTCATTAGCTTTTCCTACATTAGGCAAAATGGCCTGAATTCACAAAGAAGGTTTAAATCTAACCCATGGTATAACAAACTGTGGGTTAGATTTAAATCTCCTTTGTGAATTTGAGGTTTTTTAGGTCTAAAATGGATCCAAACATGTACATGAATTAGTTGTTTAATGGCAAGAAAAAAATGGAGCAAATATAAACTTTAGGCAAGGATTGGTCAGATGTAATTGTATGTCTTAACTGATATCTTGCCTATGAATTATGACAATGGTTATTATTACCAAAATCATCCAAATTAAGTGGCCAGTTTAACCCAAATCCTTGTCAAACACAAACATGTTTGTACCACAAAAAGGAAGCTAACCTTTAAAAGTATTGCTTAGAAGTTATCCAATTTTGTTTTCTACTTTTTCTTACTTCCAGTTTTTAGGTCAACTCGAAGACATCCCTTTTGAAATCGACCCAACAAAGAGGACTGAAATACTCAGGAATATTGATTCAGCAAGGGTAAGTGTTTCGTGCCCAGACTTTTGCTCCAAGCTTTATTTTGGCAAAGATCTCTTCACCTTTAGTAGTCATGCTGCAAAACTACTTCTACTTCTGCGACGATACTCAGCAGGATCCATAAGTCAGGATGTAGTGCTGAGGAATAAACTATCTAGTTCTTGGTCTAGATGCTGGGTGGAAGTGCTCCCTTGAAGCCCTCCAGTGAAGTAGCGTCAGTAACTCTATTCCTCCTTCAAACCGCTTTCATTTTCAAACAAACCTACTATTGGCCATTTGGGGTAGTGACATTCTTATGTGTGTCTGTTTATCGGTCTGGCATTGGTCTCTGTGTGATTGGTGTTTTAGGGACACCGCCAAACTGACTCTAAACAGACTTTAAACCAAGTTCAAACTGACCGATTATTGGTCGTTTTGGGTCGTGCAATTTTTATGTTCAGACTGTGTGGTGTACCAGGGACACCGCCAAACTGACTATGAACCAATTACAAACGACCATTTAAGTGTCTGGCATGTGCGTTGGCCTGGTTTATTTTTGTCGATGTGAATGGTTTATTAAATAGGGTTAGGGACAAGTTTAGATGTTCTGTTTTGTCCACAGTTAAGTCATGAATTTGGTCAATGTTGGAAATTATGTGAAATAATCAATGAATCAAATATTATAAAGTAATGCAATAGACTAATGGGGATACCTTTTGAATGATAATAAGGTCACTTAAATCTTATCAGTGTATTTTCCTAATACTTCTTTTTCAACCACGTTTCAAACAGAAGTCAACCAGTTAAAATTTCTAGTCAAATAAGGAACACTACCTTTAAAGGTATAGACCAGTTCTGGTCATGCCATTGCATTGTGAAAGAAACGTTGTGGAATCGATCAGAAAAGGGTGATCATTTAGCATATACATGAAGTATTGGTGTGTACTGCAAGGTTCTGGAATCATCAAAATGATGAGAAATTTGGCCCAGTCTTGGTAAAGTTACAAGCACTGTACACAGAATGATGTATATGGCACTAGGCGATATCTATCCAGTCCGGAGAGATATAATTATTTACCAAATATATCAATTAGTAGGCGGTTTCCCGGCAAAATTTGTTTCATTACGTATTAGTCAAATCATATTCTTTCACATGATTGGTAATAAGAGCTTCCATTTCATTTTTTTGAGAGGGGGGGCGTTTCCAAAACTGGTCTATACCTTTAAATACAGGAAAAGGAAAAGGGGGTATGAGTGCTCATTTATGTGATTGTGAAATCACAGAGGAAAACTAAGAATGCAGAATTGCAGACTTGATGGGTGTGGGGCGGTAGCTGGGGAAATGAGCAATTTGGAATGTTTCTCTTCAAAATCCAACAGCTCACTCACAATCACATTGTTCTTGAGCACGACTCGGAAATGATCTTGGGATGGTGACCTGCACCACATTTTCATGTTTTGTAGTAATGTGACTAATTCTGTTGCTTTTTGTTTGGGGTTATTGTTCAAAGATATTATTAAGCAAGATAGGGCGATGACCCAATGCCCTTTCTGTAGTGCATGTACAATTATGTATACCGGTAACCATAAATATATACATGTATGTTACAGTGTTGTGCAAAATATATGACAAAAAATAAAAGATGACCTGTGAGCAGAAGAGAAGTGCCAAATTAATTTTGAATGGATACAAAATATCAGGGTGATACAATTTTCAGACTTTTGTTGAAATGATTTTTAAAATTCCTGTAAATAATTGACTCTAAGAACTTCTCCAGATATACCTGTCGGATGTGAAGAGAGAGCAGTTTTAGTTTACATTAAACATGTTCCAAACTATGTTTAAAATACGTTTTCATTAAGGGGAGGGGAGTGAAACTTTTCCCACTTGAAGTAAAATTGATCGGGGGAGGGGGGGGGGGGGGTGCTCAGAGAGTATACAAATGAGAAGAGAAGGGGGAATAAAAGTTTATGTGACTGAGAGAACAAGATATGATGCAAACAGAAGTTACATTTACAAGTGTGCTCTATTCATGAACAGAAATATCAGCTTAGCACATCTACACCAATCACTAAGGTAACTTGTATAAATTACTTTATTGATGATTTCATTTATTTCTCTTGCAGAAAAAGGGTATTTTACCATGGAACAGTCACTCCGGTCGCTACGACGCCATCATCCGCTTATCAGCAAGACAAATCAATGTTTTACAGAAAAACGAGGTAGGGACATTATGATATGCAGGGCTCAACACTAGCAGGTGCCCAGTACACATTGGTGCCCCAATACAATGGCAAGGTCCGGACCCCCCCCCCTAAAAAAAAAAGTAAAAAAAAAAAGGCACACATTACAGGCTTTTCAAACAATGCCTCGTGTACGATGCAGCTTTCAAATTGTCTGTGTGACTTTGTCACATTATCATGTTATCTGAAAATGAAGAAACTGTTGTAGTATTGCTGTATACTAGGATCTATGCATTTATGTGATACTCCCATACCAGGCCCCTTTCTCGTATTCAAACATTTGCATTGTAAGATCAATATTTGCATCTCCTTGATAACTCGGTACTGAAATAAATAAACTTGATTGACCTTAAAGTTTGAGAAATTTATTCTTCAAAATTCTGCAAATAAAATGTCAGTTTTTTCTGAGCTCTGAGGGACCTTTGCACCTACATTAAGCACTTTGCTTGAGTATAGAATATTTTATTCATTTCTTTATTGGGTATGTAGTATCTACATTTATACATGTATATCTTCTGCATTATTGACTTACGGGGCATTTAAAGAAGCTTTAAGTATGTTTTTATCACATTTATGTTTATATGTGTGCACTTTAAAAAAAAGGAGCTTTCTAAATCTATATTTAAATCCGCCTCTTCCCCCTATATTTTCTGCTGTTATAAATCTATACATCAACTAGATTACTACTACTTCAACTGTTACTGCTACTACTACTACTACTACTACTACTACTACTACTACTACTACTACTTCTACTACTACTACTACTACTACTACTACTACTACTACTACTACTACTACTACTACTACTACTACTACTACTGTTACTGCTACTACTACTACTACTGCTACTACTACTACTACTACTACTACTACTACTACTACTACTACTACTACTACTACAACTGTTACTGCTACTACTACTACTACTACTACTACTACTACTTCTACTACTACTATACTACTACTACTACTACTACTACTACTACTACTACTACTACTACTACTACTACTTCTACTGCTACATGTACTTCTATGTGTAACTTAGATCTTATTCTTTTTTCTTTCCCTGCAGACGTCTCTTGTACGTGCCTTCATTCACAACATAGTCTCAGTCAGCTATGTACGAGATGATGCTCAGCATCTAGTCATCATGAAAACAGGTAACTAGTTTGCAGGATGCATACCTGAACGACACTCAACCAGGGGCCCGTTCCATAAAACTTGTTATTTATAACAAATGCTAAATTTCTATGACAAAATTTGCTCTCAGCCAATCAGATGTATGATTTCAGTAGCTTATAACAGTAGCTTGTAACTTTTTATTGATATCAAGTTTCATGAAACAGGGCCCAGACCCTTCCCCTGAACTTTACCTAAAACCAATTAATCAACATAACCCTAACCCTAATTCTAACATAAAAATGAATTGTAACACTGACCCTAACCCTGTATCTTGTCCAAAATAAGGCCTGGGGCATATGCAAAAATTAGGTCCCTAAATGTTGATTGATAAAGCACAGACCCTCAGGCTATACTGAGTGCATGTACATATGTCTTGGTATTTCCTGTCTCATGATTGCCTATTGCATAATAACACATGTGATGTCAGCAACAAGATTTGTCTGTGTGCTAAATACAGAGAAGGGCGTGTGCGTACATACAGCATCCCTAGAGGTCATTGACCTCTGATCTATTTATTGGTCGAATCCTCAAATTCTTAAAGTGACTCAGTAACATTGCCTCAGATTCTGAAACAAAATCCTGGATTTAGCTTATACTGCAATGATAATTATAAACCTTTAGGTCAGTCAGGAACCCCACGACTTTTACAAGCCGATCGCCTGTCTGATGATTGGAAATCCAAATTTCATATTTCATTTTCCTAACAGTTTTTATAACACTACAGTCTATGGGGGAACAAAGATTTCTACTTTTTTCAAAGACTTTTTTCAACTTCAAAGACAGATGGATGCCCATTTTCTGATCAGATATGTATATCATTGAATGTACAGTATTGTACTTGCTTTTATTGATTTGTTAATGTTGTTTTTCTTTTTTCTTTTTTGCAGCTACAGAAAGTCAGCAAGAGAAATGTGAACTAGTAGTGTGGGAATGTCCCTCAAAGGTTTGTTGGTCAATACATTTATTGCTCATTACTATTATAAGACTTTTTATTTTCCATATATGTATATATATAGTTAGCTGTGTGAATACACCCCTAATTCCATAGCTGTACAATGTATATATACATATGTAGAGAGAAAGAGTGAGAATACATACTGTACAGTGTTCATATACTGTAGTAAGCTGTGTGAACATGCCTCTAATCCAAGATCTATACAGTGTATGTCTGTAGAGAGTGTATGTCTGTAGAGAGAGAATACATAGAGTGTTTGTTTTAGTGAGCTGTGTGAACATGTCTCTAATACAGATCCAGGTTCTGTACAGTGTTTATCTGTAGAGAGAGAATACATAGAGTGTTCGTTTTAGTGAGCTGTGTGAACATGTCTCTAATCCAAGATCAGTACAGTGTAATATCTGTAGAGAGAGAATACATACAGTGTTCATCTAGTCAGCTGTGTGAACAAGCCCCTAATCCTTTATCGTACGGAATAAATAGGGAGGGATGACGTATGCCTGAACACATCCTGTAATTCCAAAGCTTCAGTGTATACAGTGTTTATCTGTAGAGAGAGAATTCATACAGATAGCTGTGTGAACAGGCCTCTAATCCCTGATCTGTACGGAATAAATGGGGAGGGATGACGTATCCCGTGTGAACACATCCCCTAATTCCCAAGCTTAACAGTGTATATCTGTAGGGAGGGGATGTAGTCTAATTGAAGTGTGTCACACCCAGTAGTACATTCACCTTAATTGACTCAATCAACTGATACTTGTGTACATCTCCATATAAGTCTAGCTTTGACGTTCATGCACAAGTACACTTCACAGACTTGATGCTAAGTTTTGAGATACATGTATTGTGTGGCATCACAGGGTATCTTATGTATAAGACCTCCTTCCCCTTAAAATAGCTTAGAATGGTGTATTTGTCGAAAATATATCTTGCATATACAGTACATTTATATGTTGAATTGTACCAATCTTCTGTTCTAGACGATTATGTACATACTTATATATTTCAGGTTCCTTGTTGATATATTGGTGCCACATGTATCAGCTTCAAATTTTATTTTAATTTGTGAATGGCGGAGATATTACTACCTAAGTTTTTATTAGATTATAATGAAGGTAAAAGTGACCTGTGAGTATATATATACATGTAGGTATTAAGCACGTAAGTTATACAGAAGTTTATAACTAGGAGTCCTAGCAGGCCTGAAAAAAGGAAATCATCATGTTCCCTTATATATTATAGACTTTGCTCTTGTATTGGTGTACACAAACTTAAAAGAAATTGAATGAGTATCAATTCTGTTTAATGATTTTCTGTCATTTTTGTCTTTGTTCAGGAAAAATCGGAAGAAATCTGTGCCATTGTCCAGCAGATTTTTGAAGTAGTCTACACTGAAATGACCATGAAGCAATTTGACCTCTCGCTGATGCAAGCGGTCAACGATTATTCAATAGGTAGATGTAAGTATCATGATAGTGTTGTATACCTGCCTCTATATGAAGGTAAACCTGTATAAAAAGGCTCCTCAAGAGAAACAAAAAAGTGGTATTTATAGGCAGCTGATCTTTATTGACAGATGTTCAATAATTACAAGTTTCAATGAAATGGTGTATGTGTGTGTGTGAGAGAGAGAGGGAGAGAGAGAGAGAGATATATATATATATATATAGAGAGAGAGAGAGAGAGAGAGAGAGAGGGAGGGAGACAGAGAGAGAGAGACAGAGAGAGAGAGAGAGAGTGAGCAAGAGCGAGGAGGAGAGAGATGCACAGAGATACATTTTACATCAATTTGAAGAAAAAGAATAGCATCCTCCTTATTTTCTCCCCCCCCCCCTCCCAGCCTCTTAATCTTCTTTGTCTGAAGAATATGATAGGAATTAACATCAATGAGAAACACAACTACTCAAATCATGTCCTAATATCCCTGTTATTACTCTGAGTAACATGTGCCCTTTGTTGTACTCTGCTCTCCTTTCTTTCCCCATCCCCTCGGGATTAAATGGGGGAATCATTTTTTAGGTCAGCATCTGTTTCGGAGTATAACGTGATATCATATCATACCCTGAATCACCTTTGAGTCCTAACCATCAAGAATAAGATACAGATTGGAGTTTCACGACGCTCTTCCGAACTCTGTTTCCTTGCTGCTTCTTTTCTGTGTCAGATGATCAAGGCCTGTCTTAGATAGAAAGAGATGCAAGTAATTCAAATAAATTGCATCTTAAAATAAGATTAATTCAAACTGATTGAATCTTAGATTTAGAATACACCTGCAGTATCAAGCTGTATTTCTGCCTGTGTTTTTGGTAAGGGTGGATATGCTGTACAAAGGGATTTGCAAATTTAGTCTTTAGGAAACATTTTACACTTTACTTCAGATGATAAAAAGGGATGAACATACAGTGTAATTAAATGGCTCCAAACAAAATTGAAAATATTCCCTAACTGCTTCATAATAGCTCTGATCAGTCTATACATCTCTACATTCACATACATGCAGCTCCCTATGTTCACATCTTTTGCAACTGGCAACTACGGATACTGCTTCTGGGGAATCTTTCTTTTCCCTCATAAATCCTAAAAGGAACTCATGTGAACAAAAACATAGGTCATGCAGGTTGGTGATTGATCAATGTACTTTCGCATCGATCAAATACGAGATAAAAGGAAACATTGAGAAAATAGTTTGTTTCAAATGTAAACGGGTCCAGTAATTGGGTCATTCTCATCAGATGCAGCCATGTGTTACACATAAAACAATAGGTCCTTTTCGGATAGATATCTTATCTCTTGAGGACGTCTGCTCCGCAAAAGATGATGCCGGGCCCGATACGTCTGACGTCTACGACAAATTCGAGACAAATTTGACCCAGATTAATCCCAGATAATGTTTGATAGAAAACCAAGATAAACATCTGAGGATACAATTGGCCCTACCTTCGATATCAAGAGGATAAACGTGAAGTGGATTTGCGCAATTTGTTGTTCGGATATTACCAATTATCTTAATCATGTGCTTTTGCTTGATGCAATCTAGTCACAATCAATGGACGATGGAAAGTACAAGGATAAATCCGATACCCCAGTAGGATCACATTTTATATTCTTCATGTTCTCTGAATCATATAATGACCATCTGTACACTAATTTTTTGTTTTGCTAGTGGGTCTGTATCTTGTACAGTGACCTATTGAAAGTATGCTGCTTAGAAACGTAGGGTTCAAACAGTTAAAGTGGTCTTTTGAATTAATATAAGTTATACAGTAGGCTTACTGTTGCACCATGTGAGAGAGGGAGAGGATCGGGGAGTCCTGAAAAGGACTGTCTGTATTCTTCTTTCTCACATGGTTTCACTGTAAGCCTACTGTATATGTACATCACAATGCAAGCCGATACTTTTAAGCAACATCTAAAATAAATTGGTTTCCAATTCCAAATAGTTTGAAGAACTGTTTAATAGCAAAATGTCCATTTATATCCTACTTGATAAAAAAAAAGATTTATAGAGATAAATATTCTTATCACTGAGGCATGTACATGTATTGCTAATATCTCCAAATCTTAACTACATGCAGAAGGATCATGTAAGAGTTTAATGGCCAGTCTTAATTGACCAATAATAATAACAGTAATTGAATTTATAAATCCTTTCAAATTTGCTCACCTGAATTGCGTTGGATAAAGTTAATGTACTTTATTCAAATGGGTTTCTATTTTCTTAAAAATAAAACTTCATGTCAGACAATAGCCATCATCATCAGGAGAGATGGGTGATTGCATCTGAATACAATCAGTTTTCCTGATTTTTCTCTGAACCTGTAACCTGTTTGCTTTCAAAGCCCCAGGGGTGTGAAAAAACGAAAAGATAATAGCTAATTCTGTCGGAAAATATAAAAACTCTTGTAGTAAAACTTGGAAGGGTTTGGCCAAATTATTCTTACAAGGAAGTCGAGAGCTCTCAGCGCTTGCCAGGTCCAATCAGTCTCGCTGCCCTGATGGAATGCCTGAATCGGAAACATCGCGAGAAGGCAGAGTTTCCGAGTTTGTGTCAAGTCGGTAGGCGTGGCCCCTGCGCCCGGCAACCAGGAACGAAGCTAGTGGTCATTTCCTGCTCGATAGCAATACTCCGTAATTGCATTTCCGGTCATTCCCAGGACCCCATAGCTCAAACCCATCTCTCTCTCAGTCTGGCTGGCCGGCTGTGCCTCGGCCAAAATATCTCTCTATATCTGTCTGTCTGTCTGTCAGTTTTCTCTTCCTCTCTCTCTCTCTCTCTCTGTCTCTCTCTTTCATTGTCTCTTCCTGTATCCCTCTGTCTCCCTGCCACTCTCAGTGAACCTCTCTCTCTCTCTCTGTGACTCTCTGTCTCTCTCTCTGTGACTATCTGACTCTCTTGTATGACTCCCTCTCTCTCTCTCTCTCTCTTGCTCTCTATGGTGCTGTGTTTTTGATTTAAATTTAAATGACCACAGAATACACAATATTTCTTCATTGCAAACGTTTATTGTAGGACTGGTTGTCATGTTTATGTACCTTCATGTTCACGTCTGTTTAATATTCAGGTACACTGTATATTTTTTGTGTAACCGCCTCCAGTGGTATCGAGAGACATCTACAATGTAGGGCTCTAGTAATATCTGTAAATATACAAATATCATGGTCAGTGTTTTCTTTTCTTCTCTTTACTTTACAGCCACAGTAGCTCACCAAAGACCTCCCTTGCCTGGCATGTATAGTCAACCAGAAACGTAAGTAAAACATAAATCTCGGATTCACCGTCCCCCCCCCCCCCCCCATCTCTCTCTCTCTCTCTCTCTCTCTCCCCTTTTATACTTAAATTCTGCCAACTCTTTCACTCTACATTTACTTACACATTGTAAATGTAGATGTACACACAGTACATTGCAATGTAGCTTTCTACCATACCTTATTTTGATGAATGTCTCCTATTTTACTTTCAAACTAATATTATGAACCATATATTCCTCTCTGTTTTTGTTGAAGACTTGTATAAATGTACACTATATAATATACCTATTTACCTTGAAATATATCTATTTTTTTGTGTGTGGAAGGTTACCAAGTTTGTGCACTTGTATGTCTGCCATGTCTTTTAGTAAATATTCTAATGGCACAAATATGAACATTAATATTTATACCATTTTCTTGCTTGATCTTCTACTTCAAAATTGTTTTGGGGGTTCAGATAAACATGCAAAACTAGGCATTACTTGTGGATGTTTTATAGAAAGAAAAAAAGTGAGGTGAAAAAAAAACTGTAATGCATGTTAATTGTGATTTTTTCTTCTTTTTTGTGTTTAGAAGCAGTGAGGCCGTCCCATATTCAGGGGCAAATCCTAACTCAAATAGTGCAGAAATCATCAGCGTCACAGCCAAAGTATTATTACAAGAATACATCGAGGAGGTGAGTTATATCAACTGGATTGTAGGGGAGGTAGATGGCAAGACATAACATGTAGGGAGAATAATGATTGAGTTTGCATCATCCAAATATCCATTTTAAGGAATAATCTAACCAGGTACTCATTTAACTTACCTGGGTAGAGTGTGGAAAATGTAGATTAATGTCTTGCCAAAGGACATTAGTGCTGCAGTGGGACTCAAACCGCGGACCTTGTGATCCACAGTCCGGTGACATCTACTCGACCACGACACATCTACAAATGGGAAGCATAGGATAAAAAAAAAAGAATAGGGAGGAAGATGAAGGAGAACAGCAAGGGCTCCAACCAGGAAGAGAAGAAGGGGAATTAGGATGAGAAGGAGGAGGAAGAGAAGAAGACAGAATTTGGAAAAGGATAAGAAGGAGGAGATGGAAGGGAGGAAGGAAAGAAAGACAAATACATTTAAAACTAAGTGTGTACAGTACATGAATGTAACAAAACATAGTGGAGAAGATATTAGTATGAAACAGGTAACAACAAAAGAAGAAAACAATCAGAAAGAAGAAATCGTTTACCATATCAATTCGGCAAGACAAGGAAGGCAAAAGGCAGGGTATTCAAGTGACAATTCTTCAGATTTATATTTACTGCCATCTACTGTTCACAATATATCACCGACTGCATAATGCGTGGGTGATGATATTGGGGTACAGGAACCAGAAATCGCTCTATTATGTTGTCTCCAAAAAATGGCGCAATTAAGAATACACTACAGCAATGTTAGCAATGTCCGTAAAATACCCTTGAGCATTATTTTTGAAAGTGTGTTAAGGTAAAATATACTTCAAACTGTATATATGTCTATACCATCCACCCCTTTTTTTTTTACAGCTGAGAAGTAAACTAAGTGGTGAAGAGCTGCAACAGTTCGCATCCATTTTGAAAGAGTACCGTCAAATGGGATCGATAGAGAATTTCTGCACCAGTTTACAAAGGCTATACGGCCCGGACAGAAAGACATTATTTCCAGGTACGTCCAATTTGTTTTGTTTGTTTTTATTTTTTTTTACTCTAGACTAGATATTGTGCTTGCATTACAAAAAAAGAACAACAAACAAATGCAAGGTTTGAGGGACTTTGAATGTTGTTGCATGTATCTTGCAACTGGATGCAGTGGCAGCAACCTTGCATGCAACAAGCTATTCAGGGTTCTGGAAGTCGTTGGAAAGAAATGCTGGTAGGTCAAGAACTTTTAGGCAGGAAAAGACTTCAGAAAGAACTCTTGAATCACAATTTACACACAGTGTCTTGCACCAGTCTGGCACTCGATGTACACCCCTGGAATATATTCAATGTCCTACAGTCTCACCCCCCCCCCAAGAAACAACATGAAGACAAATAAACAAAAATAAAAATTATTTGTAGGTTACATTTTTAAAGCTCAAAATGACTTACTAAAATAAATCAAATATTTAAAATGTCCCTTCATGTGCCTTTCAGCTGTGAATGCCTCAAATATTTTAGACACAAAAGGGTCATTCTTTCTTAAATGATTTTGGTAATTTTATCCTTTTTTGTGTGTGTTGCACTGTTTCATGCATGAGCATTTGTGTGTTTTTTTTATACCCATTTGACCCCAGTGACCTCACATATATCATGTGCAACCTACTACATTGAATCATACAGTGAAATTGCATGGTAATCTTTGGCAACAGACAAATGATGAAATTAGGTATCATGCAATTTCTTTTCATTTTTAAGTATCAAACCATTGGTTGCACTCATGCAGTAACGAAAGTGCAATTCATTTTTGAATTTGCTTTATGTTGCTGTCAAACCATTGACTCTCACAACACGAAGCTTTTGTGAACTGTGAAGGGCGGCCAATTCAACAGTAAGAAATAAATTTCATCAACTAGACGCATCCGTGAATTGAATATATATTTAGTGAAGTGGCAATTTGTGAATATTCCATTGATGCAAAAGTTTTTTCATTCAACAGTAACTTTAATGGGGTCCTGGGGGGTGTTTTATAAATTGTGCGTAAACTTATGCATGACTTAACAAATGACTTGAATATGAAGAGCTAAAAAGGATTCTCAAATCATTTTGATTGCATAAGCTAAAGTTGAAATATGCAGATGTAGATTGACCTTATCATTATTAACAAAACATTGTAATGCAAAGTGTATTTTGGGCTACAATTTAATTGAGATTATGGGAAATACAGTCACACTTTGTTAAATTGTCAGGAAAAACTTCAGCTCTTCATATCAGATCATGTGTAAAGTCATTTGTAATTTTACGGACAGCTTTATAAAACACCTCCCTTAATTTACAAATCTGTATATTATTATATTACATATTCCTCCCCTGGCAATAAGTGAAAATGGTAGAATAACAGTATTTAAAAAAAAAATATATATGGTGTACATACAGTACATATATAGTGATATGTACTTTGTAACAAGGAGCGAATCCCTGTTACTGTTCATGTTCATATGTAGGCCTTGGTTACTAAAAGGTGGTTTTTCTACTAATGATACTACATGTCTCCTAATATTTTATGTAGATTTTCTATTTGATAGCTAATCTTTGAACTAATTTCAAGTTTTCTGAACAAATGTATTACGACTACATCATTTTATACTAAGCCTATCCTACATGTACATTTACTTTGTGTTAAAAAAAAAATCGAATTGAATTCATTTAAATGCACTGTTGCAATCTTAGTGAGGAAGCTAGCGATATTCAGAAGCACAAAAAGATGCGTCCGGCACACCAAAAACAGATATACATGTATTCATAAATATAAGTTTAAAAAAAAAAAAAAAATTTCAATGAAAGTTGAGGAAACAGGAAAACCATTGAGATATACATGTATGTAGTACCAGTACATGTATTTATGGTTCTAGAGGTACCCCCGAATGATAAAATTATGACTTTCAATAATTTTCAATTTTGCGTTCCGGATGCGTCTTTTCGTGTCACTTCATTTAGCTTTAAGCTACCTTACAACGTATATGGTGTGTGTTATATACTCTATTTATTAAACATTCCTACAATATCTCCATTCTTTCAGTTTTTAATAAGCAAAGTTGGAAGTACTTTAGTTCGTCGTATAAGTCAAACTATTTCTGACACTAATATTACATTGTGTATTCTGCCATTCTTACTATTTCCTTTCCTTCTATAGAATTAATATACTATAGAGGCTGTACGAATTGAATCTTCATTCAACCTGTATTCTACATTCATCTTTATGTACATGTATTATGTACTGTACTTCTGTTTTCTTGGAAAAATGTTTATGATTGAAATGCCAAAGCCATATGTTATGAAATTACTGGTACATGTGTGTAGCTAATCTATCAGTATTTATTAAATGCTATCCACTGTTTTACATTGTAGTGCTATGTCAGGAAGAGAATTTCTGTAGTTCCGGCAATCTTTCAATCGATTAATATGTTTCTTTTCCTTTCTCCAGGTGGTATTTGATTATTAACAACAATAATTTTCTCTCACATTTTTCTCTCACATTGTATTTGTGATTAATCATTCTTGTTTTTTCTCCTTCTCTTTTCCATTTAGCAGAGTAACCTCTACCATAGATGGGCTTTCTCCTAATATTTATTTCTCGCTTTTTCACCAAATATCCTCTTTTTTCCTCGGGATGCAGCAGTTCTCAACTTAAACTTTGCATTTTACTAATCCCATCATTTTCTTTCCAAACGGGGCATATATCAGGGCTGTGCTTTATTATCTTAGCCATGCTAAATGTAGCTTGCAATGAACAGTGAAAAGTGAATGCGTTAGAATAATAATGAATGGTTGAATATCACTAAACAATGCCCTCTTTGCTGGTGTGATGGATGGCCAAGGGTTTCAAGATGTCCCTGTGAAAATGTATTACTTCCTCAAATGTTAATGAACAAGTTGTAATGAAACAGCGAAAACACCATCTGGAAGACATTGATATTTGAATACTTCACATCATTTACATTTTTATAATTCACCACTTGACATCTTACATATTAATAATAATCATTTTCTTATGCTGAGATATGAAGGAAAAAATGTGTGGATACAAATCTTTCAAAAGCTAGATGCACCTTCATACAATCAATTCCCTTTTCACCCTCAACCCCTTCCAGCATGAAATACATGTACCACAATTTGAAAAGTATACACATGAAGGTGACATTCAATGTTTATTTATCATTTTTTTGGTGGCTGTGTGCAGCTTTTCTTCAATTATCCCTCCCCCTCCTGCCATTAAAGTACATGATTGCGAGCTTCTCTTGACTACTAATATGAAAAGTGCTTTGAATATTTTCCTTCCCTCCCCTCCCCCTAAAAAAAAGAAAAGAAAACAGCAAACAAACAAAGGAACAAAATAGTAAAGAAAAGCCCTCTTTGGTAACAAATTTTCTGATTTCTCTTATTGGTTCGGATTCTGCAGCCTTTCTCCGAATACGAAACATATTCTACTAATCAATTTCTCATTATATAGTCTGTCTATACTTCATCATCTACTCATCTCTATGTATGCTTAACTTAATACCTTTTGTATGTTTGGAGCCAGAAGATTAACACAAAACAGACGATGTACATCTATTCAAAATGCCTCTTAATCTCTTTGAAACTACTTTCAATAATTTTAATTAACAAATTAGAATGCCTTTTATACACATACTTTTATATCCACTCACTCAGGAATATGTATCCAACACCAGTGTCACACTTCTATGTATGCCATTCACCAATCATTTTCATTTTCAAACACACTTCCGTACATGCACATGTTAAAGTAGATCACATAGACTGAAAAGAATTCTAGGGCCACTTCAGTTACAGCCAAAATCCATCATTTTCGAAGAATTTTAGAGGTGCTTGTAAGGATCATACATTTATATTGGGTATGTGCTAGCTAGGCAATTGGAATTGCCTTACATATTTCGAGTGAGTATTGTAAAAATTAAAAAAAAGTCTTTGTGAACATGTCATAAGACGAAGTGGCCAATTTAACTATATTTGTAAAGCCCGCTGATCGCACAAATGTGTAAAGATCTGTTTTGGACTAAACGTAAAGTACTGCACTATCAGAGCACAAATTCAGAATCATTGGTCACTATCATGATGATCCATTTTGGCACAAATTAATCGGTCGCATTCAACCATTTTCTATTTACATCAGCCATGAATTGAATCTCAGTTGGTCTGACATTTTTTTTAATGAATTTTATTAAAAGAAAAATGCATTACAGTATTGTGGCCACTGAGCTATTGTTTTCACCAATAATTTTCATGGTAATTTATATAATTGAAAGGCTAAGGTTTAATATCAAAATGTCCTTTTATTTTCTTATGTTATATGGAATCACCATAAAACACTTTCATCAGACTTTCATACTACACTTTATATACTCGTAACTGTTCACCATCATATTAATTCATGTCCAATTCACTCATCTCACGCTGATCCGCTAAATATTTATTCATTTATTATTTTTATTTATTCATTTATTATTTTTATTTAGCCTAACTGTTTATTTCAACAGCACTTCCATATCATTTAATACAGAACCCTGTTTGCTAGTGAGCTTGGTTGCTTGTTTGTGACCCTAAAAAGCATTTTCCTGCGTAAACATTGACCGTTGTGGTCATCCAATTTTAAATGGGAGTTATGAGAAGTGGCACCCTAAATGTGTCTGATTTAATTTGAACAACCTCCTCCAATGCCATTTCCTCGCCCTACCTGAAACAAACTGTAGAAGGGGTGATCCCAGGTGAAAGCTGGGGGTGTTTTACAAAGACTAAGATTGACTTTAAGTTGGACTAACTAGGGCAGGCCGTTCATGCCACTGGTTGCTCTCACCGTTATGATATTCAGAGAATAATTTTTTCTTCTATAATGAATTATCAACCATTATAGATTTGTGACTATGATATTTACCCCTTTGAGAGACAAATGCCAGTAAATGGTGAGAGCAAACAGTGGCCTGCCATAGTTAAGTCCAACTTAAAGTC